CGAGTCCACCAAAAAGGTCGGTGTTGTCTTCAAGAACCTCACCGTCAAGGGCGTCAGCACCGGCGCCACCTTTGTCCGAACCCTTCCCGAAGCCATCCTGGGCACCTTTGGTCCTGACCTCTACCGCATTCTCGGCAACTACATCCCCGCTTTGCGCTTCGGCCGCCAACCCGAGCTTCGCACGCTTCTCAACAACTTCACCGGTGTCGTCCGCCATGGAGAGATCATGCTCGTCCTTGGTCGTCCAGGCAGCGGCTGCAGCACCTTCCTCAAGGTGGCCGCCAACAACCGCGGAGATTACGCTGCCGTCGAGGGTGAAGTCCACTACGGCGGCATCTCCGCCGAAGAAGTAGCCAAAAAGTACCGCGGCGAAGTCGTGTACAATGGCGAAGACGACATCCATCTGCCCACTCTCACCGTCGAGCAAACACTCAAGTTCTCCCTCCTCAACAAGACCAAGAAGCGCCTGCGCGGCGACGTGGAGCTGATCATCACCGCTCTGCTCAAGATGTTCGCCATGTCGCATACCCGCCATACCATCGTCGGTGACGCCTACGTTCGCGGCGTGTCAGGTGGCGAGCGCAAGCGTGTCTCTATCCAGGAGTCGCTGGCGACCAAGTCGTCTGTCGTCTGTTGGGATAACTCTACCCGTGGCCTCGACGCTTCTTCTGCTCTCGACTATGCCCGCTCTCTGCGCATCATGACCGACGTCAGTGACCGCACCACCATCACCACGCTGTACCAAGCTGGCGAGGGTATCTACGAGCTGATGGACAAGGTTCTTGTCATTGACGAGGGCAGGATGCTCTATCAGGGTCCGGCGTCCAAAGCCAGACAGTACTTTATCGATCTCGGTTTCCACGCGCCCCCTCGCCAAACCACCCCCGACTTTTTGACCTCCATCTGTGACCCCAACTCTCGCCAGTTCCGCCCCGGCTGGGAAGACCGCTGCCCCAAAACGGCTGAAGAACTCGAAAAGGCTTTCCTCGCCAGCGAAGCCTACCAAGACGTCCTCGCCGACGTTCGCGACTACGAATCCCACCTCCAAGAAACCAACCACGCCGACACCCATGCCTTTAAGGAGTCTGTTGTGTCGCAAAAGTCCCGCCGTGTCTCCAAAGAGTCCAACTACACCGTCTCTTTCTTCAAGCAAGTCGCCGCCTGCACGCGCCGCGAGGCCTGGCTGGCTTGGGGCGACAAGCAGGAACTGCGGACCAAGTTCTTCATCATTATTGGCTGCGCTCTTGTCGTCAGCTCTCTGTTCTACGATTCCCCCTTGGATACTTCCGGCGCTTTCATGAGAGGCGGTACCACCTTCTACAGTATTATCTTCCTCGGCTGGCTCCAGATGGGAGAGCTGATGAAAGCTGTTAGTGGAAGGGCGGTGGTGGAAAGGCACAAGGCGTATGCTTTTTACCGACCATCGGCTGTTAATCTCGCTCGCGCAATTCTCGATTTCCCCTTGTTGCTCATCCAGGTCATCGTCTTCAGCTTGATTGTCTACTTCATGACGGGGCTGGACCGCGACCCGGGCAAGTTCTTCACCTACGTCCTCTTGATCTTCACGACCACGTACTGTCTGACCGCCTTGTACCGCATGTTTGCCGCAATAAGTCCCTCCATTGACGACGCAGTGCGGTTTGCCGGGCTGGCTCTCAACCTGATCGTCATGTACTGTGGCTACGTCATAGCCAAGCCCGTCATGCTCGGCCAGAAGATCTGGTTCGGCTGGTTGTACTATGTCAGTCCTGTCGGCTACTCGTTCGAGGCCGTCTTGACCAATGACTTCCACGGAAGGCAGATGCAGTGCTCGCCGGGTATGTTGGTGCCCCAGGGCCCTGGCGTCCAGCAGCAGAATCAGGGATGCACGCTGCCGGGTGGTATGCCAGGGGATGACACGGTGAACGGAGATGCTTATCTCGCCCAGCAGTTCCAGTACACGAGGGGACACTTGTGGAGGAACTGGGCGGTCATCATTGCCTTCTCTGTACTCTATCTGCTGGTTACCGTGTTGGCGACTGAGAAGCTGTCCTTTGTTGGCGGTGGCGGCGGCGCGCTGGTGTTCAAAAAGACTTCCAAGGCCAAGAAGAACTTGACGCTCGGCAACCAAGGCCAGCATGACGAAGAAAAGGGCAGCTCGAGGGGCTCCTCCACCGACGACATCGGCAAGAAAACACCCCAGGGCCCATCTCGCAAGGATATGGATGGCACCATCGAAAAGTCCCAGAAGGTCTTCACGTGGGAGAATGTCACTTACACCGTTCCCACGCCCCAAGGCCCCAAGCGTCTGTTGAACAACGTCACTGGCTACGTCAAACCAGGCGTCATGGTCGCGTTGATGGGTGCCTCGGGAGCCGGCAAGACGACTCTTCTCAACACGTTGTCTCAGCGCCAAACCGTTGGTGTCGTCACTGGCGATATGCTCGTTGATAGCAAGCCCCTTGGAACCGAATTTCAGCGCAGCACCGGCTTTGTCGAGCAAATGGATCTGCACGATGAGTCCACCACCATCCGTGAAGCCCTCGAATTCTCGGCCCTCTTGCGCCAATCCCGCGACACTCCCCGGGCCGAAAAGCTTGCATACGTGGATAGCATCATCAACCTCCTTGAGCTGGAAGAGATTCAAGACGCCATCATTGCTTCCCTGGGAGTCGAGCAGAAGAAGCGGTTGACCATTGGTGTTGAGCTGGCCGCTAAGCCTTCGCTCTTGCTGTTCCTTGACGAGCCCACCAGTGGCTTGGATTCGCAGTCGGCCATGTCCATCGTCCGCTTCCTGAGGAAGTTGTGTGCGGCTGGACAGGCTATCATTTGCACCATTCATCAGCCCAGTTCCGATCTGATCCAGGAGTTTGACAAGATCCTGGCCCTGAACCCTGGCGGTAATGTCTTCTACTTTGGTCCCGTTGGCGAAAACGGCTCTTCGGTCGTCAACTACTTTGCCGCTCGGGGTGTCGAGTGTCCGCCGGGCAAGAACGTGGCCGAATTCCTTCTCGAGACCGCCGCGAAGCCGCACAAACGAAAGGGTGAGGATGGGAAGAGCAGGAGGATTGTTTGGGCGACGGAGTGGAAGGAGAGTGAAGAGTACCGTCAAGTCCTTACCGAGATCAGCCAGATCAAGAAAGCCCGGGCCTTGGCCAACCAACTTACCCTCGCCAACGACCAAGCTCAGCCTGTCCAGCACGAGTTCGCAGCGCCCATTCCCACGCAAGCCTGGCTCCTTACCAAGCGCATGTTCATCCGCCAATGGCGCGACCCCTCGTACCTCTACGGCCGTCTTTTCATCTGCTTGATCATGGGCATCTTCAACGGCTTCACCTACTGGAAGATTTCGTCTCCACACTATTCCCGCCCGCTCTCCCTCACCGACCTCCAAAACACCCTCTTCACGGCCTTCCTGATCATCATGATCCCCAGCACCGTCCTCAACGCCGTCCTGCCCAAGTTCTACATGTCCCGCTCTCTTTGGGAAGCGCGCGAACACCCGTCCCGCATCTACGGCTGGGTGGCCTATTGCACGGCTGAGATTCTCTCGGAGATCCCTGGCTCGGTCGTGGCTGGCACCATTTACTTTTTGGCATGGTATCTCCCTACTGGCTTGCCCCGCGGTGCTGGCTCCACCGAGTCAGAGTCAGCAGTCTACGTCTGGCTGATGAGCGTCGCCTTCATGGTCTTCATTGCTAGCTGGGGCCAGTGGATTTGCGCTTTTGCTCCCTCTTTCACCGTCATCACCAACGTGTTGCCGTTCTTCCTTGTCATCTTTTCGCTGTTCAACGGCGTCGTGGTGCCGTGGGCACAGATGAACGTTGCGTGGAAGTGGTGGTTGTACTACATCAACCCGGCGACGTATTGGATCGGCGGCAACATGGCTGCCGTCCTTCGAGGACAGACTGTCCACTGCGCTGATAACGAGATGGCTGTGTTCCGCCCGCCGGTGGGAGAGTCATGCCAGAGCTTTGCGGGCACTTGGTTGTCTGATGTGGGCAAGGGGTACCTGACGACAATAGGAGTTGGTAACGATGGCGGGTTTGAGTGTGGGTATTGCCCGTATGCGGACGGCGAGGAGTACTTGGCCAGTCTGAACGTGAAGTCGAGCCAGATGTGGAGGAACTTTGGTATCTTTGCGGCGTTTTGTGTCTCTAACTGGGCGTGAGTATTCCCCTTCTTTTGGCAATTGTTGAAACAGAAATGCTAACAAACTGATGAACAGGCTCGTGTACTTCTTCATCTACACTGTCAGAGTCAAGGGGTGGTCATTCGGTTTCGGCTTTGTGGCAAGCGTTGTGGGAGCGGTGGTTAGCACTGTGAAGGAGAGTGTGGAGGGTCTGTTTGGTAAGAAGGAGGAGAAGGAGGAAAAGAAGTGAGTACCTGGTAATGGATGTATGAGATGACGGACATGTGCGTGATGTTGGGTTGGTTTCTTACTTTGTTTGCGCATTTGGCGTCATGTTGCGGATATCGGATGTGGAAGGCATGGATGGATGGGATGGAAGAAAGTTGTGATACCTATCTCGCAGTTACCTAGACTCGGTGTTTTTGGAGGAAGATGATAGATAATATCTTATGTAATGAACTCTTGATGTATTTTTCGTATCTTTCGTCTGGTTGTCTCTTTTCTTTTGATTCTTTAGTTCGTGATACAGTGGAATCCAATGTCTTTTTCAGTTCTTGGCCTTGGTCGATTCGTACCTCGAAATCCGATGAACGGACAACGGGCAATGCTGCGGGATACCGAAAGCGGAAAACTGTTTACATCGTGCTGCTGTATGACGGGAAGCGCTGTGACTGGCGAACCTTCCGTCTTTCAGGCACTCGGACCGTTAATTGGGGCTGCCCGATGACGTAGGCATGTCGTACCTTGGAAATGACGTCGTTTGAAGAAGGAGGACGGATTCGTTCAGTTTCCCTTTTATATCGTCGTTGCTCCTCTGATTCCAAGAGACAACGAAACAACAATTAGAGAGCCATCATCCAACCCAACCCAACCACGCGAATTACCCAAAATGGTCGGCACGCACAACCTCCAAGCTTCCAAGCTCTTCAACGTCGATGGCTGGGCCTGTCTCATCACGGGCGGCGGCACCGGCATCGGTCTGATGAACGCTCAAGCGCTTGCTGCCAACGGCGCCCGCGTGTACATTACGGGGCGGCGGTATGGGGTTCTTGTGAATGCGGCCAAGGAACATAGTCCCAAAGAGGGAAATGGCAAGATTATTCCGTAAGTCCAGTCGTTTGTTTTGCTCTCCTCGCGGATTTACCAAGGAAAAACACCCTCCTAACAAATCCGGGTGTCTAGCATCGGCCCCTGCGACGTCACCAACAAAGAGTCACTTGAATCGCTCGTGCACAAGTTCTCGTCGCTTGAACCGCATCTCAACCTGCTCGTCTGCAACGCCGGCATCTCGGGCCCCAAAGCCGACCCGTCCGTCTCCTCGTCGGCCAAGGACATTGCCCACGAGCTCTGGACCAAGGAAAACTTTTCCGACTGGTCGTCCGTCTTCACCACCAACGTTTCGTCCGTTTATTTTACTACCATCGCCTTCTTGCCTCTGCTGCAAGCCTGCAGCGCCGCCCACCCCGAGGGCCACAACCACATGGCGGGCAACGTGATCGTCATCAGCTCCATGTCGGGCATCATGCGCAACGCGCAGAAACACTTTGCCTATAACGCGTCCAAGGGGGCGACGGTGCACTTGACCAAGCTGATGTCGACCGAGTTTGAGAAGACGGGCGTGCGGGTGAACTCAATTGCGCCCGGGTATTTCCCGAGCGAGATGACGACGGGGGAGAGTGATGAGAAGAATAAGAGCGAGTTGTCGGATGACAAGGTCAAGGGACACGGACACAAGGTGCCGGCGCAGAGGGCGGGGCATGATGAGGAGATGGCCATGGCAGTGCTGTTTTTGGCCAAGGATCGCTATGTCAACGGGAGTGTGATTTGTGTGGATGGCGGTGTTTTGGGGGTTGTGCCTGGTAACTGAGGTGAATACCTATTCAGGTGAGGAGGAAGAAGGAAACGATAACAGCAGCATATCAATGGCGTTCGGAGTTTGGCCTGCAAACAATGATGATGACGCAGGGTATAAAGTTATAACAGGAATAAATGAGAATCTCGGTACCGAAACAATTGATTACATGTAGATATTACGCTTGCTGGGTACCTATACAAGATGGTTTTTGCGGACAAAATAAACCAAACACGGACAGTCCACTACGTCTCGCTTTCACAAAAGTGTAACAGGGAGTACAATGATGTGAAAACATGTTAGCCAGAGACACTTGAGTTTTCTTTCACATACGAAATGCTTAGAAGCTAGATCCAAAGATCGAACAAAGATGCTTGGATGCACGTAATATTCGGACAGTAATTGTGTTCTGTTTACTTGTACGACCATCACCTACTACATAAAATGCTATGGCAACGGGCGCTAACAATTTCTCTTTAGCCGCTATGGTATTTCTTGGCACGAACTGGTGGGGGGCATCCAGCGGCAATGGAATTTTGACCAAAACACCAAATTACCTCTGCTGAACAACAACACGAAGCATGGCACGAAGACGCCAGGTCAATACTAATTGATGCTTTGATTGCTAACCTAGGCATCAAATGAAAACCACAAAGAGACAATAACATTCCAATAACCCGAAAAATTCAAACGACCGACCGACGCCGACCACGATGCTATCCCAACCACCATCCTATGCAACAAGCAACATTCCGAGCCGATGACGATGACTTCCCCGTCTAAACCCCAGGCAGAGTAACAAGACCAGTATACGACCCCTCATCGCGATGCACAACCGTCTTCTTGCCCGTCTCGACATCAACCGCATACACGCTCCCACCCAAGTCGCACACAAAGATCTGCTTCCTGGCCAGATCTAATTTGAGACCAATCGGCTCATGGAACCGTCTCGCCAGAATCTTGACCTCCTTCATGTCGCCCTCGCCGTTGCCCGAGACCTTGGCGCAGTTCAGCGAGCAACCGCGCGGGTGCTCACCGCGATCAGTCCAGTACAGCACCCCCGTCTCGCTCTCCATCTCGAGATCAATCGGCTCAGGCAGCTTGTCGAACACGACCTCGATATCGGAGCGGTTCGAAGCAGTCTCGCCGGCAGCGAGGAAATCATAATCCATGTTGGCGCGGAAAATGCGACCGAGGTTGGACTTGGCAGGACCCTTTTGCGTCCAGTAGAGCTTGCGCTGCTTAAGGTCGACGGTGATGCCGACGCACCAGTCCATCAAGTCACCGACACCGCCGGGATTTTGCACGAGGACTTCGTGCTCGCTGCCGTCGACGTTGCACCGGTGCACGGAACAGCCCTCGCGGTCGCAAAAGTAGAGCTTCTCGGTGCCTGACTCCTGGTCCTTGACGAGCACAAGCTGCTTGGGCGTCGTGAGGATGCCGTCGCCCAAAAGGACCTTCTTGTCGGTGCCGTCGAGAGTGGCGGACATGAGCGAGCCGTCTTTGGCGGTCACGTCGGCGCCCATGTTGGTCCAGTACATGCGGTTAGCGGACGGGTCGACGTCGATGCCGTCGGGGAGGGGGAGACCGGTGACGAGGGCCTTGGGCGGCTGGTTGGGTGCATCGAGGCGGAGGATCTTGCCGTTGGTGGAAATGGCGGCGAGGGAGGGGTAGGCGGGGGAATTGGCGCCGAGACCAACGTCGAGGACGAAGATGGGCGGCATCTGCTTCTCGGCGGTGGTGGTGCCGGCGGCGGCGACGACGGTGGAGGGAGGGTAGAGACCACCCTGCTCGGGGGTCTTGAGACCGAGCTTGCCCTGGGTGATGTAGTGGTTGCGTAGCCAGTCAACGGTCAGGGACCCGTCGAGCTTGCGCTCGTTGATGTAGTTGTCCTCGATGAAAGCGACGGTGTCAAGGCCAACGCGGTCCATCATTTGGCAGGGGACGACCGAGGTCTGGAACATGTGAGCCCAGAGGGCGTCAATCTCGGCGGCGTCCGAGACCCCCTCGGCGAGGGTGGTGAGGATTTCGCGCTTGACCGCAGCCCAGATGCGGTTGAAGATGAAGCTGGCAAGTGTCAGTGGTGATCTCTCGGGGGTCCGAGTGGGTTGTCGGCCAAGATAGGGGTCGTGGAAACTCACCCAGTAGACTCCTTCCTTGCCGTCGCCGGGAGCATGCCGCACAGCCTGAGCACGTCGCTCAAGAACGGAAAGATCTCTTGATGGGTATACCCATCCGTCATCAACTCCACCGTCCTCACCATCGGCGGCATTGTGTAGTGCACATTGCACACCATCTTTCTCCTCTCGTCGCTGACCAGGTCCAGCATTAACCCGCTCCTGAAACTGCTCGAGTTGGATCCCAGGATACAATCCTTGGGCGCGTACTTATCCAGCTGCCCAAAGGTATCAATCTTGAGCTCGATCTTCTCCGGCACCGCCTCGATGACGAGCCATGCGTCCTTTACCGCCGTCTCGATGTCTGCCGACGCCGTGTAGGTGCCGTACGGAGCGGGCTTGCCGTTGGGGCAGAAGGTGGTGTAGAATTCCTTGTTGTCGTCAATGTACTTGAGGGCGTCATCGCGCGCTTGAGGAGAGGGATCCCGGATGTGCACATTGAAACCGCCGGCGACGTAGGAACAGGCGATGCGGCGGCCGAGGACACCACCGCCCAGGATGGTGACGGGGCGGGAGCCGATATAGGGGGCTGACCAGACCATGTTGAATATGTGTTTGCAGTCGGGTATCAAGTGTGGTCGTTTTACGGTAAGGTGGTAGGTAAAAAGTGAAAGATGCGATGAATGGACAATGGTTTCTAGACAGGATGAATGATGAAGGAATATGCTAACAACGCTCCAACATGGTCAAAACATGGCAGATATATACAGCATATATTCAGAGCAGGGTTTCCTGAATCCGGGTATAGGTGCCATGGAAATAACACCCATCAGTTACGAGTTCTCGCGGCACCGACCAAGCCGTGTGCATGGAAACTTTGAAGACTGGCCTGGCCGTCCCGAGAACTCCGTCGGCTACTGTCTTGGTTGTTGGGTAGTAAGGTGCTGGTGAATCGTGATTAGGGGCACGGGAAGGTCCGGTACAAAAATGGGCAATGCGAGGATAATTCAAGGGAGATCCCATTGATGATCGATATCATGGATAGGTATGTTAGTATGGGATGTTATGGGATGGGATACAAGGGGAAGGAAGGGGAGCATGGCCGGCCGAAGCTCGGACGAGGAAAGCCCGGTGTCAGCAGCTTGTTTCACGAGTTCAAAACCCAATCGGCGGGCACGGCGGCCGGGCTATCAAGCCTGTCATCCACTTCAGCAGTTCCAGTCCTAAGAAAAGATATCCCGGAATAGGTACATACCAACAAAAGGGTCCGGTCTTGAGTTCAAAATGCGATGAACTCTGAGTCTGTGCTTTGGAGAACATATAGGAGAAATCACAGAGAGATGGCTAGAAGGTCCAATCAGAAGAACGGGATCTGAGAGCTCAATGCAAGGAAATAACGAAACCAGATCGGACCGACAGGCTGGGACATGATTCTGGAGATGCCGGGATGAGCGTCAAGGCTGAAGACCGTCGAGGCCACGTGCGTCGATGTTGGTAGTGACCGATGAAGCGGTGCATAATTCCCCTAGTGCCCCCTAGAGGTAATCTCCGTGCCCGATCAGCGAGCCTCGACGGCTAGACCGATTAAGTACAAGTTTTCGACAACCAACCATCTTCCAAGGATCTCGCTTCATGCGAAAGCTGGCCGCTCGTTCGTCCTCTTGAACTTTGAAGGTTGTTTTGTTGTGTCCCGAGCGTGCCGATGGGATTTGACTTGATGGATCCTTCCATTTCTTCTTTTGCGCATGCACGGCCCTGACGGGTGAAACTCGCTGCCGTATCGGAATGAGGAGATTTAATAACGCTCGTATATGTGTAGACGGTGTAGCTCGGCTTTACCAACGGCCAACGGGTAACTAACGGTCAACAACCTGGGTTAGTGGGCGTGTGTTTGGGTTGCTGTGCAGGGGTCAATGACGAAACTGGTCCAGACAAATACATCGACGTCATAAAGTGATCGAATCTTGCACGGTCCCCGGAGACTTTGTGGGTTGACGATGGAGCCAGCGAGCAGGGACAGGCCTTTATCTGTCAGGGGCATCATGTTTCCATATGCCTCATTTGTGGAGTCGGGCCAAGAAAGGAATTCTTCGAAGTATCGACCATGCCCACCCGATGTTTTCAATGAATGTTCCAGGCGGACATCAGTCTGGAACGCTGGTATTAGTGGGCTTGGCGACGGTGGTGTCCAGTGCCTAGGTAGCATCGGACATTTTTCGTTCTAGGCATGGGATTTCTTTAGTGCCGGTAAGTAGTTCGCCTCCTTGATGGTGTTATTCCCGAACGTAGTGGAGGTGGAGACGAGTTGAAGATCTTTTTCTTCGATGATTAGTGTTTGCGCAGTCGGAGATTTCTTGCGTTGACGAGATACCAATTTCACAAAAACATCTCAGATGTAAGTGAACTCTTGATTCGGGACAGGTGGAAGGGACAGGAAGTTTAAGGAGTTATCTACAGCTTTTTCAGACTTCAAGGGAAACCCTCGATAAGTCCGTCAGACATGAACAGAACACAACAATCACGAACACCCAAAAGGTACCATCAATGATGTACATCATCGTTGATATTTGTGACAAAGGAAAAAGTCTTCTATATCAAAACCAGTAGTATCCCATCCACATCCGAATCTATAACAAACCCCTTTTGCTACCTCTACCTGAAGAACCTTGATCGCAAACCCCGTAAATGCAGTTACAACAGTAATGATGACCACCACCACTTCAAGTCATTAAATAACAAACCGTCAAAATAGTTCCACCGGAGAAAGACCCAGAATTACCTAGGTACCTCTAGGTACCTACGTAGATAGCTCCCATATACCATACACCACCCTAGACTTAAAACAGAAACACCTGATCGGTAGCCTTGGAAAGCGTACCAGGGGCCGTGAACCCAAGAGAAACCAGATTCTTGCTCATGGCAGCCACCATAGGAGGAGGTCCGCAAAGCAGCATCTTGGTGGTATCCGCCGCAGGAGGCAAGAAATCCTTGATCATATCGGCAGTTACGAAACCCCTAAGGCCCGTCCAGTTCTCGTCCGCCTGGCCGAGGACGTACTGCACCGACAGCTTTTCGGGGAACGCCTTGACGAACCCGTCGAGCTCCTCCCTCAGCAGGATATCCGCCTCGGTGTTGTTGGCATACAGTAGCGAGATCTTGGTCTTGTCGCTCTCGTCCTCGCAGATGGCGCGGATGAGCTGGTACATGGGCGTGATACCCGTGCCGCCGGCAATCATGCCAATCTCCTTGGCGTAACTGTTGGGCACGTACTGCATGGCGCCCTTGGGCCCGCGCATTTCGATTTGGTCGCCAATCTCCATGCGCTCGAGGTGCTTGGTCATGAGGCCCTGGTCGTAGACCTTGATGAGCAGCTCGACGCGGCCGAGGTCCGAGTTGTTGGAGACGGGGGTGTACGAACGCGAGACCGATTTGCCGTCGATGAGCGCGCGGAGGGCGACGTGCTGGCCGGTGGGAAGACCGAGGACGTCGGTGGGGTGGGGGAGGGCGAAGACGAGGTGGTAGACGTTGGGCGACACCAACACCTTGCGCACCAGCTTGAACTTGCGCCAGTCGGCCGGGTCCATCACTTTGACGGGAGGCTTGACGGCAGGACCCGAGGTGGAGTTGGTGGGGATCTTGAGAATGGCCACCTTGCGCTCCTTCTTGGCCGGACGGCTGCGGGGGAAGTGGGTGAACTCCCTTTGGGCCTCGAACTTGGAGAGCGCCCAGGTGGTGGCGGCCGTGGCCAAGGAGAGCTCGACGACGGTGGCGATGCCGACGCCCCACCAAAAGAGCTTGGAGGAGCTGCCGTTTTGGGCGAACTTGGAGCGGATGAAGTCGGCGAGCTGGTTGATGGGCTTTTGCGCGGTGGTGACGGCGGCGAGAGCCCATTCGGGACCGGTCCACCAGCCCTTGGCCAAACCAACGGCGCCAACGCTGGCGATGACGGAGGACATGGCGATGGTCCTCCTGACACTTTTCCTAACCTTGCTGACAGTGGCTTTTTCGACCTTGACAGCGGCCTCCATAGCGACCTTTTCATATGTTGGCCTGAAGATCTCAACCTCTTCAGCATGTTCCTGTGGACGATATTTAGTGAGCGATGAATTAAGGGGCAAGTAAACAAACAAGGATACCAAAACCTACCTCTTCCGCCAAATCACCAACGTAGAGCTCTTTTAGGATATCGGTGGCCTCGACAGAGTGTCCGATCTCCACAAACTGCTCGGTCGCATCCGTACCGGCGACCTCACGAAGAATGATGGAACCACCGGGATGGTCTTCGAGGTATGTTGTGACGTTGTAGACTGAGAAGGTCAGCAAAGGGGTCACCATCTGTGGAAATAAGGGGAAAGAGCAAGTCACCTTTGTTGTGAATGACCATCCAGACATCGTCCTTGCTGTTGTGCTTGCGCACGTCGTCCAGAGTAAATGTGACGGCCATGATTATTTTTTCTTGGTTTTGAACAAGTGCTGCAATCCAGTGCGAATATTACAACCTTGCGAATGAGATACCGAGAGTAAAATGAGTGTAGTCGGTGTATATAATCCCACAAGCAACAAATAAAGTTGAACCAAGCAAGAACAACCGGTGTGGTGGTCAAAAAGGGGGTGTTTGTTCTTGTATACACCTCTACGGATATACAAACCGCAAAGTCGGAACCGGAATTGGATATTCTCGCCCTGGTCGGCGAGATATTCCCGGCGCGCCGTTGCGGAACCGGGTGCCGAGCAGAGGGACATGCTAGATGGAGTAGCGGGTGAACCTCCTTCCTCGGTCCCCGTCTCGAAATCTCCACGCCTCCGCCCTATTCTCGACTTGGAAGGTCCATGTAACCTTTTTAGTCTTGCGTTTCGTGACGGACTGTCACCCTGTGCTGCATTCGTTGACGAGAACAGCAAGCGGTCCACACTCGATGGGTATCTCCGAGTTTCATCGCCCCCCTTTGTCGCAACCCTGAAAGCTTGACAGTTGGATTTCTGCAGCATCCGATTGGTGATCGCCGCCACTTGCCCAACGTCTGCGGTGGGTCATGTTGAGCGCGCGAAGTTCGGTCGAGTTACCACCTTGGCCTGTCCCTGGTTTCCGTCGATGCCCGTTGTTCCATCCCTTTTCCTTCGTGGGCCTTCCGTCCTTGCCGCCCGGACTTACACCGGACGAAGACCAAGCATGGGCCCCGAAACTCCACCATTTTTAGATATTGGTCCTGCACTGATACGGGGCGCGGGGAGGGGGCGGACAATGATCGGTGATTGACGGCACCGAACTCTTCGAAGAACAACCCTACCCGCACTCAGATCTTGGAAGGTTCTTTGGCAATTCTGCTCTTTGCGTAATGCTACCAACAGTGCCATTGACCCAGTCGCAGTGCAACAGACGGCGGAAAGCGAGATGCCGAGACCCGATCATCCCCCTCCCCCATGTTTTGCTCACCAAGGGGCTATAATTTGATATATAAACTTACAAAACCACCTGGCGATAGTTTATTCGGACTTGTTGTTGAATGATCGATACCTGTGTCTAACAGTTCAAGTGTTGTCTACACCTGGATCAACAATATCATCAATCATGTCATCACAAACGTTCTTCCTTGTTGGCGACGAGCCATCAACTGCCCGCGGCATTGTTGTCGATCCCAAATGGAAGCTTGAGGAGCTCAAGAGGGCTGTTGGTCTTGCCCACCATATTGCTGTGCCTACCGGTATGTCAACAAACCCCCTTTCCCGTCTTAGACGCGACACACTAACAAACACAGGCATCACCTTCCACTTTGACGCCGATGACGAGCAGGAGCTCAAGACCGTCGAGGACGTCCTCAGGGCTTCTGGTCCTGTCGCCTGCAGAATCGATGGCAACCCTGTCCGCGACCCCCAGGGCCCCGAGGGTCTCCCCATCGTCGGCTCCTACTATGAGATCTTCCCCGACCACTTGGGCAACCACTACAGACTGTTCCGCAAGTACGGCCACGTCATCAAGACCACCAACATGGGCAGGACCAACTACCTGACTGACGACCCAGCCGTGGCGCTCGTGGCCCTCGCCGAGTCGGCCTACTTCACCAAGAAGATCACCGAGGAGCACCCCCTCTTCGGCATCAAGGACAACTCGGCCATCTTCATTGGCGACACCGAGACCGAGAACTGGCGTCTGGCCCACAAGTTCCTGCCGCCCGCCATGGGCCCCAAGGCCGTCCGCCACTACACGTCTCTGATGCAGGAGTGCGTGCGCGGCTCCTTCAAGATCTTTGACGAGCTCGACAGCCGCGGCGAGTCCTGGAACGTGTACCAGTTTATGGTCAAGCTGGCCTCGCAAACGGTCGGTAAGTTCGCCATGGGCTTCGACTACCACCACTTTGACGCCGTCGATACCCCCTTGCACTCGCTCGTCACCAACATCGTCAAGCTGCTGGCTCTCAACAAGAAAGTCACGGCCCGCGGCAGCTGGTACCAGCAGCTACCCTTCGGCGACCCGGCCAGACTGCGTGAGATCCGCAAGATCACATACGGCCAGTTGGCCGAGACCATCGAGTCCGCGCCCAAGTCCGGCATCGAGAACCTCCCGCTCAACGAGGCCGCCACCAAGGCCTCGTGCGTGGCCGACTACCTGCTCAACGCCGTCGACGAAAAGGGCGAGCACTTCCCCAAGGGCCTGATCCTGTCCAACATGCTCGTCGTCACAGGCGCCGGCTACACCACCACCTCCTCTCTCTTGTCGTGGTGTATCTACTGCATCGTCACCTACCCCAAGATGCAAGACCGGCTGCTCCAAGAGCTCATCGACCACGGCATCAACAGCGAAACCGACTGGGACCCAGACCTGGCCCACTCGCTCCCCTTCCTCGACGCCTTCCTCAAGGAAACCCAGCGGCTGCACAACGCCTCGTTCCAGCCCGGCCGCACCACCAAGACGGACGTCGTGCTCCCCGGCGGCTTCCGCCTGCCCGAGAACGTCATCATGATCCCGGCGCTGTACGCCATCCACACCAACCCGGAGCACTGGCACGACCCGTTCCGCTTCGACCCGGACCGCTGGGACACGGAGGAGGTCAAGAGCCGTCACCGCGGTGCCTACATGCCCTTTGCCACGGGCCCGCGGTCGTGCATTGGCTTCAACTTTGCACTGCTGGAGATCAAGGTCCTCTTGTCGGAGCTGGTGTACAGGTACAAGTTTGCGAGAGAAGGGTTTGAGGCCATCGAGTATGATCCCGAGTTCCAGCTTATCAGGCCGTTGAACTTGTACGTGACTGCCAAGAGGAGGACCGAGTGGCCTGCTAAGAGCAGCGCGTAAGTAGGCAGGTAGGCGGGCGGGATGCTGACTGAGGATGATGATCTGATGGTTGTGGGCTGGGTTGACTTTTTCCTGTCTTGTGTCGTGTCGTTGCATCTAGGGGGGGGGGGGCATTTTCTCGGTGTTGTTGTTCGGTTAAAATTGCATCTAGATTGATCTTTTCCTGTCTGTCTGCATTCTTACCTAGTGGGCGGGTTTTCTGTACATACATCTTTATTCTCTTCTGGCCCTTCCCGGTGGTCTTGGAATGGAAAATCGGGTATTACTTCGAGCATTACATTCTTTGCTGGTGATCTAGCATGTTCTTGATCGAGAAACACCTGCCACGCTGGATCACTACAGTCAGATGACCGCAGAATGCATGGCCGGCAGGTGCCAACAGTTCATCTGACATTACACGTGTATCTCTACTAACAGAACTGACGTAAACATGAATCCAACATCCAAAACTTGACATCTCTTTCCAAAAACACAAACTCCATGTATGCTACTATGTCTACAATGCCAGACCAGTCCATCGTGTATTTCCTGTCAATGCATTGTCCCAAGTCTATCCCTGCTTCAAAACCATGTTAGGTATCCATCTGTACCTCGACCTCTATTTCACCACCTGACATATCCAGTCGTCACCGCCCATAACTCTCCTTGAGCGCTCTCAACGCCCTCGAATGCGGTCCCGAATGCCTCACGTTCGTATCTGCATCCAACCACTCACTCTCCCTCTCCTCCTTTTCCAAGACGGCAATCAGCTTTTGAACCAGGGGTTCGCTCCTTCTCGTCCATTCCTCTCTTAGTGCCTGCATTCCGCTTCCCTGCTGTTGCTGCTGATGCTGTTGATGGCTAGAAGTAGGAGTCGACGAGCCCCCTGGGCCACCACCAACCAGAATCTCTCTCAACATCACCGCCGAACTAACCGCATTATGCACAAACGGCCACGACCGACACACGGTCGGACTCAACTGGTACATATCCAGGAATCCACGAACAGCTTCGGTGGCATACATGGCGTAGTCGCTCGTCAGCTGTTCTTCCTCTTGTCCCTGGATCCCGACCGCGTCATATCCCCCTTGCTGGCCACGATCCTCACGCAGCGAATTCACACACGATCGATACATCCTACACAATGCACTGGCCCCATGGATCTGGAGCCCCAATCGCTCCAAATGCTCTTGGCGAGTCTTGCAGTGCGAGTCATCCCTGAGGTACTGGACTGCATCTTGGAGGACCAGCTCGAACTGGCGCTTAAAATGAAGCAGCGAGTGTATTTGCGAGTAGCGGCGGTCTTTTTCCGTCCCGAACAAGGCAGTAGGAGATTGGGCAGTCGCGGTGCCCTCGCGGGTCCAGTCGAGAACGACAAGGCAAACTCGGAAGACGGTTTCTGTAAAGGTGTATTTCGTGGGGTCGGGGTTGACGCTGGAAGAGCGCGAGGAGGCAAGGTGGCGGTGGGTGCCGAGCATGTCATTGTGCAGGATGGTGGAGGTTGCGACGGGCGGGCGGTCGTAGGTGAGGGAAAGGAAGGTGTCTTGCCAGATGATCATGCGCCTGTTTCGAGACTCTTGTTAGCGTGGCTGGGCGAACGAGAGATAAAAAGAGGGGGAGACTAACCAAAGATGTGCCGCTTGGCTACGATGGACCTCGCTCGCCCATGCGCCCTGCGATCCCGGCATGGATGCCTCATGCAATCCAATACTCTGCGCCAACCGGATTGTGGCGCCGAGGAGTATCCAAGCACTATTTGTCTCCAGATTATTCCGCAAGCAGTGGCAAACGAGAGCCATGGCTTGGATCTGGTTCAGATCGGTCTTGAAAAAGAGGTTGGCTGTTCTGAGGCATTGGAATGCGGAACAAACTGGAATCACCTTCCTGTTAGCATCGCGTTAAGGCCAAGGAAAAGGGAGGCTCATGCTCACCAAAAACCTTGCTCCTCAAATACCTCTCCTCCGCCGTATCCTCGCTAAACTGGGTCCCACACGCCAGCACACCAAACAACAAGGCCAGCCAGCTCGGATCCGTATTTTCCTCGATCCAACTCATCGTCGGCCCTCCTGCCATGCCATTGCCATTCCCCATCCCCCCCTCGGCCTCCTGCTGCTGCGCTCTACTCATCATCGGCTGCCTCGACAAGAAGGCATAGATACTCGCCCGGAACTCGTCGGGCGCCATGAGAATCGGGTAAAACGGATAGACATACGTCTCAAAAGCCTGCCAGTACCGAATGATGTCGCTCTGACAAGGCAGTGTCCGACAAACGTCGCCTAGCTTGGCCTCGGGGGTCCACAGGTTGGTGAATGGATACGTCCGCGGGGTCAGCTGGACTTGGTGGTGTCTGACTCCTCCTGCTCCGCCCTGTCCGTTGAGGCCGGCGTCCCCGCCGGGAGAGAAGAGAGGGGCAGGGTCCTGGAAGCAGCCGAGTGAAAGAGGAGGGTCGGCACGCCTACCAAGAAAAATGGTGGCGCCTGTGGCTTCTTCGACAAAATGTTTTCCGCGGAAGAGGGAGGTTGCTTCGAGCTGAGAGATGGCAGGCGGGGTGGCGCCGTAGCGGGCTTGGGTGGAAGACGGTTTACGGTTGTCGTGGGAAGCGCTGTGGTGGTTGCCGTAGGTGGTGGTGGTGGTGGCTACTAACGAGTCTAGGCGGGGGAGAAGGTCGGGAGTATCTGGTTGTTGGTGGTGGTGGTGCTGATGCTCGGAATACTGCGACACTGATGGTGTTTGCGCATCTGATTGGGCATAGGGTTGCTGGTTGCCGGCATTCTGGTATGCTCGGTTGGACCGGCGCTGGACCAAGTCCGACTTGAGAGCTTGGATTTGCCTCTCAATGTTTTCGAGACGTTCGAGGATGCTGTCATCATCATCTTGTGGTTGTGGTTGTGATTGTACTAATGGTGGAAGATGGTTGTCTCTGGGTTGTTGTTGTTGTTGTTGTTGTTGTTGTTGAGGGTTTGGTGAGGCTATTTGGTGTGGTCCTCTCGTCTGTGGCTGCGGTGGGGGAGGATATCCCGAACTAACACATCCGCCCGGGCATTGTCAGCATGTGTGGGGGTGTATGTTTACAGAAAAGAAAGACAAATCGCCCACATACCATCCGTTGACTCCAACGTCTGGAGAGCTATTGTCAAGATAGCCATTGTGCTGCTGCTGCTGCTGTTGTTGTTGCCCCGTTGTCGTGGGGTCAAAAGTAGCAAACCCATTACTCCCGGCGTTGTAAGGATCGCCGCCGCCGACAGATCTCGGCGAAGTAGCGGCGACTGACGAGGATATTCGCTTGGTGACGGTGGACTTGGTGGTCACTGACGAGGAGGCTCCGGGAGTGGTAGTGACGCGGCGACACAGCGAGACGTGGTCTCTCTTGACGCAGTTGGAGCATGGAAGACCGCCGTCGCAGCGGACCTTTCGGTGTCGGCAAGGGAAGCAGGACTTGACATCGCGGGCTTTGCGCTTGTGCCTCAACAACTCGGTGACCAGGGCCGTGTTGTAGCCGTTGATGCCATCGGAGGAAACGACGTCGACCGGGATGGTCGGGACTCCAGCGCCAGGTATGTGGGCGACACTGAGGCTGGGCGAGGGGGAGGGGAAGGGATTGGAGGCACCTGGTGTTGTTGTCGACGGTCGAGCTGATCGGGGGTCCATCTGTACAATGATGATGACACTGTTCCGCTGGCCCGATGATTGACACGAGTCCCCTGTTCACTTCTTTTTCTCAATGGACGTTGCTGGTTCGCGGAATAGTGGTAGTGTGCATTGGCAGCACATTGGCGTGAGGGACGGGACCTGGACTCGAGGAAAACAATGAGAAATGGATAAATTGGATTGCAGACAAGGATGGGACGATGTCAATTGGGGACCATGCCCTTGATCGAGACGACGAACCGATGATGGCCGCGCGGCGTGGATCATGTCAGGTCAGCACCAGGCCGTACATACACAGTAATCTAGTGTGGTGTGGGAAATCCGGTGAGGAAAATTATGGCAAAGCACTCAGCAGCGAACATTGTAACAGAGAGTGGACTGGAGATGGGAATTGCCGAGACGGGACCCTCCTCTTTAGCGGACGGGCTAACTGTCGACGGGACCACTCGGCTTACGACATGGTCGGTGTTGCTGCCGCGCCATTGGTGGTTGGCCGTTATTCATTCAGGGGCCGGGATATGCCGACAGGGGAAGAAACAAGGCCGAGTCCCGAAGCTACACTAGGTAACTGTAGAATACGGGCACGAGCAGGGGTATTAATTCAGTAGAGGGTGCAGACTATATATTGTGTAGAGCTCTGTACCAGGGAAATCCCTTATATAGAAAATCTAGTATCGAGGTAATGCTAGCGTGGCCTACTTACGTAAGGTCTGGGCTGGCCACCCTGGTCACCTCTTTTATCTGACAGTAACACTATCAATTGGGTGGGGTCACTAACTAAAGCTACAGAACACACAGGCCACTCCCGGCCTATTGCCGCCGGCATCTCCATTATTTGCATACATTAATACATAGTGTTGGGTCGAGCACGAAAACAAAACAAAACAAAACATCATTGCTAACACAAACAACGCCAAGCCACGTACCTGACGGGGCTCCGTGATCCGCCTCATGCACACCATCTTTGTGTGAATGATCTACGCAGTACATCCATCTCACGCCTCAGCTGAACCCCTCCATCTCCAGATTCCCCTGGCTTCCCTTACCTACCTTACCTACCTCAACAAGAGACCCACCAACACGACTGACTGGCATCTCTTGGCCAGAGACAGGATCTAGAAGTCCAGGTCCAACATCTATCTGACGGAAAAGAAGGGAAGGGGGGGCGTTTCAGGGTCTAATTCAACATGAACCCTTCTCTGAAGCCAGTTCCTGTTCGAAGACATGGTTGACAAGCCAAGACCACCGGTGCCGGTTCAGTACATACTTACGCCTATGTACCTGGTCTATGTGCTACGGAGTCGAAGAAGCATGGCATCTCCTCATTGACGACACCCCCGACTACAGCTTGTTTTGTTCATTGGACTGATGAAATGAATAAAGAGATGTCGTGGTTTGTTGACATGGGAATGGCTCGATTACGGACCAGACCACCTATAACAAACATCATATTACAAATAACAACACCATAAACACCTTGGGATATTGTATTCCTGGTAAACGATACCTCAGACACTTGCTAACACTACAACTCTAGACAACTTGTACTTCAATTCCAACACCGGCTTACACCTCAGTCTCAATCCCCGTGTCCTTATCCCCATGCTCCCCCAACTCCATCACCTTGCCCTTCCCCTTCTTCACTTTGCCACCCAGCCAATCCAGCGTCCTCGCCGCTTTCCACTGCATCACGCCTCGATGTTTTCTATGCAGCTGCTTTCGATGCTGTTTGTAATCCTGCACCTGCGCAACCACACCGCGTTTGCCGTCGTCGTGATCCGACCCAATCTTGTCGCCGTCAAGCTTGACAGATATCTTGCGCTTCAGTATGTGCGTGGCTTTGGAGACGGGGTTGTGATGGTCGTCCGAGGTATCCTGGAGGTCTTCGGTGTCCGATTCTGAACTGCTGGATGAGGAAGCCGCCGTGTTATCGCCGTGTTTCCGGAGAGCTTTACGCGTGGCTGCTTCTTGCGGAGTGTCCCGATGCCGAGGTGGGTGGATGTTGTGGCGGGTGTTGTACTCGTCATCAGACAGACTTGAATCGCTGTCCGAACCAGAATCGCTGCTATCTGTCTCCGACCAGGAACCACCAGCACCGTCATCATCGTCCTCGTGCATCTTCTCATCACACACCGTGTCCAACACCTCCATCACCGCCTTGACGTCGCTGTTCCTCGGCTTGCTCGCATATTTCCTATGATATCCGGACAATCCCCTCCAGAACCTGACTGTGAACTCGACCTCGCCCAACGGCTTCTCGCCTTCTTCCAACCCGTTATAATCAGCACAGGTGCTGGCCCTCTTGAGCTGCTTCTTGCCTCCCTTCCAGACCGGCAAACGAACAGTGACGTCCTCCTCATCCGGAATGGATGGAAGCCAAAGAACGGCCAACGCAGGGTTGGAATCTGGCAAGAGAGAGTGCTTGTCCTTATACTGAAGCACCAACATGCTCTGGTAGCGTTTGACGACTCCCAAAAAGATGCTTCCCTGGCTGATGCCATCGCCGGGCTGTCTCTGCTGCCCATGACCACCAACATGCCGTCTCTTGGGTACCCACACGCCCTTTTTTCCCTCCAGCGGATCCATCTTTCCCTTGCCAATCTTGGTCTTCAATTTGAGCTTGCATCCACTCAACCTCTCCAGCTCTCCCGTCCTTCCTTCCGTGTCATCACCTACACCACCACCAACCCACTTCACACCCCCCTTAACTTCCACGGTCCCCATGTCCCATCCCCTCAGCTCTTTGGTCATCACCTGCTCTCCCATCTCCACTCCTCTCCAAACCATACTCACCCTCATCCTGCCGTTGCCGATTCCTCCTGCCAACGGGAACGTCTCCATCACCTGACTCCTGTGCTCAAACACCTTTCTCAGGGGCAAATACACCACACCCAGCAAAGGATCCTCTTCCCCCTCTCTGCTATCCCTCACGCTGATGATCACCTCGCAAGTGGTCCAATCCTTGACGAACCTTTCGGTGCCGGCATTGAAAAAGGGCTTGGCGTTCTTGGGCTTGGTTCTGGTACGGTAGATCTTTTGCTGGTTGAGGATGATGGTGCAGTACGAGTCTGGCAGGCTATCCGACTGCTCGGCGGCGTCTTCCTTGACTTCGTCGGCGCCGGTGGAGCGGTTGCGGTCTTCGTTCAGCGAAGTGATTTCCAAGCCGGTGATGTTGTGAATCTGGATGGAGAGGATTCCTGATGGCATGGTGGGCAGGGGCGGAGAGGAGATGATCATTTGATCTTCTTTGGCCTTCAAGTCTTGAGCTTCCTGTTGGTGCTTTTCTTCAGACATGTCCTTGGAGAGGGAGGCTTCGCGCAGCTTGGACTTTGTGGTGTCGTGGACATTTTGCTTCAGGGAGTCGAGCGAGCGGATGGATGGGTCAAAGGTTTGCTTCTCAACTTGGCTCTGCTGGATGTGTGCCTTGGCAAAGTAGCCGACGGCCCAGGAAATAGTGCCGGGCATGGTCTCGTCGGGGTCTGAGGCCATGAGCCGGTCTTCGCGGTTGTGCATCTTGTTCTTGGTTTCCTCGCTATGCATCAACTCCTTGAGAGAAACCTCGACACGACCCAGATCGTCATCAGCAGTGTGCTTGTCCGAATCCCAGATTTGGATGCGCAGGTTCTCTTGGGCGTTGATCTCATCCGGCGAGACGAGAACGTAAGCCCACTCGTTCCAGACAGGCTCTTGCTCGTCGATAATGATGCGCGTGGAAAACATGGGCTTGCCGACCTTGCCCCATGACACGGTCACGTACGGATCAGAGGATCCCTCGATAGGGCCAAATCCGCCATCGCCGCACTTGAACCCGCGGGCTTTCTTGATGTAGACAGCCACAACACCTCGAGCAATGGTGTCCTTCTTGAAGTCATCGCCGACGAGCATGTCCTTGATGTCGAGCGTAAGCGACTTGGGGGCCACGTACTCCGCCAAGGCGGCGTCGACAGCGGACTGGACAAAGGACGAGATAAGCGGGATGTCCATCAGGTTGGGGAGGTGTTTCGACAGGGGGACGCAAGACAGGTTGACTCGCGGCTGGCCAAGGAAGGTCAAGGTGCACAGGTCGAAGAAGGGCGGATCGGGCGTCAACTGCAACCGCACACGCATGATGCCCACGAACCCCTTTAGTTCTACCCAGACTGGAACAGCCAGGTCACCAGGCAAGTAGAACTTGAGGTAAAGATGCGCATTCTTGGCCTTGCTGGTGATTGACTTTCCCGAGGACCTAGGCCTGTAAGCAAACGCCAACTCCATATTGACAAAGTCCCCTTCTTCAGCTTCCATGCCCTCCTGCACCATCTCTCCTCCTCCTCCGCCTTGAGTCTCCCCCTCTCCTTTGACCTCCCGATCGTTGTCCCCGGCATCCTTCAATCGTCCCTGATCGTCAACCGATTGTCCCGCGGCTCCTGTCGGCAACCACTTGATTCCCAAAATCCTAAAGGCCTCACTTCCCTGGCCGATATCATCCACGCTGACCATGCGAACCAGCTTGGGCAAGGAAGCTTGCATGACGTCCTCGAGCATGTCGGCGATGGAAGCAAACAGGTCCGGGTTGATCAAAGGCCAGACGGAGGCCAACAAGCCGTTCAACCATGCGGCTGATTCGGGTAGGGGGGCACCGTCTTTGCTGATGGTTTTTTCGGCGTGGCGGTCGGCGGCCCAGGTTTCCTCTTCAAAGATGGAGGAAATGCGCTTTTCGAGCCAGCCGGATAAACCCTGAATGAGAACGTAGGCACCTGCGCCGGCGAGGGAGAGGAAGAGGAGAAGGGAAAGGTAGCTCCACACTGATGTTTTGCTGGACTCGGATCCAAACCCTAGCAACGAAACGCAACCAAGTCCCAGCATGCCAACAACACTAAGTCCGGTTAGCCCAGCAGTCAATGCCTTTCGATAAGTCTCCATCATCTGCTGCTTTGTCTCCTCGAAGTCTGGTGGTGGAAAGAGCTTGTGCATGCCTTGATGCGCCTGTCCAACCTCGACCGTCTCGTCCTGTAGATGATCTTGGCTCTTATTCCCCGCATCTGGGCCCGTAAAGGTCCGATGATCCGACCCGACCGATGGGAAATTCTCGGGGACAGAGCCGAGGTTTTTGTCCGTCATGTCGTGAATCGTAATGGGCAAATGGGTTACCGGGTCGGTTACCTCACGACCGTGGGCCTGGGGTTGTTGCTTCTTCATGACCTTGCGCTTTTCTTTGGGATCGACGGTGGCAGCTACTGTCTCTGTTGCCGACTTTTCCTGGTCCTTTTTTTGCCTTTCCTGCTTCTGCTGTCCATTACCGTGCTGTGTGTTGTTATTCTCCTCGGAGTTGGGCTGTCCACCGTATACCCCTTGCTGTTGTGTCCCTGGATCCTCCACAGGCGCATCGGGCTCGTTCCTATTCGTAGTCGGATATGGGTTCCCGTCTTGATCCCCCTGTTGGTCTTCATTCTTGTGAATGGCTTTGACAGCATCATACGCCCGTCTAGTCTTGGACTGGGGTTCGTTGGCGTTGCCATTGGCGTCTGGCTGGAGCTGGGCTGCGTCCTGTTCTTCCTGCGCTTTGATCTCGGCTCGATGTTCGCGGTATCCCTGTACGGTAGGGACGGGGTGTTTGGCTGTGTATGGGCCGCCGTGGGCGCGACGTGCGCCTCGGTTTTCAAAGTCGTCGTCGTAGCCGGACATGGTGGTGATGCTTTGTTCGTATCGTGTACGTCAGGTTGGGCAGATGGAGGCTTGGTCTGCGCAATGGTTCGACGAGTTAGGTGTGTCGAGATGGGCGTGCTTTAGGAATCATAAGAGGTTTGATATGTTCGGTTGTGTTAAGTAAGGTAAAGATGATGGCATAGGTTGGATGTTCAGGTACCAGTTTCACCAGTCAAAGTCAACGAACTCTTTCTCCATGAACGTTTCCTCGGCCGATATGTTGAAGAAGAAGAGATGACGGAAGAAAAGAAGGAAAAGTCCACTTTCCATAACTTTCCCAAAACCAGCAAAGAAGGAAGAAGGTTCCACGAAAAAACAAACATTTGGAAAGGAAAATGCACAACGACGAATGACAAGATTTGGAAGCTGCGATTCGATTGGATTGACATTGTTTCATGCTTTCGTATTTTGGAGGAAAGAACTGGAAGGGGGGGGCAGCTCTTGGTCCGGCTTGGTATGACGTTCCTTTGTTACGTCATATCGAACGTTTCCAGACGGATTGGCTGTTGTCCCGCTGTAACCCCCCACTCTAGGTACCTTGTGTTTCTCAACCAGTTTTAGTGGACACGGAATCCTGAAAGCTCGAACAGAAAATCCGCGAAGTGGGAGTAGCAAAAGCACGGAGCTGCTTGTTTTTCTTGTAGCAGCCCCCTTTCCATCGACCGACCGATCAAGGCCTTTTGGACGTCTGACGGCACACTCTCCTCTCCATCCCACTGCATGACAGACAGTACATCGCCGCTGTCAAATCCAAGATACTCAGCTCTCCCAGGAGCTCGTCAGCCCAATGCTCCTAACTCCTGGGTATCGAGCTTTTGAAGAATATGCGTAAAGTTACTATTATCCTTTCCAAAATTCATGTTCTCTCCTTCTCGAACACGTCCGGAACTACCTCTATTACCCTTGTAGACTTATCCAGTGTATCAAGGGAGTTCTGTTTTTTTACAAGCAGGGATTGGATCACGGTCAAGCCACAAAGGCCGTCATTTCTAGCAAGAAACATTTTCATCATCTCTGCATACGCCCAGCCTTGCCATCAACAAGGGCCTGGGAACGACGTAGCATCCGCGTTATTATCTACGAGATCTTCTCAACGAGCCCTTACGGCGGCGTTTATTAACCTTGGACGCCGGTGGAGGACGTGGAGAGACAGAGTTGTTAACCGAGCTATCGGACTGGTTAGCAGGGGAAGACGCTATCCTGGATTTGGAGCCCCGGGTCACCCGGGTTGTGGGAGTCTTGTCTTGCTGGCTGGCCCGGGCTCGTTCACGTCGAGGCCTAAGCCCAGAAACTTCATTGGTTGCGGAGCTCAATGTTCCCTTATCACCACCACCCGGGGGAGGAGGGCTCGAGGTTTCTGTGTCGTTGTCCGAGGGAGGAGGAGCCGAGGTTGTGTTATCGACATTTGGAGGAGAAGCACTCGAGGCTGCGTTATTGCTACCCGGGGGAGTGGGACCCGGGGTTCCGTCATCGTCATCCAGGGGAGCAGGCGCGCCCACGTCAGTTCCGACGCCCGCAAGAGCAACTTGAGCCTTCATGTTGGCATGCTCAATTGCCTCGTTCCTCTGCCGCTCTGCCCAATCCCGCCCGTTTCGGTATGCCGTGAGTGCTGCCCGGTACATATCTGGACCGCCTTCGAGGGAATAACCAGTGACCAATGTCGTTACATACCTAGAGCGTCCTCCTGGCTTGGCTGGTGGGATGACATGGGCGGTATACATCTTGAGTGTTCCAGTCTGATAGGTACACGTCAAGGTGTAGGCCTTGTTGTCGTAGACGAGTTCAGATGCTCCGTACGAGATCAAGTGCTGCATTCCCCTCGCCCCCAGCGCCCCATTGTAGCATGCTTGTCGCTGGACTATGACTTCAGAGCCGACGGGACCTTTTACTTCTAGAAAGAAGTTGGGTAGTATGGGTTGCTCTAGCTGGGTAGAAGGAATGATGCTGCCTGCAAGTTCGGTACGGACTCGTTCATCGAGCTGCTCCAAGAGGGCTCCGTAGTAATAATCGGGTTTAGCATCGGCGATAGAGCCGTCGGTTAGGTGGTCAAGGTTGTTGAAGGGTACTTCCATACCCATGCACCTGATATCGCCAATTTTGCCTTGAATTTTGGGAATCACATGCTCCGTCACCATTCTCTCGTTGGTAGCGCACGCATGTGCTAGCTCAAACTCTTCGAATTCGGTACGCAAAGAGCGCGAAGGAGATAGGGACCGCCGCGGTCCTTGTGCTAACGCCCGCCTGATCTCATCCAGGTTGTCCGGTGCTGGGAGACGTTGGCGGACCCGTTGTGGATGGAGATAGACGTCAAAGTTTAAGAGGTGTGCTTGAAAAGCGTGATCGTACGGCCCACACCTGGCACTGCTCGTAGACGTAGGCGTAGTACCTGTTGCGCTATCTGTCGCAGTCCTGCTCCTGGATCGGCCTGAACCTCGTACCCGCCGGCGCAGGGTGGACACGCTTGAGCTCATGGGGGGTATGACTGCGGGTACGTGACACTGGTGATAGATCATAGGGTTAGTAGACTGGAGAGGAAGACTAGACGTAGACTGCGAGCACACGGTAGTGTACTTACCCCTCTCAAGTCCGACAGATCTGGGCCGCCGTGTCGGGCAAAGCGCTCGAGGTCGGAGGTGGAGCGAGCAGGAAGGTCGGCAGCAGCCGCGGGTCGAGGAACGGGGGAACCGGGTCGTTTGGGCTTCGAGTCCGGCGCCGATCGAGCAGCCTCTTTGTTCCTTCGGTTCAATTCCCGTAATGCGTCTCTTGTCAGAGGAAACCTGGTGCGCGGTGGTCGTGGCGGAAGGTTGAGCTTGGGCTTCTTGGATTGCAATTCCTCGATGGGCGCTCGTTTCCGCTTGCGCGGACTGGCGTCGTGGTGGTCGGCCATGTGGGTGGTTTTAAAGCGACGAGACGGAGAGACGGAGAGAGGGAGGGCAGCCCTGTTGCCTGACGATTCCTGTCTTTGCTGGCGTTTCTGATCCGGCCCCCCATGATTGGCCTAGCGTACTAGACGCGCATATGGACGAGGGTGTTGTCGTCCGCGTGGGGTGGTGTTTATCTTGAATGATAGGTGGTCAAAGCGCCACGCCAGACAAAATAAGCCAACGCCTCAGACTTTCTTTCGACGCTAGCGTGGCGAGTGTTACCCTTCTGCCTGAACCGACGCGATGGGCAATGTGCCTCTGGCGCCTCGATCGCCGTCTCTCTTTCCATGTTTGGTTTCTGGATCTGAAAAGTTGTTATTGTCGAGTTCGTGGGGCTTGCGCTGTGTCGAGATCGCTGGGCCCATGGGACATTTCAGAAGAGCGGAAACCAACGTGGTGATTTTGATGGATTTGTTTTGTTGAACGTAAAGAAGAGAAGAGGAAGAGGTCTGCCTATAAATATCATGATTCTAATGACAAAAACTGGTGGGGTCCAATTAGAGTGGAGACACATGTTCGTCACCTCCAGCTGCATACTTACTAGTAACCGTTAGTTAGGTACACCTTCACGTCGTGGACCTTTGTGACGGGGAATACGATGGTACAGTCCTCCGAGCTACTTGGATGGAGATGTAATATTCGTTTGCATAAAGTAGGTATCATGCCTACTTACACTGCTCTTAGATCCCAAAAACGCAACTATCCCAAATCCTAAACGCCCATCGCCATGAGCTCGGCTAGCCCAATGCTGCCAACTCCTCGCAGAATATACAGTATATAGCATGTCAATCTTCCGATATCTCTCGCCACGCAAACTCAACATTCCGTCTAAACGCCTACTCCAACACCCCATCTAACGTCTTTCTGGACAATAGAGTCTAATGGCCCCCATGCCCAAGCACAATGTTCATTCCCAAACATACCACCATAACAATCACTCCATAGATGGACAGTCCCAGCGCCATCTTCCTCAATAGCCCCGTCTCCAAGTGCTCCAGATCCCACCTCCACTTCCTCTTTAGCGTCCTTGCCAGCCTGCTTCCCACGCTGGTATTGCTCCTCAAGCTAGCAATGCTGTCCCTCATTCCAGCCCCAGATCCAGACGGTCCTGGCGACCCCTCTTCTTCGTCCCCATCGCTAGCAGACGATGAGCTGGAGGAGGAGTACTCGGCATCGTCGTCTTCCTTGGTGAGGCGTTGATGGTATATACTCTCCGGGTCGCTGATCTTGTAGTAGAAGAGTCCAGGCAAGATGAAGCTGATGGCCGTCGACCCGGTAGACCCCACGTAGGCAAGCACTCTATCCAGACTAGACACGTTGATGGCCGTGAAGTAGCTCAGGATCAGGATGACCGAGGTGATCAAGGCGAAGCGGAGTTCGGACATGGCGACTACGGGGGCGCCGTGGCTGTCGAGAGCAGCGCCAGGAGCACCGCCAGAAGGCAAGAGGGGTTGGTTGCCGGAGCCGGGTGGGGAGTAGACGTTTTGCGTGCGAGAAGAGCGGCCAGGTCGCCAGCGCAGGACAGCGTCGATGGAGGCGCGGCAGGGGTGTAGTTGGAGAGGAACGGAGAAGGTAACAAGGAATACGATGGCGGCTTTGGCGATGGTGGAGGCTAGTGATTGTGGGTCTGGACCATGTTAGGCTTGGTTGAGAGGGATGGAAATCGGGGATACCTACACATGCTGACAATGTTACCCTGGATCTCGTTGCCAAAGGTCAGGTAGCCGGTGATGGCGACGAGAACGTAGACCGAGGCAGCGGAGCCAATGCTGGAGCCGATGACGCCGACAAGACTAGCTGGCGAGTTATCCTTGATCTCGTTGACGATGGAGAACATCTGGAGCACGTCAGCAGGCTAATCTCCCGGGGGCCAGAGTCGCCGTACTCACATTCTGATGGCAAGTATACGCAAAGATCATCACCGGCAGACTGCTCAAAGCAGCCACCGGTCCCTCCCACGTAACCAGCCTGATGGGGCCCCTCTCACTATGGTCATCCACCGCATAGTGGTAAACCACTAGGATGATCAAATACCCAATCGAAAACAGTGCCACCAAACTCGTGTATTTGAGCGAATCCAGCTTCTTGGGAAAACTCAGCGGGATGAGAAAGACGACAAAGAAGACGGTGATCCAAAACCTGCGGTCTGCCAAAAAGTCCCAGCCGGTATTCCCCGCTCCGAACGCTGCCGCCACGGCGGGCATCAGATCACCGATAATGATCATGTACGAGACGCCGACACCGAAGCATTTGATGGCAATGGCCGCGTCGAACACCACGGCGGCGTTGGGATAGGTGATTTGCGACAGCGCGAAGAAGGAAGACGAGCCCCGGTCGAGGTAGCGCGTGCAGCGTGACTGGAGATAGAGACCAAAGGCAGAGGTGAGGCCGCACCAGACGATCAGGATGACGCCGAGCGTGACGCCGAACTTGGACATGGCGTGGGGCATGGCGAGGGTACCGGCACCGATGACTATGTTGTTGCCCGGTTAGACATGTCTTTTTTTGGGGGCGAAGGTCTTCGGACGTACTGGTATTCAGCAGGTTAATGTTGCTGCTCATCATGGAAGCTTGGCCGCCACCCAGCTTGGGGGCGCGGAGTCTTCGTTGTCTAGACATTGCGCCGTCAGCTATGTCGACCAGAAGAGCCGGAACTACCTAGGTAGTCGCGCAAACGTACTGGATCATGGTTCCTCCGACACCGTGACTCGACCCTAGAAGGCCGCTGTTGGATATAGTATGGTAGTTGGTCATATCACTTTCTCTTTCCGGGGACCGTCTTGTGGTGTCGCGTGATGTTATGTTGGTTTGGATACGTAATGGGTTTCGTCGTCGGTGCTGATACGCCCAAAGCCGTCAGAAACAAAAAGACGGAAGGGGGATTCGACGTATCGCAATCGGATCGTAATCGCCGGGGTCGATGAGGTGCTCGAGTCGAGGCTTCAATGAAGATACCGAGTGATGGTGGGCAGTCGGCGCCGTCGGTTGTCGTCGACTGTCATCAAGTCACAGCATCGAGGAAGCGAGTGTAAGTCTGCAAAGCGCAGCAGCAGAGTGCCTATTCGGGGGCGATTCGATCCGATGTTGGATGGATGATATGGTCGCGTGTTCGATAACTCATACGGGAGAAAAAAAAGGGATCGATGATGACGAGACTTTATTGTTAAGAAAAGTAAAAAAGCCAACTTTAGCGAGCTGACAAGGACATCCACGCAACGTGGGCAATGGAGAACAGCGCCAGCACAGACGGGAATGACAGGTCTTCCTTGTTCTGGGGATTCGATGGGTTCCAAGGTGTCCGCTACAAAAAAGGTACCGCGAACGCCAAGCTCACTGTCATTGCTCAGTCACACGGCCTTTTGTTTCACATTTGTACTTACAGGTTCGGTACCTTACTCCGTCACTAACTCCACACCGCGGCACTAACATCGATCCAACGAGTGTAATTTACGAGTGAAACAAGATCGTTCAGGGGAAGAGAAGCATTCTAGGTGGATCAGCGGTGAACTATCGGGGGTCATCATTTGAAATGGCAAAATTACCAGTCATGATCAAAAACAAAAGCTCCAGCCTTACCTATGGTATGGGAGTTAGTAGTGTAGCTAAAGGTACCTCTAGGTAGGTTGTTCAGTGTTCCACTGTCCAGGGCCTTGTGCTGTCCGGGCACCACTGCAGTCGTTGTCCAACGGGCGGTGTCCGGGATGCGGAGGCGGGGTTGAATTGAACGGTATGTTACCTTACAGCCTTACACGAGCTGTCATCGGTCTAGACACGCGCCGTCAAGGTTCTATTTCCTCTTGACAATTGCCACTGCTTGAGCTCAGCTTCTGTTCACCATCTTCATTCATCTTTGCAACATCTCCTCGAGGCGGGTATAACCGAACCGACACCGCATCGCATAACCCCAATTGCCAACAGAAGTCGCCCACCATGGACGTCTCCCAGGAAACCTCAAGCCTCGACAAAACCTCTCTAGCCACCATCTCCCTCCTCGAATCCCGTCTCCGGCGAATCGAGCACATCCTCTACGGCCCCTCCGACCCTCCAACACAAGCGCCCTCTTCCTCCGCAACGGCCTCTCTTGCCCAGCTCGAACACCGCTTCAATCTGCTCATCCGGCGCTTTCGCGTGTACGCCGAGCTGCTCAAGATTCGTACGTTCCTCTCCTTGCCATTTATCATTACTTCAAAGCTAACTAGAGGCTTCAAACAGACAAAGCCAATCCCACACTCTTCCACACCTCCCCCTCAGCCGAACAAAAGCTCCCACCAACGGACCTCCCGCCTGCTGCCATTCTCGCGACAGTCCTCTCCTACGCCTCCCAGTTTCCCCAGACCGCGTCCGCCCTAGTTGCAGCCGCCCCAGACAACACCATTGAATCCGCGATTCCCGACAGCAAACTCTCGGCCGAGTTGGTGAGCTTGATACCAAGGATGAAGGGACTGGAGGCCATGCAGTTGGCGCAAGAGGCGGAAATAGCGGAGCTTAGGGAGAGGAGCGAAGCGGTGATGAAGGCGTGGTATGAGAAGAGGGTGCTGGGGTACGGCAAGTTTGTGGCGGAGGGTGAAGCGAGGGTGGAAAAGTGCGAATTGAGGGTAAGGAGAGCGGAGAGGGTGAGGGAGATGGATGCTGTTATAGAGTGAGAAGGCAAAGAGGAGGTTCGAGACAAGATTATGCGATACATGGCTAGTGAAGCAGAGGAGCATGGGTTTCCAGACAGCGAGGCTTTGCCCCGGGGTCGTCCGTACAGGGACAGAAACTCGTGCGGATGCTGTTTTAACGCCGCTAGAGGACGGCGTCACGGTGGACCAACAGGTTAGGCGACCGCGAACAAATCACTGGGGTTGTGCGCATGGAATACGACACGCCGTTGGTGGCGCGCGTGCACTTTACGAATTGTGAAGAGCAGATCAACAGTGGTTGGCACATTCGTACGAGAACAATGCTAGGGACCAAGGGAATGGGACAGATGTCATTGCGCGGCAGATATAACGCGACAGGTGCGCGGGAGGGGAGTTAAGCGTCATCTTTGGCTGACTGGAATGTTCAGCCGATATCAACACTCTGCTCGCCGTTAGCACCGACAAAAACCCGATCGACGGTGCCGTGATAGCGCTCCATCTGGAATGAGAATTCACGGGAGAGGCTTTTTGCAAACGTCATGAACACGCTTAATAGCCAGCAGTGATTGTTTGGCTCCTGCGGATGGGATTCCGAAACGAACGGCGTTGCCCTAGAACCCACGCGGCGAGCCTAAAGCCCCTGCCTGCATGCTGCATGGGTGTGGATTCGTGGCATGGTGAATCTCTCTGTTGACATTTTCTGCCCGTCACCGAGCTCAGCTGAGTGATGTCGCATGGTAGCCAGCTCTCAGCCTATCATTTACAGTTGGTCACGATGTTTCTGGACGACCTAACAATGAGTGAATGGAGCACAGACGCAAGCCATATGGCTAGCTGCCTGACTGACTTCCGAGTGTTACAATGTTGTGAATGTTGTAGACTTTTTGACCATTGAGTTTGAACAGTGAAGAGGTAAAAATAATCAAGATGGAAGAGAAAAAAATAACTGAAAGACGTCGGTCCTGGCCATGACCCAGTACCCTAGAGCCATCATTCCCTTTCCACCATCGATCATCTACAAAGACTGTGAAAAAGTGCAGAAAAGGATGAAATCGTGCTGCTAGCCAGCCCTGTGTATGTAGAGGTAATTTGCTCCATACTCCCGTCCCCACGCAGCCGCTAGAGGTACAGTAAGCAGCGCCTGGAATGTCTTGGCTTAACGATTTGCAGTGAGATGAGGACCGTGCCTCTTCTGACTGGACATTGCATTCATTAGCCCAGTAAATGCAATACTGTAATGCGATTGGCTCGTTCGCAGAGTGTTGCCGCGTGTTGCCCGGACATTTCATGTCACTGCAAGGGAAGGATTCATTGTGCAGCAACCGCCAGGCGACGCACTCTAGGAGTCCAGAGCCTCCACAGCGGACATGGCTCCCCCATCTTCAGTGGATTCAGTGGGCTCCATTGTTGGTCCCTTCCTCACTTCTCTTGCGCGGTCTCGTCCACTCGTTTCCACAGCAGCAGCCACCTCATCCCCCGGTTGCTGCCCACCCCGGAGTCCCTCAGCCAGGTCCCGTCGTTGGCCTTTCCGGATCTCCCACCCACCACCCAACCGTCGTCACCCACACCCGACACACCATTTCCCTTTTCACGTTCCCGTCCGTCCGTCCTGCCCGAGCAATCCCCTCATTTCTGTTCGTTCCCTCCTTCAATTTTTCTTCCCTTTCACTTCTCCATTGGCCGGCGTTGATCATCGCCCCAGCCACGTCCAACAACAATTTGCTCAATACATCAATCGCTCCCTTCGTTCCCTCGACCTCGACGACGACGACGACGACGACAGCATACGAGTGCCCAGACCTGAGCTGAGCTGAGCCCTTTATTAACGCGAACCGGAACAAGACGGGGGGATAGTACAATACGACGTTGGCAGGTACCGAGATATCACACCCGACTACCGTCAGACGCCGGACAAACAAAGAAAAGGGAAACAAAAGAAGAAGAAAAAAGGAAAAGGAACTTAGGACCATCTCCAGACTTCCAGTGGACTCTTCTACCGCCCTTCTTCCAACTACCGATTGATCTTGCGTGTTTACCGTCCACCCATACCGTACCGCCGCCGCCATTCGTTCCAACGGACAACTACCGTACCGTCACATCTCCCGACCCGTGCGACCGACTCGTTGCTTATTTCCCCTGAAGATTCAAAGACTCTGTCCTCGTCTTGTCCTTGGAGTACCCGACGGCCACTTGGACTCAGCCTCCTCGTTGCGGATTGCCAACCAACAAACACACGAGCAGCCCGACAGCGACCACCCAATCTTTCAATAACATTGCAACTGCCCTACTTTCGACTCATTTCCATACATCGCCCAATTACTACCTATTCATATTTGCAACGACCGAGACGAGCCATACCGCGTTGCTGGACACCGAATTCCTCGCTCAACGTCTTGCAGCAAACGACGATTGCTACCCGACCCGAATTTCTTGCTTCGATTTCGACCACTTGTCGCCGTCGAACTTTCTCTCTTTTTTTCGCGACATCGCATTTGTCATTGCAAAACAAACGCATCACATTACCAACCGCGGACTGGTCCCCGGAATACGACACACACACGGCCCCTCGCCGTCATCTTATGCTCCAAGTGAAGGTGTGCGTCAACTAAAGTGTGCCACACACGTCGGTCCATCACTTATAACACGGGCCCCGAATATCCCGAGAAAACGCTCTCCCTTGGCGACTTTCGCCCTTGATGCAATCGTACGGAGGATCGGTTAACTATCCCCCATCCTTCAACAACCCCAAAATGGAACACGGCAGGAACTCGTACCGCCGAAAAGGCATAGACATGGGCAACATTATTGGTGACCCATTTGCTTTGGCCACTACTTCTATTGCTACTGTGAGTTTCCATACGCGCGCGCGATGGCATCCACCTTTTCCCGTCCTGCCGCCTTCAAGAACTAACAATCACCACAGCTGTCATGGATCATCATCCTATTTGGATCCATCTTTGGCTTCAGGGACCAAAATGACGGATCGAATGGGAATCCCGTCATCGTTTGGCCAACCTATAGCTGGTTCACCCTTGTCTTCAACTTCTTCCTCATTCTCGGCATTTTCATTGTCATCGCCTCGGACAGCGCTCAGACCTACCACGTCGCCATCGTTGGCTACCTGGCCGTCGGGCTGGTCGGCTCCACGTCGTCGATTAACAACCTGATATACAGTGGCGTTGCGTCCATGGAGGCGACAGCGGCTGGGTATATCTTGTTGTCCATGGTGACGGTATGCGGTTCCCTGTTAACTCCCCCCAGCTGGCTGACCATCTGCTAACGTCCCGCCAGATCATCTGGATATTCTACTTTGGCTCCGCCCCCTCGGCTGTTCCCCGCGCCTACATCGACTCCTTTGCGCTCACCAAGGAATCCACCCTCCCTGCGCATCACATGAGCCGCCAAACCATGAACCACAACGGTCTCTCCTCCCCCAATGCTTACGGCTCCTACAACATGCGCCCCGAAACCTCGGCGTCGGGTCTCCAGCCTCCGCAAATGTACACGGGCCAGCTCAACGGGCTCGAAAACCCCGCTCGCCAGTCGCAGATCCCCCAGGGTTTCTCGTCCAACAACATTCCCAAGCCCCAGGGAGAAGGGGAGATTGTTCCGCCAACGGAGTACCCGTACAGGGCCAAGGCGATATTCAGCTACGAGGCCAACCCGGACGATGCCAACGAGATTAGTTTCTCCAAGCATGAGGTGCTGGAGATTAGCGACGTGAGCGGGCGGTGGTGGCAGGCACGGAAGGAGAATGGAGAGACGGGTATTGCGCCGAGCAATTACTTGATTTTGCTATGAGCGGGTTTGAATGGGTTGGGGATGGAGTTGAGGTTTTTCTTTTTCATTTTGAGAAAAAGAGGATCTGGCGTGTGAACTGCCAGTACAAAACAAAATCATGAAGTGGTTTCTTTTTTTTATCTATTTTTCTTTTCAGTCGGCGTTTTATACCCACATTAACGTTACACTTTCTTCTCGACCACCCACGGGACTCGTAATGCGACACATCAGAAACCGTGGCTCGTTTGGAAACGAAGGCGAAACCGGATGTTGGATGCGGACGGGGAAAGGTTTGGGTGGAAATGGAGTTTTTTTTTCCTTTTTTCTTGCGATGTTATTTTTCTATCTTCTCTTACCCTTTTTCTCAATGTTTTTCCTTTCTCATGTTTCACTAGTTCTTGTATCAACTTTACATGTCTTCTATTCTGCGATCTGCAGCTACGGCAGAGGACAGGCCGCTGCTAGAAAATGGCAACGGAAGAGGGAACAGGACAAAAAAGCGGGGGAAGATGGAAATGGGTGCTGTTTTTTTTACGAATTTTATGCATGGCGAGGAACGGAGAGAAGATGGACGGACGGATGGAGGCTGTGGACCCAAAAGGAGATGTATCTACAAGCAGCAATGGAACATCCGAATGGGCGGAGTTGGGGATGTTGGAACTACCTACCTCTAGAGAATGAAGACAGTCCGATTGATCATGATATCGATAATGTACCAAGTCCGATAATTAATTGAGCTTGTTGGCTGCCTCCCAATTTGCGGGTCTCAATCGCCAATTTCCAATCTTCATGATGGAGGAAAATCCGAGATTATCGAAATTAGCCAGGAGCGAAGGTGTGGATATGCGAGGATCTTACCTAACCTCGCTCGCTCATCACCACTACCCATGTCCATCACATCTCGGACAGGGATATATTGCTTACATTGGCCCAACAAAGAAACAGCCAAACAGTGACAGAGGCGGGCAGCTATGAATGTAGTCCGCTAAAGCTACAGCAAATTGGCTGCAAACATGCTCGAGGAACTGACACCTCTAGCCTATTTCCCCAGTTGCGTTGCTCTCTGTTCCTTACCTTCTTCTATTTCCGCAATTGTCCTTTACGCCGCCTCCAGTAGTAATCGCTGTAACCACTCTGGTCCTGATCGTACTTATCGTGCCAATCTTCCTCCGTGAGCCGCCTGTGCTCCTTCTCGTTATATTTTTCTTACTCTATCTATGTTTACAATTTCCATAAGCAACTTGACTATTCGATATAGATGATCATTCCTTCTCGGTCTGGGTTCTCATATCTCGAGATCCGCATATAGCCGGGCTTGGATCATCCGAAGATGAAAGCGTGGCTGTCTTTTGCGCCTGTCGGTTTCTTCAACGATCTTGAAGACTCTGACACCTACGTTTTTCGTCGTGCTCGTCTAGTTGACCTTGCTTTGCCCAGCTCGTGTTCTTGTCTGTGATCAAGTAGGGCTTGTGGAGCCGGTTGTCGTCGTGCTTCTCTCATTCTGCCCCAGGAAATGGGTTAATCCTGTCCATGATGTGGTGGGATGGAGGGTTTGCGGCGACTTAGCGGCACAAAGCGCATGCGTTTGGATTCCAAGAGGAAAATGTGTGATCAAAGAATTTGAGGACGTTGTGAAGGGTCAAAGTAGAGGAGAATGGTGGTAGTACGGCACTGCTTGGGGAAGATGGATCTGGGAGGGGAAAAGAAGCGACACTCGTTGAGCCACTCGTACGTCTCTTCTCTACGTCTCTTTTAATTGGCAAAGAGAGCCACGAACGTGCCTGAAGATGGCGGTTGACAAGTCAAAAGTTCTCTCCAGCACAAGATGGAGTTGAAGACATGGAAGCTGAAGGCGTGGTGATGCAAGGCACGGCACTAACAGCCCCACAGGGCAGCCGTTAGGTTAGTGCACGGGGCGTCCCACCAAAAGGGTCCACCGTTCAGGGGGCTGCAGTGTCCCCCACAGCGGGATCGGGAAGGCTCCCCAGTACATACACACTAAGTCTAGGCGGCATCCAATGTTATGACGCGCGGAGACAAGAAAACGCGACGGATCGTCTTTTTTTCTCGGCTTTCCACTTTCCCCCTCCGACCATCTTCATCTTTGCCTCCTCGCTTCCCCAGATCAACACGGGGCAACGACTATCGACTATCCGCATATCTCCATTCGAACACGGACAAGGACTATTGCCATATCAAACTGGGCTAGACCAAAGCGCGATCCATTTTCGTAGACGAACGACCACCGCGCCGAAAGTAAACAAACTCGCGAGAGGGCATCAGCCCACGATCCCCAAGCCACCAAACAGCCAGCGCAGACTTCCTCTCTTCGAGTCGCGGGCCTCCTTAGTCACGACTAGAGGTATTGTCAAAAACTGACGGACCAGAACTGTCCACGCCAATCACCAAGATGAACTACAACTACAACTACAACCCATCACCCCCCTCCTTCTCCACCCTCCTTCCGCCTCTCCATTCCTCTCTCAACCTCCTCTCCTCTTCCCTCTCCCTCCTCGACTCGTCCACCTCCGACTTCCCCCGTCTCTCCTCCGTCCTCAAGACGGTTCGGCACTACGAGCTGATCCCCCAACCGACTCTACAAGCCGCCGAAGCTTCATTACGCGACGAAATCGGCCCGTTCATCGAGCTGCTGCTGGAGAGGGTGGACAAAGAGCTGGAGCGAAAAGGTAGGAGGGTGGAGACGCTCAAGGCCAGGTGTGAGCTCAATGGCGGGAGACTGTCGAATTACAATCGAGAACAGAAAAGTGGTGCAGGAGGCGGCATACAGAAGAAGGGTGGTGGTACTAAGGAGGCCGGAAGTGGAAGTGGGGGGAAGAAGCTCAATGGGGAGGCTGCGCTAAGAGCCAAAGTGGTCAGGCAGCGGAAGGAGGCGCTCAAGTATAGTGTCGAACGGTTGGAAATGGAGGTGGCCCAGAAGGAGAGGGAGTTGAGGATGAGGTTGGAGCAGCAGGGAGGTGGTCCGGTGCTGTGACTTGGAAGTGTATAAGGGAAACGGCATTATACACCCGCAAATGAACCCGCGGTACCGGAATGCTTATGGATCTGGACGGATACAGTAGCTGTCTATTCGATGTGCCAAACTGGACACTGGGTCAAGAGACTCATGCATGATTTGGGGGTCTCGAGGATACAGTCGTGAGTCAGGGCAGAGTATCGACAGCCTCGCGACGTCATTCCAATTGTGCATGGCTAGAATCACTCGCATTTCTTCCACTGGGTACCAGAATTGCTGGTATTTGAATCCCCTCGATGATTTCTTTCTGATTCATCTCATTTGTGCCTGACCAACAACAACCAGATTGTGCTGCCAATTACTAGGTCGCTAACAAACGCTCGAAGCGCGAAAAAAAGCCAGTTTCCTTGATCCCATCAACTTCAGTTCTGGTCAAACACCCTGTGGTGCCCGCAGTCAGCCCAGCAGCCTCCAGATGGTTCCGACGTCTAGCAAACAGCCATGACAGAGTGACACCGCCGGCAAACCCTGCTATCAATGAGCAGTATCGACTCGTTGGACCGGGCATCACACGGGAGGCAATCCCCCACGCTGTTCCGATGGCAAGTTTTCCGCCTGACCTGCCCGTGTGGTTGACGCATTGGGTTCACGACCGTCTACCCATGAGCCCATGAATAACCTGACGAGCGCCAGTCTTCAATGTGGTCAAGGTTCGGTGTCGTATGAATAGATGGAAGATGGACAATAGGCCAGTTGGCTAAGTGAATGATGACAGCAGACGGAACAATAGCACGCGGTGTGATTCAGACATGGGTCATCGGTTCTTCGTTGCTAGCCTTTTGGCGACACTTGAGAGGTATAAGTTGTTTGGCTTCCCTATACGTTTTCCAGCGAATCCGGGACCAACAGGTACCTCCCTTTGCAACCCTGAACTGGAAAGCAAAGACACCTGCTTGACAAGCAAACCTAACGCGAAGTGTCAAGGGGATGGAGGAGCCACAAAGGGTCTCAGAAGGGGATATCCCCATTGCCAAAGAAACATCCGAGAAGGAACCTAGCAACGTAGACAACAATGCCGACGTCAAGAACGCTGCCAAACCAATGAAAGATGGGCAAAACGACAACAACAAGAGTGACCGCGGCGCTCCCAGAATCATCATGGCTTACATCCCAGCCTCCGCCCCGGCTTCACCCCCAGCCCCTGGCCGCAACAACCCGGAGGCATCTAACGGCGGAGGTCGCCCCGAAACTCCCAACTTGACGGCAAAGCTCAACCAAGCTATTGATGAGTATCGCGCTCGGGAAGAGAGAGTCGGCGAGCTAGGTCAGCCGGACGAAGAAGGCTACAAGGGAGACACGTATTCACAAGGCGAGCATCAAGGATGCTGTGACCACGACCATGAGAACCAGTTTGCAGCCCACGATGAGCAGTACTCGCCTCTTCATCTTCAGCAAGGCTACAATGGCCACTCATCCTCTGTCAATGCACCGGGGTGCTGGACTCCTTACCACCCAGCTTCCAGTGCTCCCCTGTATATGCAGCCACCTTTCGGGCCTCCTTTTCAGCAGCAGCAGCAGCAGCAGCAGCAGTACGCCGTTCCTTATTACCCACCTGTTTCTCAGCCTTATAGCTTCTCTTTTCCCTCCCCTCATTACTTTTCCAACCCCCATGACTACCGGTACTTCCCCAACCCCCATCACCACCAGCACTTTTCAACCACCATTCCCCCTCCCACTCACCCCTTTGCCCCTCCTGCCCGTCCATCCCATTTCCAGTCTATCCCTCCCCATGCCCATCCCTTCCCACCCCACCACCCCCAATCCCAAGATCCCAACGTCCTCGAGTTGACCCAGCGCCTCCATAACATCCAAGCCCAGCTCAACGGCCTCGACGCCGCCCACGAAGTCGAGATTTGGCGCCACGGCAAGTACAACTTCCACCGCCGCCGCGCGAAGCAACTCCGTAAGATCAAGAGGGAGAAAGTAGAGGAGATGGTGACGGTGGTGAGGGAGTTGCGGGCTTTGGGTGTTGAAGGGTATGGAAGGCGGCACCACCAGCCTCAGCCTCAAGGTCAACAAGAGACATGGACGCAGGAAATGATGGGTTGGACGACGGCGCCGGGCTGGGGTTACGGAGCGGGATTTGAGCCGGGATGGGGTGGACATCAGATGCAAGAGCAGTGGTTGGGAGGAGGATATGGATATGGACATGGACACGGACATGGACATGGACAGTCGAAGGTGGAGGTGGAGGTTGAGCATAATGGTAAAAATGGACGCTGCGGCTGCGACGAGGACGGTGCTCATGTTGATTCTCCGCCGACGGACAGTGCCGTTGAGAGTATGGCATGCGAGTGCCCCTGCGGATGCACTACGGTCGACGGTGAAGCTGTCTCTGTAGGTGAGATGCCAGGCAGAACCAGAGCTCGCGCCTTGTCGCTTGATGGTATGAGAGAGCAGGTCGAAGTCGTCGAGGCTTATGAGAAGCAACACGGCGACGGCAGCGAGAACAAGCAGGGCGAAAGCGCTGAGAAGAACAGCAGTTGTGCGCGTGCCGGGTCCTGGTCGGACGCAGAAGTCGTCATTTCTGAAGAGCTTCGGGGTACTTGGCGGAAGAAGATGAGGGAGTAAAGAAGGGGTGATCAGTGAGCGATGGACTCATGGTCCGACATTCGAATGAGCGTGTGCTTTGGAATTGGCGTCAAAACAAACAAACAAACGTAAATGAAAACAGCTGTTTTAGCAAGAATCATCGAGGTAGTTATCCAGCGAAGCGCATATAAAACCGGACTAGGAAGATACACCTGAAATCTAAAAGTGCAACGACGACATGGCGTATTGCTGGATACCCTGTTCTTTGTTCTTTGTGAATTAGTCTGACCGTTGATAAAAACATATTCACAACCATATAGACATAAGGATATGATGGTACTTCTCTGATGTGTGTACCTACCTCTGCACATGTATCTACTTTGCCGTCCCCGCCTTCATGAAAGCCTCACAGCGTCAACGGCAAGGCCCCATTAGCACCGAGCGGGACGTGAGAACAAGAGCAGTCGCCATGACGAGCGAGAAATTCAGGATTTACGGCCGTCACAGTCCACCAGTTCCAATCGGGTGGGAGCAAGAAAAGCAGAGATAGAGGAGTCAAAATACGTGATGGTTGTAATTCGAGCTTGGTAGTGTTGACTTTAGAGGTACAGGTATGTTCTAGACCCTGATGAAGCGATAAGATAAGGTAAAGGCAGAGAATCCCCCCACGAACTCCGCTGTTCGATTGCCGTCCCGACGATTTGGTACCACTGTGTTTTAGCGCAAATCACCTGAAGAGGCATTCGTGATATTCCCTGGTGGTTGGATTTGATTTGTTTCAATCATGAAGCCGATACGTATCAGATCAACTGCCGTCCGTTTATCCGGGGATCGGCGCCCCGGAACCGCGGCAACACGGAAACGGGTCGGCCCCGGATAGAGCGGATGGAAGCGGATGAACAGGATTGGTAATTTGTGGAGGTACTGTAACGATGAACGCCGCCCGGACTTTTAATCTCATATTATCGTGGAAACCAAGACGCCATATTTGTCGACACTTTAACTATTTTGTCAAGGACGGCAGCATTATTCAGCTAATCCGGATAATTGCTGGTCCAAGCCGGTTCAAATGTCTAGCGAACCATCATGGTCACTCCCTGCGGAACTCCGAATCATAGCAGCGACTACGGACCACGATTCCACGCGACAAAAAATGCCAGGCTACACCATGTTCGACATTCACGTAATCTCCACCATGTCGGAGATACGTCCGCTTCCGCCGCCTAGGCTCGAGCCAAGCAAGCATGCCCAGGGACGGACCCGGAGAGGCAAAAAAGTAAACTGAGCTTGGCTAGTGTATACTACATGGATCCCATACCTCAACCAGGCCAGCTTGGACATCCAAGACCGCGTTTTTCAAACGACCCGATTTCGAATGACAACGTCAAACACCAAGACAGCCGAGGTGAAAAGATTTTTTGTGCAAATGCCTGGAACTTTTGCAAACTCCCCAACAATTGTATGTTGTCCACCGTGGCAAAATGAAGCTGGAAGCGAGGAGGAGGCCTCCGTCTCTCGTCTCGTCTCGTTCTTATCTGAGTGGGTGGCCAACGGTCCGAGAACTAAGCTCGCGAAAAAGTCTGATGGCGAAGAGACGCATGGAAATCTTCCAATCCGACAAGACGATACGAGTCCAACGAATGTGGTCTGTCCATCCATCTGTCCGGGCTGACGACGCGAGTAGACCTGGGAAGATCTTTCAATAGTGTGTATGTGATCCAAAACCCGGGACCGGCAGGCACCGACTTGCAAGGACCTAATGAATACCGACATGTCCCCGTAAAATCACCGACCTATTGCGAAACACAAATAGACGCTGTGAGATGAAGATGGGATTTCGAGTCAGTTCGACAACATCTTGTTCAAAAATCTGGTGTCGGCGGTACTTGTGGTCGTCTCGTTCGTCCGGAAGTTCCCGAGACAAAGCTAAAGTCAACGTCTTGTCGTCCCAAACGAGCAAAGGAGCAGCACTGCAACGAGCTAGCAAACCGCGCGCGCTATGGTGTGGGTATTTCTGTGAGAGATCGTCAAAGAGGTTCACTGTTCTTGGATTAGTAGAGGTACTCTAGGCAGACAACTTTTTCTTCAATATAGAATGTGTCGTCGAGTTTTTTTATATGGCCGCGTTAAAGCCTACACCTTGGCTGAACATCGAAAAGATCTAGACGGCTCTGTTGCATCTTTTCGTATTACTCGCGGATCCGGCCCGTTGGGGGCGTGTTTCTACAAGGGTGTTTAAAGAATACGACTTTACATACAATACCTGTATTACAGCGGATGCGTTCTGTATTCCTACCTACCTGCCCTACATATCAAGTTCCAATGGTACCTACCTATCGTCTGTACAGCATCAGTCAATCTACTAGGTAACCCAAACCACATAACTGCAACGATGAAAGAACGGGAGGGTAAGGTTACGTTCCGCGTGGAACACTTTGTTTGTTAATGACACACGGGGAGGCAGCAGAATGGCATCAATAAACAAATGGTAATTTGACACTGACGAATTGCCAATCGAACGAATCCAGTTCTGGTTATCCGCCACGCTAGAGGTGTACTAGTGTACGGAGTATGTAAAATTTCATTTCAGCCGAGAGGATCTAGAAGGGTCTCTGAAAAACACCACAAGGGCCAAGCCAAGCCCAGAAGAAGCAACGAAGCCCGCCCGCTATCACAGCTGCGCAAAAATTTTGTTCATGCTGTTGTGCACACCTATCAACTTTGATTATTTGGTTCTACTATGGGTTCTGCATGGTGGCATCGTGTGTTGTGTTCCTATTACTGGAGGTCGTGTATGTTCGAGCTGAGCCCAAATTTGTGGTGATCGTCATTCGAATAGAGGTATCCATGACTGTCTGCAACAAGGTCATATCGTCGATCATTCATTCGTCGGCGGATAACTGACTGACAGATACCTACGCAGTAGTCTAGATGGTATTTGTGCTTTTCTCCATGTCGACCCTTGACAAATTCCCATGTTATGTCGATCTCGGGCTTTTGGCCGTTGTTTGTGGAGCTTTTTTGATTGGGCGAGTACCTACCTACCTACCTAGAGGTACCTAGGTGTATCCTTCAGCACCGTTGAGAACTGCGTGCTTCCTCCTTGATCATCGTCTTTCCCTCTTCCCTGTGAATGGATGTTTTGGATATTGCAAATCCGTAAGCACCTTGGTACCTAAGCATTCCAACCAGGCTTCGATGTGAGATTTCGGTCTACACTACCTACCTACTTTCACATCCAGGTTAATTGTGTCAGGCACAGCAGATTCTAACAGGGTTCAAGGAATGATCAAGTCACGATATATCCCTTTACAGTGTATATTCCTTAGTGCTGGTGCCAAGTTTCACAGAGTTGTAGTGTATACCTAGGTATGTAGGTACCAACGACTCGGACGGTGCGACTCGCCAGTAGTGGCCGAATCATTCCCCGTAACGCCGTTAAATCCGGGGTCATCGATGTCTTCAGGGTCCAAAGTACATACACTACTGTAGTGTAGTCTTTCAGGTACGAGTTCGACAGCTGAACGGTATTTCCAACGGTCTTTCTTTCAGGGTTCTACACTACTACACTGCACTATAAGGAAGGGTCCCGCTGCTTCCATGTCTTTCCCGGTTTGCCGCTGTAGCGTAGCAATTGCCCTTGCAGTGCCACAAGGCATGGAACCAGGAAGTGGCATTCCGCAGACTAACTGGGGGGGGGCAGTGTTGTGGGGATCCGCGTGTATCCATGCCTGGGTTCTCACAGCTCTCTCACTCTCACTCTCTCACAGAAAAGGAAGGAAATCGGGGGAGACAGGGTTCTGTGTTTCATGTCCCTCATCCGTTTCCCGCAATCCCTACGTAGTTTCCAGCACGCTGCTAGCGCTGCTTTCCCTTGAGGGGGGCGAGTGTCAAAACATAAAAAAAAAAAAAAAAAAAAAAAAGAACCGTTCCTTAGCCCGAGCAAGAGGACGGACTCGTTCCATGCATACAGCGAATTAGACCTCGCCGGAGCAAATGCTCCTGAACTGCTCCGGGGGACACACTGGTCCATTCCCCGGTCCCATAAGGATGCTTGTGGTTTCTCGAATTTTACCAATAGACCTTGGTTTTTATTTCTCTCGTTATCAAACCTGTGCCAAAGGTATGTCAAATGGAAATTGCGGCGCAAGGAAAAGTGAGAAACAAGAATGGAACTAAGCTTGCGGAATTCAATCCGGTCGGATGGGGCTCGTGTAGGTATATACCGCTCCTTGTTCGGGAATTTTCTTTTTTCACATGAACTATCAGTACCAAAACCCGGCACGAAAAATTGCGGACTACACTACTCGCAATGCCCACTGGCCCCAGCGAGGGGGCAATATTGGCTCCGGTGCCGACCCGACTCAGTCATCCTGTCAAGTCTGTTGCCCTTGACCCTTTCCGTCTACCAGATGGGGCTCCTGTCACACACAGCCAGTATACTCGTGTCGTTCGCTGCTTGTCCGCTCTTCTTCCGCGTCCGGTGGCCAACCTATTACCCCAAAAAGATAGGCAACCCGACGCCACACCTCTTCCACTCACTTGCCACGGAGGGCAGTGTTTGGGAGCGCATTTCGTTGAGTCACTTTGTTCTTTCTCCATCATCTTCAAAGGCGTTTTGCGTGTCCCCTCATTCCCAGCGAGTAGAAAGAAGGATAAGTTGTCTTGGTTGCTTGCTTGCTGTACCCGACGCTATAAGCATTAACCCAGCGAGCGGCTAGCGGACCTCCCCCACTCACTTCACACTTCTGCCAGTCTCTTTGTTTCGTTAACGACTCGCTTGCCTATTTTGGGAACCGACGTACCCAAACAGCACCCATCTACCACTCTGTTGGAGCCCTGCCAAGCCCCTCCCTGCTCCCCAACATCCAGGAAGGGTTGGTCTGCGCTGTGCCATTTGCCAGACCTCTGCTGCTGCAATAACACCTCATTGTCCTATCGCATTGGCCGTCTTCTTCTAAAAGGGTAACCAACGTCGTACCACACCGAGCCAGCCGTCAGGCCAGTCAGTCAGTCAGTCAGTCAGTCAGTCCGCCTGTCAGCAGGTTACGTACCAGGAGAGAGAGGAGCGAGCAGCAGCAGCCACACCACCAGCGATCCATACCACACAACTCAGGAGAGGATAACCTGCACGCAAGCCACACCACCGAAAAAAAGACCAAAGCATAACATCGACAACCTCGAAGTCGGATACGCAGCCCATGTTACCCCTAGATGCCAGATATTACCATCGACAATTAACCGTACCAACTCGTTAACCCGTCCGATTTAATGTGCATCGAGCACATCACCCATGACTGCCCAGCCTGCGGGAAAGACTACTTAGTCTACGTCGAGTTTTGCAAGGACTGTCATCCACCCCTGATCCGCTGCCCAAACGGGACCATTCGAAAGCGCCTGGACATGAACGACGGAGGCTGTCCGAGCCCTACTTGCCCAAACAGTCGACACGGGGGCTGCATTCTCATGTAGCCTGCCTGGGTTGGATCCGAGAAGAGAGCAGCGACATCACCATCCAACCAGCAACCAGCGACCACGTTGACAGGGCGGTAAAAGAAAAAAAGGCCTTTAAATCTTGACCTGGTTGTCGGTGATCTCGACAATCTGGTCGATACCCTCATACTTGGGAACGTCAAAGTCGTACTTTTTCGCAATCGACGGAGCGACGAACCTGGTTACCAGCATCAGCCACACCTCACAACACAAGCCCAACCGTGACGATGAAGAGAAAGAAATACGGTACGTACCGTCCTCCTACAAAATGCCGGCCCTTGAAGTACTTGACCAGAGGTTTCGGAGCCGTCAAGCTAACCAAGACATTAGGGTGAAAGTTGCTGCCCACCCCGGACTTGGGCGGTCCTTCGTTAATGTCCCACGACGATGGAGCATCGACCGAGGTCACTGGAACCTTTGTCTCGGCCATGGCGTTGATGACGGCAGGGAACGGCTCGCGCACCTCGCCAGAGAAACTGAAACCTAGACGCATGCGTCAGTTCAAGTCGAGAGAGCAAAGCAGGGCCTCGGGAAAAAAACCAACCAAAGATGGCATCAACGACGTGGTCGGTAGACTCCAGAGCCGCGAAAAAATCATCGACAAAGGGTATCTCTAGGTCTTCACATTGTTTGACCAGGCGCTGCGGAGATGGAGACGTGTGTTAGCATGAAGCCCAATCCATCAGAAACACGATACGGTGGATGGGCTCTCAACCGATGAGTGAGAGGCCTTTCAAACAACAACAAGTTGACGCACGGGGACTGCGTGTAGGTAAGAAAGGGCATAGCGTGGTCGGATCGGGGGGTAGAAGTACTATATCGACAACAAGCATTGACGCTCATAAAAGACAGAAAACTTTGAATACGAGTCCAATAGACTCTTTTGAGATTGTTTCTTGTCTCCATAGTGTTTGTTGTGTTGCGGTTCAAGCGACGATCCAATGTCCTTGTCCTGACTAGGTCGTGTTGCTTCCAGCACCAGCAGGACATGTCGACGACTTTTAAACTGCAAACCCCGTGTACCAAGAAAAAGATTCACTCACCTGATAGAGATCGTTCTTGGGTCGCTTCGGATAGTAGATGGCAGGTTGATAGCCGTAGTGGAAAAGGTGTCGAGCAGCCACGAGGCCATCACCCCCTGACCAAAGGCACAGAACAGGTAAGCGCTTGGACCACCCAGCCCCTGAAGGACCCAAACATTCAGCAACTGACCATTGTTTCCAGGGCCAACAGCAACCAGCACTCGGCGGCCCTGCTTGGTAGGGTGGACTCGGGCGACTGTTTGGGATGCCCGATGACGGGATTGTTAGCAAGCAAGCCTCTTGCCACTGAAGATCGATTGAAGAAGAGACGATGAGATGGCGGCAGACGGGAGATACTGACCAACTTGGGAGACCGAGAGGCCTGCCAGTTCCATGAGCTGGTCGATGGAAAAGGCCCCCGTGCTCATGAGCTCGCGGTCGAGAGCAGCGGCAGCCTTTGCGGAGAGGGTCTGGAGGTGGCCATTTCATTAGTCAAGTGTCCAGTCTGTGGGCATCGTCGGGAATTATGCAAAGGTCCATTGGTAATGATTACACAGGCCTGCTGACGGCAACCTCCGGCTCCATCAATCTTCTTGGCTTTGTTTTTTTTTTTGTGACAGATGAGTGCGACATGACATCGACATGTGTACTTACCTTGAGCGCCATGGTGTGGGTGATGATTTTGGACGCAGCAGTTACCAAGGTAGACAAGACGACAGTGTGATGGAAGACGAGGAATGGAAAGAAGTTCTGGAGATGAATAGGCGGCGGAGGGGAAGGGAAGTGGTAGTACAGTAGTATTGAGAGTGGTCTGTAGATGCTAAAAGGGCAGGTACATGGAAAAGGATGGGACCTTGCAAAGGAAAGCTTCGTTGCAGCTTGACGATGAAGAGCAGAGAATTCAGTAGAAATTAGAGGTAGTAACCCAGAGTTGCCATTACAGGATCGAATGAAGGAATTGGAATCCCGTTTGTCTTAGTACGGGCAGTAATTGCTCCCCTTTACATTTTGTTATTGCGTGTACACTGCAGTACAGTACAATGTGCTATGTACTCGCTGACATCACTCGCTGCTCCAGTTCCTCCATTGACGGGGATCATCGATCCAGTGCATCACTCATGATCCCACTCGTGCGGTCGTACCTGCTACAATTGAAATGCGTGGCTGAGACTTGCGTTTGAATGTGGCTTCAACTGAAGAAGTGTGGCTCGTGAAGAAACCCAACGAACGTCGGTACCAACCACTTGCCTGCCGGGATTCCCAGCTTCTGGGCGCCCGGCAGCACTCCACAATCCTTCAGTGAGCGATCCGGCAATCGGGCAACGCGACGACGTCCGGTCCGCGCAAAAGATTCAGTCGACATCTCGAACCTCGTCGGCGACAATCCCTCTACCACCGCGCCTATCAACCTCCCGCGGTCCAACATGGTTCTCAAGCTCAGACTCGCCCGCTTTGGGCGCACCAATGCCCCCTTCTACAACATTGTCGTTGCCCACGCCAGGTACGCAATTTTCCCATCACAACGACACGGCAGACAGCCACCAGCTAATCTCTCTGACTCTTTATTAGAACCGCGCGCAACAGCAAGCCTCTCGAGGTCATTGGCACATACGACCCCGTTCCCAAGAAGGACACGTACGACACCACAGGGAAGCTGCACAAGGACATCAAGCTGGACGTCACGAGGGCCAAGTACTGGATAGGTGTGGGAGCTCAGCCGACCGACACGGTTTGGAGGTTATTGTCCTATGTACGTTTCTCTTTCTCTTTCTCCCCTTCCCCCCCCAAAATCTTTATAGGTTGGCCAACGTCGTCTCGAAACTGACTGACATTGCAACAGGTTGGCATCCTAGATCCCAAGTACAAGAAGCCGCAACCGGTGCAGGGGCAAAAGACCAAGGCTTGAGCGAGCGAGAATTGCATCTTTTCGATTATTCCATACGTACCACCGGACAAAACCCGGGTCGTCTCGCATACCGATCATCTGACACCACCATCCACTTACACCATGTACTACAAACCGGCATTTTCTTCCATCCAGGCGTTCTCTGTTCTGTTCTCTACACTATCTAGGGGTTTTCCAAAACGGGGTTGCTGTTGCTGTACGATACCTATAGCTCGATATATATATAAGACGCAAAGTATACAATACCCACCGAACGACGCGACTTCAATTGTTGAATAAATCCCGGAGGGCAGTTAAAATTTGAACGAGATGGAGGGGTAGTCAAAGAGGCGACGCTTTTTGAAGGATGGGAGGAGGACATAGAGCCAGGGTTCAGTTTGGTCGATGGGTTGGAACGTTGCATGAATGAATGGAGGAGGACTTCATCAGCAGGGGCACGCATTATGGTTTCTGTCCCCAGAGTCGATACATCTGCTTGGCCGTAATTGTTGGGTGGGCAGAGGGGTGCGATTCGTGTTGGGACTTCAGGAGTACGGATGCAACAAGCGAGAAACCATCGCAACCACCAAGGCAGCTGGACGTTGGTAGCTTCTTCCTGGGCAGAAATGTTTGCCTCTTATGGCGTAGTCACGAAAAGATCGTTGCATGGAAACAAGAGTAAAAAGTCAAAAAGTCGCGAGTTGGATAGGTAATTTAGCCAGACTTGACCAAATGTATAAGCAAGAGTGAAAGAATATGCCAACAGTCGGGTGAAGACGTCAAAAAAATCAAGACAACAAAGGCAAAACCGAATTCGAAAGTACCAAAAGTATGCCCAAACAATGTCTCACTAGAGAACAAAACCCGAATTTTGGCGAAAAGAGAAAGGAACGACGGGAATTGAGCCCGACGTGGGGGTCGAACCCACAACCTTGAGATTACGGAGTAACTCCTTAAGAGTCTCACGCTCTACCGATTGAGCTAGCCGGGCAAGCGGCTGATCAATCATTCCTAATTGTTGAAGTTTTCGGGCCAAACATGCCTCTATATACTGCAGCTTTTTTCACTGCATGTGAGGAATTTGAACTGAATGCAGATCTTTCGACAATCATCACCACCGGATGCATTCATCATTTCATTTTAACAATAGAGTCTGACCCCTGCATTTTCCCTTTTCATTTTCTAGTCATGCTAGCTGGTGTAGTCAATAAAAGTCAAGCGTATCGAAAAGATAAAGAAAAGTAACGAAATGGTCTCGTGAGTAGTAAGTAAGTAAAAGTAAAAAGGCAGTCAATCATATTATATCCCATCAATATTCATCCCCAAACTAAAACTGCCATTACATGTCTTCGAAATCACCGTGTCAAACATCCCCCGTGTCAACATCACCTGTATCCCCCGTTGTTCATGTGTCCCTGGTCATGGTGATCATCATCCCGGGTATCGCCCCAGTAACTATCCCTGCCCTCCGCAAATCCGTTCTGCCCCGGCAGACCAAAGTCAGGCACTTGTCCAACACCACCACCATTAGCCTGACCGTATCCAGCACCAGCAGCAGCACCACCACCCGACTGTATTCCAAGTCCGGATCCTGCTGGTTGCTGACCGTACGCTCCAGCAAATGTGGACGCTTGCGGGCTGCTGGCGTAACCCCCGTGGTTGTTGTTGTTGAAGTCAAAGCTGGCCGACTGCGGGCTCGCAAATCCAGGAGCGGTAGGACCGGCGGTGAAGCTTCGTTGAGGTTGCGGGTGGACGAGTCCGCCGCTGCCGCCGGGAGCAGGGCTGCCCACTCTGTTCATATCCCCGCCGTACATGGGCCCTTGAGGATTATACGGGCCAGGGACCGGAGAGGTGAAGCTACGGTTGGGAGGGAAGACCGGACTGTGGGCCTGGTTTTGGTAGCCGCCAGTCACGTTGGGGATGGTGGGGGTCAAGGCAGGAATGCTTGGGGCGGGGGAGGCGACGCGATCCATGTTCATGTTGTTGTCGAAGAAGTTGAATTGTTGTTGTTGCTGGTTAGGGGCAAGAGCAGGGCTAGCGACGCGGTTCATGTTGTTGTCGAAGGAGTTGAACTGCTGCTGTTGCTGACCGGGAGCGGGAGCAGGGCTAGCGACACGGGGAGATTGAGAGAGGGAGGCGGCGGCGACAGCACCGGTAGCACCGAGAGCAGCACCAGCAGCGGCGCCAGCGCCAACTGCTGAGACCGTGTTGAATTGACCATCGGAGGAAGTGTTGTTCGAGCCATCGAGAGGCGGAGAAGGGGGAACACTATAAGTTGTCGTAGTAGCCATACCGCCCTTCTTCATCTCATCAGCATGATACTCTGCCGCCTGCTCCCTAAAACTATCGGGATCGATACCGGCCTTCTGCAACTGTTCCAGCTCGAGGCGATCGCGCTGGTACTGGGCTTCGGCAAGAGCAGCCTGGCGCGCACCCCGTCGTCGCGTACGGATGCAGACGAAGACGGCAGCAAAGAGGAGCAGCGCACCAACACCGGCGCAGCAAGCATAAATGATGGTCTTGGTTGTGCTTGACATGCCGTTCCACTTGTCGGACACCGACTGCTTGGGCGGGGCCGTGATCATCTCCTTGATGGTGGAATTACCCTCGACGACCTTGATGCTCTCCCAAGCGCCGCTGCGGTCGCCGTAGACATACTCCTGGCCTTCGCTGAAGTCGGTAACTTGGACGGACTTGACATGCATGGTGTACGGGCCAGCGCCATAATCGGTTTGACCACCAGCCCAATCCTGTGTACCCTTGGACAATCTCGGGTCGCCGCCAGCCCAGATACCAAACGACAAACGCATGGGAGTCTGGGGGTAATATTGAGTGTTGTTGGCTTGAGCGGGAAGTAGAGTGCGGACCTTGTTGCCGTCCACATAAAAGTCGAGGTAGTCCCTGGTCCAAATGGTGGTATAGTTGTGGAAGTCCTCTTGAGCGTTGCCGGGAACGTCGTGCTTTCCGGGAATGGAGGACTCGATGACGCCCTTGCCGTAAGTGTTGGTCTGCACGTTGTTGGGCTCGCCGCCGACAAACTCCCAGTCGATCTCGTCCAGGTCGTCGGACAAGAACATGACGGAACTGACGATGCCTCTGCCCTGAGCAGCCTTCATCCAGATCTCGGTGCGGCCCCAGAAGAAGTAGAACTTGGAGCGCAGGGTGGGGGAGTCGCCTTGCTTGCTGATGGTGAAGGCCGCGCCTTGGTCCATGTCGAAATCAACGGTGCCGGCGGTAGTCTCCCAGGCCCAGGCTTTGGGAGTAGAGTTGAAGGTCCACGAGTAGTCCATACCAAGGGCGGGATCGGCAGGACATGTTTTGTTGAGGGGTTGGCAGTCGGTGGTGACTTGGGCGAGGGCCGAGGACGCCAGCAGCGCAATGGCCGAGGCGAGGTATCGCGGTAGAAGCATTGTATCGTGTATCGTAGATCGTGTGTTGTTCGGTCGGGGTAAATATCGGTTCGTGTAAATGGAATTGGACTCAGAGTTGCATCTCTGGGTGTATCGTAGTGATCGTAATGTGTGTCGAAAGAGTGTGGTGATCTCGAGCTCGCGAGATAATGTATCGTGATAGAGAGAGGCAGCAAGGTCAGGTCAACTGACGATTGCGCAAACGAATTGGGGTGATCGTGGGATCGGTAGTAGTTCGAACCAGGCGATACTGGCGATGGTTTGGTAAAGAGAGGGATGGTGTTTCGAGTTCGGAATGATGGTCGGTACCCAAGGTATCCTATACGACGACGCGCTAATGCGGTTGAGAGAGTGACAGTTGGCAACCCAGACGGCCACTCAACGTAAAGTAAAGAAGGAATCCCACTGGGAATGAGGGGAACAACCACCAAGCGATTTGGCGAGAATTGAAGGGAAAAAAGTCAAGAGGGAAAAAAGGGGAAGCCGAGAGGGACAAGCATAGAACTGGTGCCCTTGGCGGCGTGACATTCAATTCCAATTCAAGTGGAATCTTGAGAGCTTGGGCATATGGGACGAGGACAGAACCGACAGGGATCTTGCGGGAGAGGCTTTCCATGAAACATTGGGTCTCCAGAAACGGACAAGGCTGAGGGGCTGCACTCCGGGGGGTACCTGCTGATTGTGCGACGCCCGGTGTTTCCACACCGTTCCTGTTGAGCGCTAGCACGGGGTACCTTGGTGGCCCTGAACCATCACCCAATGAGTGGCCGGCGGCTACTTAGATTGGATCCTTTAGCGGCCCGGTGGTGTCAAAAAAGTCGGGACATTTATCGGGCCCCTTTCAGCGTTGCAATCAGCTCGATATTTCTGGGCATACGGCTCGGGCAATCTTGTCAGGTAAAGATCAGCGAATTGCCGACTGCAACCACTCCCCGTCATTTTCACGCATTTTCAGGAACTCGGCATCGCAATCGCAAAATTACGAGGAGCACTTGAACATCACCCCCACGGTGAGAGCTATTGGTGAGGCTACCTCTAGGTATTTATCTACACTACATACAGCATGAAGATGCCCTCGTCTGAACACTCAAAGCTCGGGGACCTTGCGAATATCGTCGACCGCTTGTCTGAGCTCTCGAACGTCCTCTCTTAAATATACGGCGGTTATGATCTCGGCTCGCAACTCCATAATCATGCGATCGTGCTCCTTTTCCGTCATTCGAGTGGTGTTCTCGGTCGATACTAGGCGGTCATCCAACCGACCGATGCCACTGATGATTCTTTCAATCGCCTGTAAGCCCGCTGGCACATTTTGCAGCTTGTCGAGTGCCGGTTCAAGCTGCTCTTTGAGGACTGATGGGAGTTTCTGCTCGGAGTGTGGCGACGTCTTTGGTCGATGCTAGGCGCGGTCATCCAAGCGGCCGGCTCCCTTGTTGAAATCCTCATGGATGATTTGAAGTTGCGCTGAAGCACGTTTCGTCCGCTCGAGGATTGATTCGAGCTGCTGCCTGAACTGCTGCCTGAGCTGCTCCTCGGTGACTGACGGGGTTTGGACCGACTGTAGACGGTCCTCCACAACTCTTTGGATTGCTTGTACTTGCCCCGACACGCTCTCCAACTGGTTGAGGGCTGTTGCGAGCTGCTGCTCGATGATTGATGTGGTTTGTGTGGCCGTGTTTTGGGCCGATTCGAGACGGTCCTGTAAGTGACTGGTTCTCTCCATGAGTCCTTCAATCGCTTGGACTCGCGCCGAGACGTTGTCCAGCTTCTGGAGAGCTGGCGCGAGCTGCTGCTCTAGGATTGACGGGAACTGCTGCTCAAGGACTGATGTGACACGCTGGAAGTCCGCGAGTTGGTCGTCTAGTCTGATCTGTGCCCGCACACGCTCCTCGATCTCCTTTCGTAGCTCCCCCAACGTGTTCTGGTTGCGAGCAACATCTTGTTTCTCTCGCGCCACGACAGCCTTTTCCTCGTTGAGTGCCTGGAGCTCTCTTCCCTGCTGCTCTTTCTGGCTATCAAGCTCCATCTGTCTGGTGTTGAGCTGCAACTCGTGATCCTGATGCTGGCGGCGGTTTTCGGCTAGTTGATTGAGCTTTTCCTGGGTCTCCCGGTCCTTGTCCTCAGCCTGCTGAAGGGTTTGCTGAGCCTGTTGAAGGATTTGCTGAGCCTGTTGGGAAAGGGTTTGCTCTGCCCCTTGGACATTTGCCTCTTGTTGCTCCACGGCTCGCTCTCGGGCGGCAATCTCTTCACGGTGTGACTTGATTTGATCAAACTCGGTGCGGCATTCCTCCAAGCGTTCCTGCAAGCTCTGAGCCACAGTGTTAACTTTTTGGGTAGCGTGCAGGAAGATTGTCCAGGGCAAAGAACCATCACTTTCGCCAGCAGCTTCTCCAAAGAGTGTGATGTAGCCCGCCAAACTCTCTTTCGCGGCCTCGAAGTCAAAGTCGGGCATGATGAACGTAGGTAGACGTCGCGAGGCGACCGCGGACGGACTTGGTGTTGAAGGAAGAGAGGGTGGAGGTCGTTTGAGGGTGAAAGGTCAGGAAGGGAAAGATGGCCACAAGAATGGATTTGTCTGACGGAAGAGAACAAACGAAAACCAGTGCAGCCTAAATACCAGGAAGGGAGTGCCGGTGAATGGTAAGCGTAGAGGTAGTGAAGTGCACGGACTTTGAACAAAAGAGTGAGTGGGCGGGAAAAGTGATAGTGAATGGGAAGCCAGGTGAAGGGCAGGCAATAGAGTGGTTGGGTACTGATGGAAACCAGGTGAAAGGGCATGGACTTTGAACATGCGGACTGCGAATTGCAAAAACGAACTTGAAATCTCGCGACACATTGCAGTTTGTCCCAAAGACATCGTCAATCGATACGATGCCATGTCAGATACTCTCACAGAGGACAAGGTTCTCTTGAGAATCAAATACCTCTGGCCCATTTCCTCCACACACGAATGGGCTCGCATTCCCAACGTCCTGGACATTCTCATCATTGTCATTCGCACCGCAATCAGTCACACGACCGAGATAGAAAACGACAGCAACAACAGCAACGCGTTGATCCAGCATGCCCTGAATGCAGAGCAGACTGGAAGGCCTGACCCGCGACCACGACGGCGCCAAAACCAAGAACGAGGACCACGCTAACAACTCGCCGAGTTCCAACAGAACCAGCCCGACGCAGAGCTTTATAAGTGGCTTGAGGAACTCGAAAAGTCGAATGCGGAAATGGAGAACGAGCTTGTCACATGGCGGTCGGGCGAGGAGATGTAGCATAAGGAAGTGAACAAGAAGGACGAGCAGATCGACCGCCTAGCGTCCGCGCTTGACGGCCAAAAGAGGCTGTACAAATACACGAAAGACTTGCACGAGAAGACCGTGGGCGACTTCACCAATGACCTGAACAAAACGGACAAGGGCTTCGAGGAATGGAAGGCCGTAGTCCTCAACAGCCTCGAGCAAAAGGTCGGACGGTTGGAGCGTCAGAATCGGGCGCTGGATTCCGAGCTAACAGACGCAAACCAATCGCTCAGTCGAGCACGGGAGGATGTCCAAAGGTTGAAAGTGAAGACAATCAATAAATGAGTAAGGATAATTTCTCTTTTCAAAAATACGAAAGACGTTCGCGTCGATATTACTTAGCATTCCCATTACGGCTTGACCACATGACTAAATAAGTACGAATGGTCCTTCCTTTCCGGTCTTTCCCTTCGCCACGTCGGTCTAGCCCTCCACGTTTCGGGACCGACGGAGCATCCTGCCCGCAAGCCCCGCCTAGAAGGTAGGACCTGCCCTGATGGCCTTGAGAAGAGGGGAAAACCAATACAGAAGCCGCCAACCAGGGCAGCACAGAAAGGAAAATATCACCAATCAAGGAAGTGACGGGAGATGGCGGGCATGACAAATTTGAGATTGGGAGAGGTACAAGGCAGCTGTATTTATTTCGTTCTGTTCCTTCCTTACCTCTAGGTACCTAGGTCTTCGTTTTCAGAATTGATACTCACAGGATCAGCCTTTTGCATCCTGATCCTTTCAAGCGTTTCTCTTCCATTCATCAGCGCTAATCCACTTTGCTAGACACCCACGACCTGTCTGAAGGCATGTAACTTACCTAGGTAATTTTGCTTTGACTTCGTCCCTTTCTACATGCTCCCGCCGAGGCCCATACCGGTTCTGATGATACCCGCATGCTTGTGTCCCAAGTTTCGTTCAGTTGTACCTTCAGTCTACTCAAGAGAGCCACGACAATATCCATCTTTAAGCAATCAAATCACGCTCACTTCAACATCACTAGCATCGACACATCATCGTCACCCGCTTAGTCATCCGTATCAATACCATGGACAAAACGCATCAATTAAGGTTTGTAGCTCTCTTTAACCGGAAAACCGGCGACTTATTTCCTTTTCCAGCTCACCATGTCAACTGCTCCTGTGCTCCTTGCCCAGATACCAACTAAATCATAATTTTCTATCGTCCCAGCGGTGTTCCAACTCCTCGAACTTTTTGTCAATCTTCGCGTTCCAGTTCCTCATTAATTTCCACTGATCATTCTTTTTGGTCCTCCAAGAGCTCATCTCTTTATGAAGCGTTCCCGACGGGTCGTGTGCTGGTTACTCCCGGTTCTCGAAGTTGAAGACAAAGTCCCCGTCGTACCGCATGTTGTCTCTCCTCTCCGCCCAACGCTTAAGGCGGCAGCGCATCTGGCGCAGCCTTGTCAGAACATCCTCCTTACGCTCCAAGCTCCGGCGGGTCCTCATATACCTCCTAGGAGACTTGTCACGGGGGAACGAGTGGCGTCGCGGGGTATCGACAGTCTCTTCCAGTTGCTGGGCGGGCTCGCTGTTTGTTTCAACAAAATCTTCCAAATCGGTGCTGGTCTCGTCCCAAATGGCTTCCGAGATGGGAGTCGCATACTCTTCGCACCATCTGTCAAACTTGTCCGGTCCCAGTTTTTGGCAACGGGCGGAAACGAGTGCGGTTTGTTCGTGGTAATCAATAGGCGAGATCTTCATCGGTGCTTGGGTGGTAGAGGTAGGCTTGCCGATCCCCAGGTTGCTCGCTCTGTTCTTGATGCCCTCATCCTGATGTACCTTCTGCTCTTCCTGGCGATCCTGTTCCGTCACTCTCCCCTCATTCTCCCAGCCATAAAGGTCGTCAAACGTCTCTTCCTTTTCTTCGCTCCATTGGTCGAGCTTTGAAGATGCTCTTGATTCAGGAGTCTTCGAGGTACCGCCATAATCCTCACCATAGTTGTCAACACAGCGTGCGCGAGGAGTCTCCGTGGTAACAGGAGGGAGGAAAACTTGATTGTCCTCCACCCGCATCGCCTCTTTCGCGGTTGGAACATCAATAGTCCACATGGTTGCTCTTCTACGGGTGGCATAACCCTTCTCTGCCCACTTGTTCAGCCACTTCTCCTTGCCTTCTGGCGAGCAAGGGGCGAAGTTCGGGCCAGTATATTCATCTGGGATCAAAGATGGCTCGACGAGGCTGTAAGTGAAAGAGTCTTGTCGTGTCTTCTTCAGCTCCGGCACCTCAAGGTACAATGACTGGGTTGCCTTCTGATGGTGGGTGAGGTCGCCGGCGGGTTCCTCGGGCTCCGTGATGATGATAGGCGGCAGCACATGGCAGGATTGGACGGCATTTTCACGCTGAAGCCTGTTGTGGGAGCGGATGCAGAACTTCCTTGAAGACGACTCACTTTTACGAACACGAACCTTGAACTTCCGAAGAGGTGTTCGAGTGATGCTGGACTTCGGAAAAATACTCGCGGTGGTCGATACAAGCGACGTCTTCATCTCGGTACCGACTTCACAATGACCATGCGCGGTCTGCGACTGCACCGCAACTTCGATCTCCTCTTCGAACGGGGGAAGAGTGTCCAGATGAAAGCTGCTAAAATCTTCGTCCTTCTCTGGGGTCTCAAAGTTTCCCTTGGGCTGCCACTGAGAGGGGGACGTAGGAGGCAGCGTCAGATCTGCAAGTTGCTGTGAAAAAACATCTCCCTAAGATGCTTGAGGTTCCACTGTGGCAGCTTGGTACTCCGGCTCTACGAAAACTTCGCGACAGTCTGTCATATCGCGGCGGCGGCGGCGCTTGGCCTCCCGTAGTTGACTGGCGTAGGCGTACATGAGTTCAGTCCATTGATCTTTAGTAATGTCGTCGAGGTTGTTTTCGATAAAGTCGATGATTGGGTCGTTGTCGTCTTCAGTGTTTTGGTCAGGCTGCTGATGGTCATGAATGACAGTGATGGTAGCCTCGGGGGACGTCACGATGACGATGGGCGTAACGGGAGGTAACTGAAGAGTTGGTATCGCGAAGCATTCAAGATCGCCATGAATGAGAACGGGAGAAGTGACTTTGGTGCCATTCTTGGGGAAAAGTTCTTGGGTATCCGAGGTGCCAGAGACTGCAGTGGTGGTGGTTGAACTGGACCAAACGCTATCCGTGGTTTGTGTTGAGCTATTACTGGTAGTGGAGGAAACGGAACTATTATCACAATCGTCAGCGCACATTACTTGATACGAATAAGTCGTATACATACCAGGTCGAATCGGTCCGCGAGTGGGTTGGCTTGATCAAGCCGGTCGTGTTCTCGACGGAGGGTTCAATATCATGGGTGATAACCTCAACGGGCTCGCACTCGACGACGACCTTGGTCTTGGTGATGGTGGGCATTGTGGCCTGCACCTCGGGGGCTTCAGCGGGAAAGACGTTAGTGACAACCACAAGCGGTGCAAGCATGGATGAACGAGTTCTTGCCTTGAGCATTGATGAACTCATGATGGAGGGTAGATGTGCCAGGAGTCACGGCAAGATGGGAGACTGTTGTCGCTGCGACGATCGGCGGGATATCGGCGACGAGCATGAGGCGAGTTAGGGTGTTGTCGTCAGTAGGAACCTCCGCAGCAACGACATCGTCCTCTTGAACTGGATCGTTGGCGGTGCAGGCTCTCCAGATGAGAAGGGCCTGTTGCATTGGCTGGGGGCGGCGGATGAAAGCGTCGATGGGCGCAAGGCCAATACGGTGGATGCTGGGACCGCTCAGCATCTTGGTGTTGTGAGGTTAGAGGTGTCTCCAGCTTTTGGCGACCGTGATCTTGATGAGATTCCCCGTTAATTTTGATCGTGCAGATGAGAGACGATGTTGATATATTATTGGGTTGATGTGCGGAAAGATGCGTTGAGACTTGCTGTTGATATCGTGCGTGTCAACGGTGTTGAGAGTGCATGAGATGTGGATGCCACAGGAAAGGAAGAAGGACCTCCAGGGCCAGTGGAAGACATGATTTTAAAAAATTCAACTCTGGGCGAGGACCGGCAACTTCCAGGTCCGCAAGATCTCGAGGCTGTCGCCTGTTAACTCTTTGGTTACGGTCGTCGTGGTGACGGCGACAATGTTGGTGATGCTTACCATACTGTTCAGGGTTCTTGTAGCAAACATTCCCTCTGGGCCAATGAGGAGGCATGGTTAGACAGGTACGTATATTTAAGGTACGGACAAAATACTGAACAGAACTGAACAGCAAGGATAAAAATCGGTATCAGACCGAACAGCCCGACCGTTCGGCGCCCACAGTTGCCTTATACATGTCAGCTACACACGATATCAGAGAGAACCTTGGGACTACTTAGCAAAATTGCTTGTCAACACCGATAGATGCCCGGTGACAGGTAGCAAATCCTGGGGCCGGTTTGCTCGACAACCGCGGTGCCTGTCGCTTTCCAGGTACGTCCAACACCCCGCCCCAGCACTTGAACACCGGACAGCCCTTGACCTGTCTTTCTACTTCGTTCAATTGAGAAGCAACACATATCTCTGTGAAACAACACTGTAAATTGTTGTAGTGCTGATGGCGTGTAAATTGGAGACATCCGGGGAATCATCTTCCAAACCCTAACCCGAATCCCTTTTCTCCCATGTGGAGATGACGTAAGGACGGTTTGGCCAATCATCGTTCGTACCTGGCATGTCCCACGGGGTAAAGTGCGGAGAAATGCAGATCTCCCGGACAACGACAAGTCGTCCCTTTCTCCAAAGCATCACCACCACAACACCTGATTCTACCGCATCTTGACCCATGCCTCCGCGACATTGAGTGGCTGCCACACTTGTTGACAGTCTGAAAGACTCTAACCAGTGACAAGCGTCAACTGGCAAGGGTAACCTTTTCTGTTTGACAATCACTCCAGTCAAGCCCATATCAGTTTGACATCCGAAACCCCGTGTCACCATGGCCAACCAAGGCCCCACCCTCGACGACTATTACAATCTCGGCTCTCATCACCGGCCCATATCCACCACCAGCGCGGAAACTCAGCTCTGGTTTGATCGTGGCCTCATCTGGAGCTTCGGCTTCAACCACGAAGAGTCCGTCAAGTGTTTTGAACGCGCCGTGGCTGCCGATGCAAACTGCGCCATTGCCTACTGGGGGATCGCCTACTCCCTGGGCCCCAACTATAACAAGCCATGGAGCGTGTTTGACGAAGATGAGCTACAGAAGACCATCGATCGGGCATGGGAAGTCCTGGAACTGGCAAGACAAAAGGCAGCTGCCCCTGGGTCGACGTGTACTCCGGCAGAACATGCCCTCATTGATGCCCTCCAGTATCGATATCCCAAGAGAGCGGCAAAGCCCAAGAAGGACTCTGCACTGGAACATGGCTACGCCCAAGCAATGGCCAAAGTCTACCAGCAGTTCTCGTCCGACCTGGACGTTGCCGCCCTCTACGTCGACGCCCTCATGAACCTCACCCCCTGGAAGCTCTGGGATCAGACGACGGGAAAGCCTGCAAAAGGCGCCCAGACTCTCGAAGCCAAGCGCGTTGTCGAACAGAGTCTAGCCCAGGACCCATACCATCCAGGCCTGCTTCACCTGTACATCCATCTCATGGAAATGTCAAGCCACCCCGAGGTGGCACTCCGTCTGGCGGACAACCTGCGCGGTCTCATCCCTGACGCCGGCCATCTCAATCACATGCCCACCCATCTTGATGTGATCTGCGGGGACTACCGGCGGGCCATCTCCTCCAACTCCCAGGCCATTGTTGCTGACGAGAAGTGGGTGAGTAAAGAAGGTCACGATGGCGCTCTCAACTTCTACGCCCTCTACCGCTGCCACAACTACCACTTCCGCATCTATGCCGCCATGTTCGCCGGTCAGTACCAGGTGGCTCTGGAAACCGTTACGCAACTAGAAGCGGCCCTCCCTGAAAGTTTGCTCCGGGTCAAGTCGCCGCCCATGGCCGACTGGCTCGAAGGGTTCTTGGCCATGCGCGTGCATGTTCTCGTCCGCTTCGGGAGGTGGCAGGACATTGTCGCCTTGGTCCCGCCACAAGACACCGAGCTCTACTGCACTACCGTGGCCATGATTCATTATGCCAAAGGTGTGGCGCTTGCCAATTCAAACCGCGCCAGAGAAGCCGAACGCCATCGGCAGCTGTTTGCTGAAGCTGTCAAGAGAGTGCCGCCTTCGAGGACCGTGTTCAACAACACTTGTCGGGATATCCTGGCGATTGCTGCTGCCATGTTGGATGGCGAGCTGGAATTCCGCAGGGGCAATGTCGAGCTGGGATTTGAGTGTTTGCGAGATGCCATCAAGTTGGATGATAACCTGCCGTATGATGAGCCTTGGGGGTGGATGCAACCGACTCGACATGCTTACGGTGCTCTCCTTTTGGAACAGGGACGGGTACAAGAGGCCGCGACGGTGTATCGGGCGGATCTGGGTCTGGATAATACGCTCCCGAGATCCCTTCAGCACCGAAACAATGTCTGGGCGTTGCACGGATACCACGAGTGTTTGGTTAAGCTGGGGAGAAAGGAGGAAGCACGAGTATTGCAAAATCAATTAGAGCTGGCTGTCGCGTGTGCGGATGTTCCCATCCGGTCATCTTGTTTTTGTCGAAGTCGTCTTTGATGGGCGGTGACTCGGAGGCGGGACGTGTCGTCTGCAGCGCGTTTGCTTTCCTGTCCGTGGTGGTAGCGCAGAGTTCATGCTCAACTGCAGGTACATGTGTGCTGTCCTTTATGGGAGGGGAAATCCTGAATTCCAACATCTGCAGGAAACCTCGCGTCATCGTGCATGTTATAGGGCCGGCGCCTGACAGCCGGAGTCTTCTTCATGTAAGGTAGCCGATGCCTTGTATCAATCATGCAAGGTCATACCACGTTGGCACGGCTTGGGAATATCTTCATGAGTTTCTTCCTCTTATTGGTATCTTTCTGTGAGTCTGGGCAAGGTAGGTACGGTCCTTGCACGGTTGGCGTTTTCACCTCGGAATGAAGGAACGAACAGACAGACAAACATGATAATAGAGGCAAGTGGTACGTGTAGGCCAAAGGACAACCATGTTCGCCCCTCAACTATTCACACATCCATCCATCAGTTTGCAAAATCCGTCCGCGTGTCCTAATCAACAATCACAGCATATTTCCAACCATCCACTGCACATCCAAGTCTACCTCTCCCTAAGAAACATCTCACACATTGACCCGAAGGCAGAAGCAAACATTACCAGTACCTGCCAATACAGCAACAACCACATGATGCAGCAATAATCACCAACTCTCCAAAGAACCTCTCCACGAACCTCCGTGTCCCCTTCTTGTTTTTCGTCTTCGGCTTCCTTTCAGCGACACCTGAACCCCGAGCATTTCCAACAAGTTCACCGTTCATGTTTATTCTCCCTTCCAGGAAGTCTCTCCCCGTCCCCTCCACCTTCTCTTTACCTTTCCACTCACGTGTCTTCTTCTTCCTCCTCCACATCTTCCACGACTCCAATGGTTTAGCAGGACCCACCACACTCTCTTTCCCTTCTTTGAACCTGCTAATCCGCACGTCAGCACGCAAAGCAGCAGCATCTCGACCTGCCCTTCCGTTGGCATTGGCCTCAGCGGCAAAATCCCGGGTATCAGTCTGCCTCAGCTGTTCATCGTTGTCATTGCCCTGCCAATACCTCCGCGCCAGCTCCTCATACGCCTTTTGAGCCTCACACTTGCCGTAGTGAGAGTCGGAGCAGTGCCAGCAGGGGCTGTAGTAGTCCATGTCACATGTTGTGTGCTCTGATGTACAGTCGGGGGGGACGTTGAGGTTCTGGTCGATGTCGCTGACAGAAGGGGAGACGTCAGGGGAGACGGAGCGGCGTGGGGCCATGATTGGATCGTCTTCCTCGTCGGAGTCGAGGTCGGAGACGTAGTTGTCGGTGACCCATGAATATCTCCTGGGTGTGGTGGAAATGTGGCGGGAATCGTTAGAACCCGAAGCGTCGCTGGAGATGAGTACCTCTGTGGAGGAATTGGAGGGGTCGGAGGGGGCACATGGGCCGGGAGACTTGACTTGAGAGGATGTGCTGATATTTGAGGGCGTGGTGGAGGTTGTAGTGCCTTGTGGCACGGGGTGGTTCAAGCGGTTGACTTGCAACGACTCGGGCAGGTAGGCGAAACCGGAGGAAAGGTGTTTCCTAGGTATGTCGGGAACCCTGCGGAAGGCATTTCTTCTCTGAAGTGGGTGGTTGATTGGCTGGGACATCTTGAGAGTAAGGGATATGGTTCTGGCGGGATGTAGTAGAGGTGCTCAAGTGATGGACGCAATGGAGAAGAAGTTTTCAGCTGTGACTTACGTATGGACGAACAAAAGGAAGTAAGTCTCATCCGAGAGAATGGAGGCATAAATACCCCAGTAGAGAAACTTAAATCAGCGGAGTTTGCGGCAGAGGGAAATTCCGGAGTCACTCGGAGCTCCGAATACACTTACTTGACATGCTTTGCAGGCCGCCTAATATTTCTGACCTGCGTCTTTGGAGTTTCCTCAATTTCATTTCCCTTTCATACAGCTGTTTTGCCCGAGATCCTGTGCATGCACGCACTCTACGCGAGGTGTGTCAATATTGTACTTCGCGTCCATGGAAAAACCATAAGGTAGGTAGAGATACGTGTAGGCATTTTGAGAAGATCAGGCAAATATGCATACCATATTTCTTCAGCCAATGAAAATAATAGCCACCGGGCAGGACGCAGTCTGGTGCAGGCGCTCCCTTTTTTTTTTTTTTTTTCTCTCTTTTTTTTTCCCCCGTCCACCGTGCATCCAGAGTGATTGGGAAATCTCTCACACTCGCCTTAACTCCATAAGAAAGCTGCTTCAACTTTCCCAAAACGTTCCTTTTCTTCTTCCATCATCATAACACTTTATTTGAACAAGTACTCGACCTTTTTTTATCTCGAGGCCTTCAAGCTTAAGCCACTTCAACCAAACCAACCACATTCAACAACCAAGATGTTCAGTCTATATTGCTCCGTCGTCCGGTCCCTTCAGACATCGACCCCCTCCGCCAATATGACGGCGCACATAAGCACCCCGTCCATGTCCCAAAACCGTAAGTTCATAATTTTGCCTCCGCTTTCAATTTTCGTAACAGAAACATGACCGAGCAAGCACTTACACTGTCACTTTCACATACAGGCATCCAAGCGGGCTACAGGAAGCCAACTGTCGAGGACTTTGACGAGAAGGAAGAGGAAGTGCGTGTCGAAAGTCGAACGGACGTTGCGGCTTCTGACGAATACGACCTCTCAGAAGAGGAAGACTACTTTGCTTCCAAGTTTGACTTGAGCACACGCGGTTCGGACACCAGTGGTCAAGATTCGGAGCAGGATGAGCCGAAGGAGGAGGAGAAGAACAGAAAAGACGAGAAGAGGCGGATAATGAAGGAGCAGGCCGAACAGTTCCTGCGAGCCGCCCCCGCGGGGATAAGCAGGAGGGTGCGGGGACTGATGGAGAAGCTGGCGAGGGGGGAGGAAGTTGAGGATTCGGAGGAGGAGGAGGACTCGGAAGACGAGGAATCCGATGATGAGGAATCCGACGTGGGCATGGACAAATGGGAGGCAAAGGCCAAGATGGCGAAGGAGGTGAACAGGAGACATGACGAGGAGTTGATCAAGTATTGGCTGGCAAAGCTCACCAAGAAAGACCCAGTGTATTCGGAGGAGGAGGTGGAAATAAGGGACAGGATCAGGATAAAGAGAGGGGAAACCAGGAGGGAAGCCAAGCTGATTATGTGTCGGTAGGAGCCAGGACAGAGGAAGAAGACAGCTGGCGTCTAGGCTAGATACCTACCTTCAAAAGGCACTACCGATAAAGGGTCGGCCTAGACGCTTGAGGAAATGGAAGCTTCTGATTGACCAAAAAAGTCCACACCCCTAAAAAGGAGTGTGCTAAACGCTCTAATTATCAGCGAAGAGTTATAGCGAGTTACTCACTGTGAAATGTTGTATCCCTTCGTACATAGACCTAGATCGGGTAAGCGCGGCCACTGTCCAAATGCTATCTCATTTGCAACCACGAGTAGAGTCCAGCATACCGCACCTTCCTAGCTAGTAACAGCATATGACGGGATGTTCCAAGTCTTGCAAATGTTCCGTTTCATGTTCTACACCCTCCAAGCCTCACGCAGCACGCACAACATCCTCGGCCCGCATCCTCCTCACCAGTCTTCGTCGTTCCCAACAGCCACATTTCCGAATCAACCCCAAAATTATCAGGATGACCAGAAAACCAAAAACTCCAACGACAATGAGTACGTCGTGCGGCGGTGGTCGATACGGAGGATATGTTTCTGGTTCGAGGTTGCTTGTGTTGCCGTTGATTATGTCGGCGTGGGACCCGGTGGAGTTCCCGGCATCTGCCATGGAATCGTTAATTGCAGTGGAGGAACCAGCGATGTGGAAGGAGGAGCAGGAGAATATTTAATGATGGCCAGGAACAATTAAAATCAAAGTCCAGGACCCTTAAGTATCGAAGGCACGGAGATGTGAAGGATTAACAGCACGGCGTTTCTTGGTCAAGTGGATTGGTTATGTCCACCATGACCCACAGCCCTGGTTGGTTACCTCGATGGAAAGTTGATCCTTGGGCAAAGACATCATCGCATGAATCCGAGCCATATCTTGACAGTATCATGCGTAAAAGATTGATCTCACTTGAACACTATCCTGAGATATAGAACGCTACAACCAAGACAGCAACATCGATGTTTGGCTTGCTGTCGGCCCCACTCTTTGCAACCCCATCAAATACGATAAGTGCTAGTGTAACCAGCCACATTAAGCCAATTTAGCGCTAATGCACTAACACACTCCCAACATCTCCAGCGCCCACAATGTCTCCCAGCAATCACGACTTCCTCCCAGAACACAACCCGTTCCATCGCTTATACCTAAACACAGAGCCATACGACATATGGCCACCCGGTATCACTATACGCTCCAGTAAATCAAATCTTACTAACAGCCTCCCAGCATCAGTGTTCCTCCTTCCCACAGCGAATAATTCCAGTCATGCCACCCTTTCTCCAACATGAACGTCATTGCTGACATCAACCGTCATTCAAGCTTTAACTTCCTCTTCAAAAATATAGAACAGCATACATCCACTCCAAAGCCTCCTAATAAGCTTCCCTAACTTTATCGTTCGCTTCCATCCATTTCGGATCACCCGTCATCTTAGTCCAGCTCATCCAGGTCTCGTCCATATCATTCAGGTCTCGCTTTGCATGACCATCGCCATTCTCAGGGGCAGTCTTGCCTTTGCCCAACCCTTCGACGAACCCAGATATAGCCTTTTCAATGTCCACAACGGTTCTCCTGGTCTTCTCGACAGCCTCAGACAGTCCAAGTTTGGAATCTTCCTGGTGGTTTAGGTCTCGCTTCGCTCTTCTGATAAAGTGTGGGTGCCGCTCGGGGTGCGTCGCGGCGATGAGATTGTAGAAAGTGCCGCGGAAGTGCTTGGTTGCTTGGACTGTAGTGACGACGACAGTCCTGATGACTGTCAGAGCACTGGTATGTTCGTCGGAGAAGGTCTTGAAGCCCGACGCGGTGTTGACTTCGTGGCTGGCGTGGACGTTGTGGTTGGTAGCTTGAAGAGACGCTTGCTCATAACGAGCTGTCGGTGGGAGTACGGCTAGGGCAGATGCCATGGTTGAAAGGCCCAAAAGGGAGAAGAGGGAGAGAAGGTACGACTTCATATTGGCGATAGTTATTCGGAATCTTCCTGTTTGCGTAGCGTAGGTACTTTGTGCGTTCCCGGTTGCCCTCTTCTATGACACACGGAGGCAATGGACTGATGACTTTGGAGGGATGCTTGGGGTGGCGAAAGCCTGGATGCTAAGGGGTACACGTGGCAAGATATACTCTACAGACTCACCACAAACAGAAGGGGACACATGTTCCTTTTTCGTGTTGAGGTTGAGACCGGCTTCGTTCTTGCAGCGGATGTCCGGTTGGAGGCAGATTTTCCTGCAAGTTTATGCGAGCCTTATCACCGGTAGATACAGCGAGGCGTTGCAAAAAAATTGATGATGCCCGGGAACTGATTATGCCGGTTTGAAGGTCGGCGGCTGTTCATGTGATCCTTCTTTTTCTGTTTTTTGAACACACGTACGCGGTTCCTATAGGTGTCGCTAGCGGAAAAAAATGCCGTATAATGGCTGATTTTATGATCTGTGACAGTGGTAGTCATGCCGCGCATTGACCTGCAGTCAAGGGGCGCAGTGTTCAATTCCAGGTTCACACCTGTTGCCAGAACCAGGAAAGGCACCGCCAGCGTGATTTACGCCTTTTCAGGTTACAGTAAAGGAGAGGCGAACAGCCAACTGCCGCCAGCCCGCCACAAAATTCCTATTTGCACTGGTGCACAGACCAAGGTTTAAGACCTCCCCGCGCCTATTTAAACCAAGCCAACCCATCTTTCCTCAGACAACTCTTTCTTCTTTTTCTCTCTATCCAAGTGCAGGGGTTTTACGCGTATCAGTGAGGACTTTGTCCGAGATTGCGTTTTTGCTAGTTGAAAACTACATACCCGACCACTTCCAGTATGGCTTCGGCTGGCTGGGGAATTTTTGGAAACCGCACCTTTCAAATTCTCGCTCTCGGGGTTTACTTTCTTCCCTCCCATTCTTCATTGCCTTCGGTTCCTTGTTGAGGGTCCGTGGTGAGGAAGGAACTATTAGAAACATTGTCTATTGCCACGCCTTTCCTACAACTGGTTGCGTGCGGCAAGCAAGGATGGACAAAGAAAAAAACTAAAACCTATGTTGGTGCCCATGTCACGCCTCAATGGTCCCAAAATGAATTCCACACCGTGCAAAACAATATGGCAAATATGGGAACTCTAATGAACAGCAACGAGCCGAGGCATGAAAAGATGATGATGACGGCTAGTATGCCTGGCGCGAGGCAGACTTTATGAGGAGGGCACGTAGGCTCGGTGGTCCCATCAGAGGTATCTTCCATTTTCGCCACATTGTCGGCTTGGTGAGGCACTAGTTTCGGTTGCTCGGAGTCTGTTTCTAAAGAGATTTGGTGTCAGCTTGGGTTTTGCTTTGGTTATTCATCCGCTGTAGTAAGTTGTGCATTCAGTGCATGATATTACTCTTGGAATGAGCGACGCTAAAGGCATCTACGATCCAGGAAAAAGGGGGGGAGAAAGGAACGAAGAAAATGGAACAGGATGTGACACCGTACCTATCCTATTGATTTCACGTCTTCCACGGCCACGTCTTGTTGGCAGGGAGAAGTCGTCGCGATGATGGATAGTCGTGGTTGCTGGTATTCCAAGGCTCGAGTCGTCGCGGTCGATGGCTTGGCTCTCAGTACCGATATTCAAGGCAACGCAAATGCCAAAGAGCGCCGCTAGCAAGGCTCGAGAAAGCAGTTGCGCGCGCATCGTGTCGAGTTTGATAGAAGTAGTTTCTGGAGCTGTCTAACAAAAGAAGAGAAACGGACGCCCAGGCAGCCTAAATACCTTAGCAGAATTGAAAAACCGGTGAATAGGCGAGGTCCGTGAGTTGTATCGTTGTCACACATTGTTTGCGTACCTTGTGTTGGTCCAAAGTCACAACAATGAAAGCGAACAAACGTGGCTTCGCATCCTGGCCCTGCTTTGTTTCCATTCCTCCCTCACAGTTTTCGTCGTTTGCACCTCATGGAGGGCGGAAAGTTCAAAGAGACCCCGGTGCCATCACCAGGTTTTGCAGAGGTAGTTCCGCTTCTATGAAAGGAAGAGGGACAGGCGCGAAATGTGAGCAAGTCCGGATGTCGTTGAAATGGAGTCGGGACATGCCGATAAGCGACAGCGATAGCGCTTCTTTGGCCAATCAAGTGCCGCTATAACAAGCAGAACCCTGCCCCGCACTCTCAAGTTTTGACATGTCTGGTCATTCTTGAACTGCTCCTTGAACTACAACCAAGTGAATGGAGAACTAGGACTTCTCATCATTGAGCCAAGTCGCAGAGGTCAATATGAACAGGAACAAAAATCGAAAGCCCCAAATTGCCCGTAAGCATTTCGGAATGATTAGTGTGATTTGACGATGTTGGCAGATCTGTTAACGACTCAGCTAGAACGGGGCGCAATAGCGCGTCTACACTAACAGATGTCCAATAGCATTTCCCCTCCCCAACCCAGCGCACATGCCACCTGCCCATCCACTGTCGGCGCTGTGCCCAAATGAAGTCAGCACGGGCATCAGGAACATCGAACAATCGGATGTGTCAATATTCTATGGAAACTCTTTCGCAATTCACATCGCTAACAGAATCGGGCATTCACATTATCTCTCAAATGCATCGCTAGCGCTATCTTAATACCTATCTTGGCCATTAATCTTCAATATCACGTCACCCGTTTCTCAGCTCCCCTCCCTCCCTCTTTCATTTCCAACTACTACCTCGCCTCTTATTCTCTCGAGTTCCTATGCCGGTTCTACCGATAATATCTCTTCCTCCTTCTACTTATCTCATACTCCTCATCAGCCCGCGCCCGCCACTTCTCCTTCGCCGAAGCCCAACAAAGATGCCAATGACAAGGGCAACGCCAAACAGACCCAACAACGAGTATCCGACGACTTCACCAGTGTTGGGACCTTCACCCTTTTCACTCCCACTAAGTGGTGGGGAAATGGGCTGCTTGTGCTGAGGCTGCTCTTCTTGTCTTCTTCCCAGTTTGACTTCGAGTGACGCGGCGCAGAGGCCAAGGAGAGTTGAGAAAAAAAGGAGGTGGAGCAGTCGAGGTATCATTGCTGTCAAATGTCGATGGCCACAGTTAATGTTGGAGTGATTATGAATAGGGGAGGGAGCATCTCTTCTACTTCTACTTATACCATCAACTGCTTCTTCGAAGGGCCTTCCACGCTCGTTCCTGGCCTCAGCATGCAAACTCGGTCTTATGCTTCACAGGTACCTGTAAGAGGTTTGTTTTCTCTTACATCTTTCAAGATGAAGGCCCTTTTTGAACAGTCCTTCTTGCTCACCTCGCATACGTATCAGATTCATTGCTAACGTGTCTGAGCAACTCGAAAAATCTCTCTAGGTGACCTTTCTTCTACAAACCCCTCACTTTCCGCCCTCGCCCGTTTGTCCCTCCCTTCAATTCTTACCTTACTTTCCCACCTAGCTAGCCCCTCTACTATGATTCCCTTACAGATGTATTCCTACCTGTCCATCCACCGACCAACTACCTCCTACCTCCTACCCCTCCTCCTATGTCTCCTCATCTCATACTCCTCATCATCCTCCTCCTGCGCCTCCATCCTCGCCCTTCTCCCCTTGATCACACATACCACCAGTATAAGGCCAATAATACCAGCGAACACGCCTCCAATGATGGCACCTATCTGGCCACCGTTTCCACCGCCGCCACTATCACCATCGCTTGGTGCCAGAGTTGGTAGCGGGTCGTGCGTCGGCTTGGGCTTTTCTGGTTGTTGTTGTCCTCCGGTCCCAGGTCCAGCTTCTGCTCCCCCAGATCCTGGATCTGGTGCTCCTGCTTGGGGCTGGTTATCTTGTCTCCTGACTACATAGCGTATTGCGGTGGTGGTGATGGGGTGATCTACCGTCTGTACTGTTGGCTTTCTGGTGTTCAAGTCATTGATAAAAGCTGGTTGGTCTCGAGGAGTCATTGGCTTGATGACGGAGGCGGCTGAAAAGGCGACTAGTGAAGAGAAAACAAGGGAGAGGAGAACCTGTGGCTTCATCGTGTCAGTGAGCTTTGCTCAACAGGCTTTGTATATAATTATCTGTTTATGAAGCTCGGCGCAATGTTGTGGTAATATGGTGGATTTCATTGTGGTATGGGAAGGGCATTCCTCCTACTTGTACTTCGAATTGCACTCTTAGATTACCTCGAGCACTGGATCTCCGTGGGTCGGGGTCTGGAAGATAGGGTCGAGTGACCCAGCAGCTGAAACGGTAAATCGGCCTTGTATCATAGCTATTCCTCGCCTCAAGCGTTCTTCATACCTCACTAATGGCCCCAGGGTCTTTACACTTCTGTAGTGAGCAATGAGGTATGTACAGCTGTTGATACTTCTAACCAATCATGACCCCTTCGTTGAGCGATACCTACGTCCAGTCAACTTTTGCTGCGCCCAACGGGTTCATGTCCGTTGGTTGCTCGACGGGAATGAACTTTTCGTTCGACTTACATTCAGGAAGTGAGCAATTCCTACTCGATTTTGCCCATCTGCTTCTAGTCATCTTGTAAGAGACTTCGATAAATAATGCCCGTGTTCGAGGATCGAGTAAATCCCGGGCCCATCTCCGATGTCTCAAACGTTGTTTAACGCCGGGACAGGAACTGGTGATAGCGGCGGCCGAAAAGTTGATGTTCAATTTTCAAGGAATTGGAGAACGTTGAGATATCATATGTGGAGCCCGCAGGGAAGGCAAAGAAGCAGGCTGGTGCTAATGGAGGGGTACTTGCCGTATTGAGATACCTGACGCGATCTGATTGGTTCTAAACACAGAGAGTGAACCAATGACGTCTCGTTTTGCAACCGGATAAATCGACTGTGTTCGATTCTTAATCGACTGTGTAGCTTTTCGCGGACTGCCCCCCCAAATTAGTATTAGGGTTAGTGGTTAGGGTTAGGCGTTAGGGTTAGTTTCGGGGGTGCAGTGGGCCGGCGAAAGGCCCCCGCGTATGAATGAGAGTTTATCGCTTTAGAAAAGGTGGTTTTGAGCTCTCGTTGTCGTAGCTCGAAGTAATGTCTTTTGGTGAATGTTTGGTGATGGTTGCTGCTGGGCCAGATGGATGCCCAGAAATGCCCAGCTTTCGGTCTTGGCTCTCACTTTGTATGGACTCCACACAGTCGATTAAGAATCGAACACAGTCGATTTATCCGGCTCGCTCGTTTTCGCCAGGATGATTTTTACTGCGAAGGAGGAGAAAAAAAAAGAAAAAAAAAAAGAAAAAGAAAAAAAAAGAAAAAGACAAGAGGAAGAGGTGGAAGTTATCCAAGACGGAAGCGAGGACAGCCTCAACATTGAAGAGTAGCTTCATAGTAGTTATCCGCTTTTCGTAGGTGTAGTGCTTGCTTGTTCAAGAGGGGAACGTTATGCTCCCCATTCAAGTCTCTTCTTGCTACACCTTCTACTTAATCCCTCTTTCCAAAACAGCCTCATTTTCGGAACAGATGGATTCTATGTCCAAGCACTAAACTCTCTATTATTCCTCTACCTAGAAAAGAATTAATGGTCATGCCAACAGCAATCCCGGCAGCAGCGAGGAAAATATCCGTGGAAACGAATCCGAATATCTCCTATCCTCTGTACACACATTCACTGCGACGTGGTGTTCCTGGTCATTTTCCCCATGACCACCTGTGGTATTGTCCATCCCCTTCTAAGTTTTCTTAATACCGCAAACATTGGCTTTCTTTGCTTCTCCACCACCGGCAGTACCACCACCCATGACATTCCAAACTCTCGTGAAGCGCGTCGACTAACTCGAATCTCATGTTCCTATCAACCCACGATATCATTAGCCTCCGTTGCTTAGGCGAATACGCGACCAGCCAGACCCAAAAGGAAGTTTCCTTATATGTTTGCTCACCGTTTCCTCCAACGCCCTTACCTGACTGCAATGCAAACAGAAGAACACGGTGTGCTGCGTTCCGGTCTAATTCACAACCGTTCCGTTGTGATAACAGACGCCAAACCAAATCATCACCCCTACAACAGCAAGACAGCCGAGAACAATTCCGATGATTGCCCCAGGGTTGCCAGCCACGCCCCGGCGGTAAATGGCCTGGTGTTTCCCATCGCCATTGCTCGTGGGGTTCTTGCTTTCCCTTGTGTCCGTGTTGGTATTGCTACTTTCGTCCTTCCTACGAGTGAATCCTCCCCAACTGTTGATGCCATTGTCCTTGGTCGTTGGTACTTTAGGCGATCTTTTGGTATCGGAGGAAGTGCCTTCTGCCGGCGACGTGAAGGTGACAGCGTGGGGATGGACTGGAACTGTTGTTGGGTGGCTGACCGTAGTCGGAGTGCCGTCGGCTGAGTCGGAGAGCGCGGTGACGCTTCGCGGGACCCGCATCCAGTTGGGAACGGCGAACGCGGTAGAGATGCCGAAGAGGGCTATGAGGACGAAACTGATCAAGATTCGTGACTTCATTGTTGGCTTTGGCGATGGCCGCTTTCTTGGTTGATTCCTGCCTGAAATGCTTCTGATCAACGAGGGTACGGATGTGCGAGTCGTGGTGGTATCATTAGTCGATGGATGATCATTGTACTTGTACCTCGAAACACCGTTAATGCTTCGCGGACTTTCGAGCACGCGCTGTCCAGTGCGTCGATGTCGCAAGCCAAGGCCAGGTGACTCGCGAGTAGCCGCCAGAGTAAACGCCTGTCTTCTTGTCTTCTGCGATTGACGAATGGTAACAGAGCACATGGGTTGTCGAGGATATGCTTCGACGGACAGATGAAAGCCGCTTTGCTGGCTCCGCCTCTAGCTCCCTTGCAGGCGTTGGTTGTTGGCTCGTTCGGCCCGGCTTTGTTGCTCCATTGTTCGCTCGTTCGCGACGAACGGCTTTGTTGCCTGTTGGCTTTCTAGGATTAGGCATCACTCCCATGAGAGGCCAGAACACGAGATCCCGCGGATTTTGTATCTGCTGGTTCCGGCGTGGCTCATAAGGCGCAGGACTAGCGGAGGTGACGGCCACGGCGCAGGAAGTTGACACCTGTGTAGAGCTGCGCGCGACAAACGCGAATGGAGGCGTATCTAAGAGGTCAGAGAAGAGGAGTAGATGAACGAATGGAAAACTGCGTGCGGTTCGAGGCCAATCTGGACATTGGCTTGGAAATCCGATGATGGAAAGGGTTCAGTTCGAGGAGAAAAGTCAACAATGCGGGGCAAAGAAACGAGGCAAGGACTTGCTTGGGACCTCTGGGTGCTGATGGCGGGGTGTTACCGCATCGGGATACCAAGCCAACCATGATTGGCCAGTGGACCGTTATCGATAAACTCATGCTTGCGCGCTACGGTACTGGATCTCCAGAGCCGTCATATATACCCGACACCAACACGCGCCCACTGTTCACAGCTCATCATTTTCCACCGCCCGGTGAAGTTTACTAATCCATCAGATGCATTGCACTTTTTGCTTCTCCAAATTTGTTTCACACATACATCACTTGGTACAGAGGTATAAGGCAGTCATGGGGAGGGGGCCGAGATAAATATCCGCCTTCTAATGCTTCTGTACTATTCCTACCTCCTCTCCTATTGCCCAAATCCACAGCCTTCAATTCCTGCTATGCTTTTTATCAGTCACAATATTCTCTATCCTTGTCCCTCGACGTTGTCCCACCTCAGTACACCCGTCGTTACTCCTTTCGGGCTTCCTGGCCGCCCCCGTACCATCCATCTCCGTAAATGCTCAGCACGGCCCCTCTCAATCACGTCTGCCTTTCGGTCTCATGTCGAACCTCGTCCATCAATGCCCCTGAAACTTGCGCCAACAGATACAGCCACCAATGAGAAACCCAACAGCGAGAATGGGGACAATGATGTAGATGACAGTCATGTTCGATCCCCCACCGTCTCGCCTGTAGATGCTGCCTGGTTGCTTCGTGTCATCTCTAGCAATTTGGGCTTTCGTGATGTGCGGAATCAGTGTGCCATGCGCCTCTCCTCGTTTGTTGTTCTTAGAGGAAACCTGTCCCGATGATTCGACAGTAGATGGAGCGGTGCTAGCGGTTTGCACATTCGGGCTGATTGAGTCCGGAAAGTATATCGTCGTGCTTTTGGGACTCGCGTCGTTGCTGGAGCCGATCTTGGTCAACTCAGGTGTATCTCGCGAAATGGGGTTCCGATTGGGGAGCACCAAGGCTGCAGAGACGCCAAGAAGAACACCCAGTAGGAGCCGGAGGCGGAAAAGCAGTTGTGGATGCATTGTGGCCAAACACTAAGGACGAGCGCTTTTTGTTTTGGGCTCGTTTCTTCGTGGGACTTGTGTCTGGCGAGGTATCTGGTCTTTCGTGATGATACGCGAAATTCGGGCTGTGAAAGGTCGCTCAATAGCTCGACGACGTCACGATGTGCTTGGGAGGCTCGGTACCGCTGCTTCAAGTACGATACTCTGTATGAAATCCTGGGCCGAAAGTCCACGCCTTATACGGAATTCGGTTGACAATGTTGATTTTTGGAGAGTGAATCAGCTTCCATTCTTGGGCGGCTGGCTTGTAAGGAGATCTGGAGGTGTTGTGTCAAAGTGAGGTTCTCCATCTTGCGTGATGCGCACCAAACAGCTAAATCATTTCTGAAGGCGTACGGTATGAGCCTGCCTCGCACTGCCACAGAAATATTCTCAGCCCTTGGCAAAGAGCGTCCCTAGCGCTTTGTTTGTGGATCCTGGGTTTCCGGTCCTCTTTCATGCCGCAGACGCCGATGGTCTTTGTCCGCATTGTCAGGGTCCATCTGCCGTTGCGGCGAAGCAGTTGTTGGTTACTTCCTTGTTTTGGAAACAATGCCGCGGACTTCAATGACTTGTATTGCCGGTGTCGTGGGTTGGGGTGCAGATTGAAAGTAAACACCATGGGGGAAGATGAGGATGTCGTGGTTTCCCTTGGTCGTTTGAACTTTCCAACCGCTGTAGAAGAAGTTCGCGCATTGAGGGGTCATTGCTACGCTTATCAGGCTACTAACACAACCTCAACTAGTTTTGGCTTTACACATCGTTAGAATTGTTAAGCTTGCGCTGGCACAACGCTGAAGCTAGTTCCTCCCTTGCGTCCGGGTCGAAGGTGGGTCAAAGTTGGGTTGGGTGGCCTGCATTAGTGCACAGACCACCAAAACTCCGTCACCATTTGCCTCCAGTCCGGGCTGTAACCGAAATGCGCCGAGGGACTATGGGTTCACTTCCATGTTCTTAATGTGACTCTGAGGAAGGTTGAAACTAACGTACCCTACGCACGTATCCGTAGTTGATTCCTGAGTCTGTCCTTCACTGTACCACATGTTGAGTACCACCAAAAAGATGAGGCAACTAAAGCGTACCATAGCGGGAAAGCCGGGCGGTCATCTAGGCTAAATAACAATATCTAGGCTAAACACTCAATCTAGGCTTATTGAACGGATCTCCTAATGAGTTAGGAGTGATAGTTCCTTCCTAAACCTTCGAAAATTTAGATTCTTTTTTTTTTTTTTCTGGTAGCGGTTACTCTTTCCCAAGGTTCCAAATACCTATAGGAACCAAAACAACGAGCCTTTTTATTATTCAATTGGGCCAGTAGCTTAATGGTTCTTGTGTTTGCTCTCTTTCTTATAGTTACTAGTTCAATCCTGCTGGTAGTCGCCTTTTTTCGGTCGCACGAAAAGTTTCGCGTCTCCTTTGGGAATACCATCATTCAAACTTCGAAGTCGAAGTCCAACAGGGGTACCTACCTAATTACCTCTAGGGAAACCACTATAACAGCAGTAATAGAAGCTGTTATAGTGGTTCCTAACTTTTGCCTCCTGTAAGCCCATTTCAACCAATCAGAGGCCCTTATTTTTCGTCTAGGCTAGACTTCAAAGTCTAGCCTAGTTCACCAAACAAATTTAGTTTTCCACTCTAGGCTAGATACCCCCCTTCTAGACTAGAAACTCTCCCTATATTCCCGCTGCGGTAGGGTTATTCGTACAACACTGGGTGTCTAGGCACTATGTGCATCGTTGTGAGACATCAAATTTTCGGTATGAAGAGGGAGGGTAAAGTGAAATAAGTACGTCTATATGAAGTCTCGAGGTTCGATGTGGGATCGTTCCCCAGAGTTTTACCACTTCACTCCATGTGAGGTACACAGCCCTCGATACCATATCCTACTTGGCTAGCACCGGTGTATCCTATACCCATTCCGCTCGGGTACCTTTATAGACCCATATGCTCACTCAAGCCGTTGACTTGCTAACGGTTCAATGATCAGAATGTGAATAGAAGAAATCACCCCACAACCTTGCTAGAAGAGACAAAGTTTCCACACCATGGTGACCATCTCAGGCGAATGGACGGTCGGCAATATCATTGTCGTTGCTCTGATCGTCGTCTGCATTCTTGCCTTAGGGTACACCTTCGGAAAGATGGCCGCACAGAGGAGGATCCAGAACCAGCAAGCAACACCGAACGACAACTCCAACCCCAGTTTCCTGTCGAGACTATGCGGGTGCTGCGGAGACGGGTGTGTAAATATAGATATACCTCTGGACCTCTCTGGGGATACTGGCGGCGGTGGAGGGGGTGGTGATGGCGGCGGTGGAGGAGCTCCTGGTGGAGGTGGAGGGGGAGGAGGAGGAGGAGGTGCCGATGGTGGAGGTGGAGGTCATGGAGGTGGAGGTCATTGAGGAAATGCTGGTGGTAGCGATAGTGGAGGTGGAGGTGGAGGTAGTGGTTGTGAGTGAGCACAAGCTAAGCTTGCCTGCTTCGCAATTAGGGAGGCCACATACCTACAATAGTGTATGGAGTGATTGTTGAAGTTGGACACGATGAACAGGATAATCGATAATCTGTTGGGTAATTCAATGCAGTTTGTGCGGAGTGGCATAACGTAGTCGGTGGTGTCCATGGATCGGGGGCTGCGAACTTAGGATGACCGATCTGAAGTGAAGAACCGACGTTCAGGCTTTGTGCGGCAGTGGATCACCATCTTGATATCAAGTGGGAGTCAGCCAGTCTCGCTAGAGGACTCAACCCCTTCTTAGAAGCTCAGTGCGTACCCGATGAAAATCTTATGGCAAGGTCTAACTCTAACCTATAAAAGTTCAGTGCCATCCATCAGCCACTAATCGAGAAGCTCATGACAATATGCTAGGCCATATACCCCGGGTTAGACATTCGGCCTCGACACGAATGATACACCCAAAGAAACAGGTAGAAGAGCACTGACCTTGAATAGAGAGGTCCCAGATATAACTTTGGGTAGCCAACCAAAGATTTGCCGTATTTCGTTTCTTCCCACTTTGTCTACAGCAAAATCAGCAAGCAATTCTTGCCCCCTTTCTTTGCGCCTTCTCGTTTACTCTCAGCTTGGCATCTCACAAAAATGCATCTCCAAATCTTCCTCCAAGTTCTGCTCCTAGTATCCTCCTCAACCGCCCTCTCCGCTGACGCCTCAACCATCCCCTCTTCTTATTCCTCCTCCCCAACTTCAATTGACAAGCCGAACCTCAACCCCCGTCTCTCCTGGGACGACATCGTCAACGGCGCCAAGAGTTTGTACTCGCAAGCCATGGCCACCCCTACAAGCACCACCATCGAGGTCCCCTCAAGCACCTTAAGCACCTCGCCAACGGCAGCAACCCATGGATATCAGGAGGAGAGCGATGGATACAATAACAACAAGGATAGTAAGGGCTGGAAAAATGGGAGCAACATCCTGGAGCGGCAGGGATTGTTAGCGGGAGCGGGGTTGGGGTTGGTTGTTTTGGGGTTGTTTGGTTGATCAAGGCAGGATCAGATGCGATGGTTGGCGTTATTGGCGAGTTGAGTGCGGGGATGAGATCGATGATATGGAGGAGAGTTTGGCAATTGGACATGATGGGATCTGGGTTCGTGGATGGATTATGGTGTTAGCGCTAGAGTATGTTAGAACGAGGGATGAATGGCGAGGAGTGAAGAATCGAGTCACCTTTTCTGTCTGTGTTCCTATTGTCGCAGAGGTAGTGTTCTGCAACGAAAATTAGCGTACCAGCGCGTATGTGCGGCTCGTTGGAGGTTGGTCGTGAACAATAAGCTTTGTTGGTGAAAGGCGGTGGTCTATGGGACCCAGCGTCAGCCATGGCATCAGTGTGAAGCGTTGAAACAAGCCCCTGTTGGTTCGATGAACGGTTGGATGGATAGCCGAAAATAGCATATGAAGCACCAACCGGCCCTGATGGTTCAATGACTTGGAGGTCAGGACGACTTGTGTCGAGAAGGTTAATACGTTGCGGCGCTAGGAGGAACCTACTGCCATCGCAAAACATTGTCGAGCTTGTTATTCTCTTTCATATTTCACATTTCGTATACTTTTGCCGCGCGCTTAGCCCGTTGTTCTTGATTGTTCCTGTTCGAGTGTTAGCATTGTAGTTCCACTCTCCCATTCAACAGTCTAAGTCCAGCCATGTTATAAGCAGGAGTGCACTCCTCAGAAGGGGTTTGTCTCGAGAGCTGCATAAAATCATGCCTCAAGTCCTTGCCTTTTGTAGAACAGCAGATTTCACCCAACAAGGGAAGAACGCAATCGTTTCAGTCCCTGACAAACCATCGGAAAACATCCCATCGACACCTGGCAATGCGCTTCGTTCTTCTCCTCTCCTTGTTGGCATCTGGCCTTCCCGGCCTGCCTTTTGGCGCCGCCACTCCGCTTCCATTCACCAGTTCCTTGAGCCTGAAGGAGCGCACCTCGAAATCCCTGCACCCGAAACAAGAGTTCCCAAGCACGATCTCAAGTCTAATGTCAAGAACCACGGTTCATGCTCCATCTTCCAAAAGCCCTTCCACAGCTCCATTGCCGAACACGGTCAAGAGATCAAAGGATACGCCCCTCCCGACAAGAAGACAGCAAAAAGGTTCAGCCGTCGAAGCGAAATCCTCGATCGCGCCAGACGAAGAGCCAAGGGCATGGTACAGCCTCAGCAGCCGAAGTGCTGATGTCGACAATGTCGATTCCCACCTGACCACACGCGCCAGCACTCCCGATTCAGCCAAGGACCCTGACTACAACAAAACGAACGGGTACTGGGTGCCTATGGAACCCGTGTATTATGTCCTTATGGGCATGGGTATCGTTCTTGCTATACACCTTGTCTATCTCCTTGTGCGGTGTCTTGTCGGTGGGAAGGATACTGTCAAGTATCTGAAAACGTGGCAGGGGACGGTAAAGAAGCATTGGGCAAGAAAGGCTGAGAGGAGGACGGCGAAAAACGAAGTGGTGGCTCCAGCTTAAGGTGCAAAGGATCAAGCGGTGCAGGACATGCGTGGGTTTTCACTTGGATATGGTTTGTTTGTCGTTTACCGGGGGATATGGATCATCTGGTATGATTGCCACCGGGCTGAGTCTCGTCTGAGGCTAGTGGTGTTGGATCTTGGAGCAGTAACGTATACAACGCGGTCTTGGTAGAGAATGAAGATGATTGTGAAGCGGAGACGTGGCTGGATGGGCCATGATATGTGATTCATGACTGCACTACAACTACTTGGGTCAGCACTGTGATTTCCTCCATGACATCGTGGTCCTTGGTAAGCGAAGAGAAGATTGATTGTACACTGAATTCCCACGACCAAAGTTTCTCTAGGAAGCGTAAAAAACTGTCCTCGTCCAACAAGAACCTAACCCCCGCGCGTTGGCAAGACGTCCACGTGAGATTTGCAGCCCGGTGCCGGAGCCAGAGCTTGGTAATAGAATTGCTGTCAAGGAGTGCGCTCAAAGAGCGACGGAGAAGGGACTTGCGCATAGGGAACCTTCGACCGGTGGGATTGAACATGGACATCTGGATTGCCGTCGGGGTGTTCTGCGCCGTCTTTGTTCTGTTGGGCGCTGGCGGGCTGCTGGCGAAGCAGAGCGCGAAGCCGTCGTGGGAGGGTCAATAATGGAGTTGAATTAACGGCCGATCCATGGAGGGGATTTTGATGGAGGGAGAAGAAGAAAAGCCAAAGAGAGGGTAAAGGAGGAGATCTGTCGTTGGGAGGTTGAAACGTCGATTGATGACAAAGAATGCAGCTGGCCTGTGCGCTACCTCTAGTGCAGGCCACCCGACCAACTGCAGACAACTGGACTCATTAATGCAAGATGGAAGTACCTCTAGGCAGATTTAGGTAGGGAACTAACTATCAATGCAATAACACTTTCACAGATTCTCAAGAGTAGAACTGTTAACAGCTTGGTAAGGGTTGCAGCGCTGCCTATGACAACCACTATTAGTACCTAAACTACTGCCGGCACCCTTGCCTTTCTGATTTGCACATAGTCAAGTTGAGAAATATGGGGGAAAAAAGCCAAAAAGAGAAAAGGAAGTGGCATGGCTGGTAACGGACTCGAGCCGTTGTCACGCAGATTTACCACGCCGGGAATGTTACCATTACACCAACCGGCCACACCACGGGAGAAGGGTCAACTGAAGGACCTTATAGACCCAAGGAGGCGAAGATAGGAAGACGAGACTCACGGAGATGACGTTGGAGGAAAGGGTGGGAGACGTGGCAGGCGGGACAGGCAACAACAGCTGCATGAGAAAGAGCCGTCAATTGCGGGCAGAGCAAGAGCAGCAGGAGGCACTGCAGTGAAGCCCGACTCCGGGCCGGTGAAAGTCCGGGGCCCTTGGGCACATTCACTGCGCTGGGTTCCGATCACAGTTCATCCGACACCGGCACTTCTTTCCTTGAGAATCTATTTCCTTTCAACCCACTTTTCTGTTTTGTCCACGATATCAAGCACTTTGTCGCATTTTTCAGTCTTGAACAGAAGATGCAATACCTTCCACCATCCGATCGCATCTTTTCGCCTCCTCGACCGTCTCGACGGGATGGGCGATTCTCCAGCTTTGCGGACAACTGTCCCACCATCTCTACGCCACTGCTGCCACTTGGCCGGACCATAACATCTTGTCCAACCAAAACATTGGGGCATGAGAGAGCTGAGGTCTCGACCCAGCAGGCTGTGAAGCCACACCAAGCTTATTGGTTCGCTGCAAGGCAACCAGCCCTCTGCCGTCAATACCACGCACCTATTCGGACTGCCACATTCTCAGCCTGCTACATGAACACTCCAAAGTCTTCATCCAACGCGGTGCCAAACAAAGCAAGTTGTGCAGATCGTGGCCAAAACATGGAGCCTAGAGCCATGGACCATCACGCCCACAGCTGTGACCGGCGTTACACAGCATCTCCAACTCGGATCGAGTAAGACAGTCCTAGACTTCCAAGCTTCCTTGAGATTTATACTAGTACTCCCCTCTACTGCCTCTCTCTTCACTCATCATGTCTTTGAACCCTGCATACCAAACTCTTCTGTCCCAAGCAATCAGCCTTTCACAACAAGGGCGTCACAATGGCTTTGACAACAACATTCAGAACTAGCCTGCAGCTTGTCGTTTACTTGGGCTTGGTGTGGGCTTGTGGAATGGTTACCCTCAGCACAGCTCTCACCAGTTCCTCGAATACTTACGTAGGCATATATAGCCCTATTGACAGTCCTAGTGAGTCTTGCTCCACCGATGTTCTGTCTTTTCTTTTCTAACCAGGTCAACTTAGCTGCTACGATATCTTGTCTCCTCGGAGCCATCTACACAACCTGGAATACATTAGCGATGTGCTGCCCGACACAGTATCCAGCCTGCGAGTTCTTAACTAGGTGCGAGGGCGGTACAAAGTATGGGTACAATGGGGGCATTGACTACTGGTAGGTCCTGTCTGGCTGTTATTTGTAGACGATGTGAACCGCTGACCCAACGTATCAATCATCTAGTGATCAAACCTACCCGGATTGTTATACCATGACCATATTTGATCATCCCAGGCCTACCAACAGTTGGGTAAATATAGGTTGTGCTTCACAATGGTCCGCCAACACCATATACCGCGAATTGGAAGCCTCGACAACTTCGACGAGCACTACACCAACCACCACACCATCCGTATCAACCTCGGAGCCATCTCTCGCGTCGGCTGTTACCACTCCCACCAGCAACTCACCGTTTCTTACCGCCGCCCCCATAGACCCGAAGCCCTCGACTTCCAAAGCCTGGATTGCCGGACCTGTCGCCGGAGGCATTGTCGCTTTGCTTTTATTAGGGGCATTGTTCTTTTGGTGGCGCCGAAGGAAGAGCGCACAAGAGAGGAATAACACGCCTTCGATGGCACAAACAGGAGCAGCAGGTGGATATTTCCCTGAATATGTCGGCAGTCCCCACGGGAACAACCATACCCCACAACTACATGGCCCTTCTAGCCCTCCTGCTGCTCCATATCACCCTTCGAATAGTCCTCCACAATATAGTTCACACTCCCCTGGACCACATGATGCTTTCAACACTTCTCCGTACAAATATCCTGCTTCCGGCACTTCCAATACGACGTCGTGGCAAGGCTCACCGAGGCCAGTGTCTGAGCTAGACTCAACGGGAAGGCAACATCAACATACCATTGCCGAGGCTCCATGAGTTGACTTTGTGGAAGCAAGACCAATCAGGAACACCCCTTTGTGATGGCCAGCTCTAATACCATACATGTCTATACTATTGGGAGGAGCGAGGGTGTGGAAAATAGAGAAGAATGGCGGTCGGGCCTCATTGTCGATAGGAGCACAGACGGGAAATGTAGACGGTGAGATGAGCTTCATATTTGGATGTTCAGCCTTTTGCGCACACAAGCTCTCATTTCCGCGACCTTCTCTTACGTCTGCGCCTCAAACGTCTTCTTTTACTCAACTTGAGAGGTGTGCCCCCCACTGATGTTTGAACACGACAACTATCCCCTCTTCACCTCTTGACTGATTGCACCGCATAGGTAGCTTCCAAGCCTACTCTACCTAACTTGTACCTCCTGCGCCGCCGTTACCTCCTCCTCCTCCTCCTCCTCCTCCGTTATCACCACCACGACCACCATTACCCTGCCCACTTTCTCCATGTCCTCCTCCGACATGTCCTCCAGCATGCCCGCCTCCTTGTTGTCCTTCACTGTCACCTCCTCCTTGCGCGTGGCTTTGACCACCATCGTTCGAATCGACTGGGACCAGTTCGACGACTGTTGGGCGGTCGTCACGTCCCTCGCTCCTAGCATCATGTGAAATCTCACCATGGAGGGCCTCGACATCAACACCATCCCTTCCTTGTTGCTTTCTCCCCTTGTCCCTTCTCCTTCCCCACCATATCCTGAAGCCGAAGCAGAGGGCGAAGATGAGGACTACGCCCAGACTGAGCGCGATCACTTCGCCGATGTTCCACGAGCTGTTGCTCATTGGAGATGGAGGCTTTTGATTTGTTGGTTTGTTGTTTTTTTGTTGTTGACTTTTTTCCCCTATGGAGATGCGGTTGCTTTTCTTCAGCTCCATTGTTAGAGTCAAACCTCCAGTCCAGCAATCATGGATGACGCTAACGTACCTATACCGGGAGTTCTCAGATCGATCTCATCACTGGTGAAGGCAATGATTATCAGTTCATGAATCAGAGCCCATTTCAGCGCGCCCCTATTTACGGACATTTTCCTGACTGATGGGATCTTGCTCCTATATAGAACGCCTTTGGAACCTATGGGACAATAAACAGGCCATTTTGGGTGGTCCACAGACAGCGGCCACTCTGGGACAGACGGGTAGCGGTTGGACAAGTGTCGCAAGACTTTCTCGAAGACTCGAATCTCCGCCATGGTAGGGTCGTACTCGCGTTGCCCAAACCATGTCAACCGTTGCGTGGAACGTAGGACGGACTTGTTTCAGGCGGGATGCCAGCGCATTTGGGTGATGGAAGGGGAAAGCTTCGAAGCACACGGTGGGAAAGAACGGAAACCGGAGTCAAGACTTCTTTGCTTTGATTGAATTGTGTCACTATATCCTGGAGGTTCTCGGTCTACCTCCTTTCTTCCGTTGGGTTGTGGATTCAACGATTCTTTCGTCCAGCGCACATGAGACATTATATCGGAGAAAAGAAGGATTCGTACCTATCCACCGGTATCATTTCCCCCTGCTCTGGGCTCTTGACGGCGCTCCTTGCTTTCCAACTGAACATTAACGCAAAAGGTCAACCTTCCACAACTTCCCTCTGTTTTTCCTTAAATGTTAATTGGTAACCTGCAACCCCCATCTCTCAACCTCAACAACTGACTCCATCTCCAGCGACCGTGCCACCGCATTTCAGTCCCATTGAGACATGGCACTCGGAGACTTGACATTCCCGTGCCCCTGAGCGGTACCTCAGACACCATAGTCTACAAATAGAAGACCATGTGTATGTGGGCGGCAGTAAACCTCACCAGACTTAAAGACCGCACTGGATAAAGTCTCATGATATTGGGTCAGACAATCCAGTCATCTCCAACTTCACCTCACTCGACCTCAAAAAGAGGTGACGGTGATCGCAACTCCACAGCTTTTTCTTCTGATGGTAACTCAACTACAGGCCTAGAGGTGGCTGACCACGGCCACGGCAGTTCAGAAACTTCGTCGGACTTGCGAGATTGCACTGGAGCTTCATGGTTGTACTCAGTTGAGACATCAGATGCCTCAATATGCTTCTTGGCTTTTTTTTGTTTCCACCAGAAAATCAGGACGCCGATAACTAAAAGGCCTACGACGGGACCGCCGGCGGCGGCTGCTATCCACGCTTTGGAACCTGGAGATGATGATTTCGTGGAGTTGGAGTTATCAGTCGGTTGTGATGCTACCCCGGAGATGGATAATCCGGGGCTTGCTGTTTTTGCTGGGCCGTCGCTAGAGGTACCATGTTGAGCGAAGGAAGTCGTTGTCGTGGAAGCCATTGGGATATCCAAGTTGCGGTAAAGTGTAAAATGGCGATCGCCAGTGACGTCTGAGCACCCGTAACTGATCCAACTGTTGGTTGCTGAGGGATAGCTTTCGTAGATGGTTGTGGTGAGGCAGTAAGCGTTCCATCCTGTGCTGGGAGATGGGATTGATGTTAGTCACTTTGCGTCGTTGCAGGCCCAGTCCGATTTGGTCGAGGTAAGGTTCCTCTAGGTATCTATTAGGGACCTCTAGGTAGGTACCCAGTCGGTACTGCAGATATGACTGGGGGTGAAGGCTTTGGACTTGGACATACCATATATGTGATCTCCCATTTCCCATGTATTGTGTGATCCACGAGCAAGCAGTCACATTGTCAGAGTTAAACCAGACATCACCAAAAATCATGCATGTAGCAAAGGTGCTACTGACGTGAAAGGTGCTGTCGTCCAGGCACGATAACCATGATGCTATACGACTATCCGTTAGCCTGAGCCTTCGAGATTCCTGTATCCCAAGCCGTGGTATTCTCTTGTCATCGACCGCCACATCCTAATTAGAGGTAGGTAACCACCTCTATACAAAAATTGACCAGCTTTCGTCTCTTTCTCCTCTCGTCATCCGCGGCCTCCTCGCTCAAACCCTCGCCATTTCCTGCTATCCTCCTAATCCCCCTTCATACACAATACCTGCCACCCCCATCACTCGACCTCAGAAACAGCGATGGCGACCGCAGCTCCAAAGTTCTTTCTCCCGAGAATAGCCCGGAGTCGGTCTAGGGGAACACGGCGACGGCAGCTAGAGGTAAGACCTCAGTCTTGGGTCGGATTATCAGAGGCCTCAACACGCCTCTTGGCTCTCCTTCGCTTCCACCAAAAGGCTATGGCGCCAATGGCTAAAAAAGCCACGACGGGACCGGCGACGGCACCGGCTATCCAGGCTTTTGATCTTCCTGACGAATTTGAAACTCCCGCCGCCCCTGGTTGTCATCGGAAATTCTTCAGAGACTCCTGCACCGCCTCGTTTCCCTGCCCCATCACCACCCTATAGTCGAAGCTCTTCCGCAGCTCAAACCAGCTGATACTCTTCAAGCACGGATACGCACTCAAATCATCACTCGCCAACGCCTTCAACCAGCTCTGTTTCAACGCCACATCATCCGGCTTCGTCGCCGTCTCGGGAATAACAAAGTGTTTATTATACTTTTTCGCATACGCCTCGTAGAACCCGCCATAGATGTTGCGGAAGTTGGCCGTCGTCTTGCTCGCATAGATGTCCATACCAACTATGTCGACGTACTCCGGTCCCGGCCACCACTCCTCGTACAGATCCATGGTCTTGGCGTTGTTGGGGCACCAGAACATCATGCACCCTTCAATGTCCTTGACTGCCGCGTAAACGGTTCGCCACGCTTTGACGAACTGCGTCGAGTTGCCGCGGTACGTACCCGGGCGAACGTACCAGTTCATCTCGTGCGCGAAGCGCAGCCAGACTTCGACGCCTTGGTCGGTGAATTGGCGGACGACGTTGGCGATGTCGGCCGCGATGGCAGGGGTGACTTCGTTGAAGGAGAGGCCGTTGGGCATGACGGAGGCGATGAGGGCGGCGCCGGTGCCCTTGACCTCGTCGAGGTGGCGCAGGAGTTGGTGCCCGTCGAAGCCGGAGGGAGAGTTGATTTGCGAAAAGTAGGAGACCGTGGTGGCCTGGTGGCCGGTGGCCCGATTGATCATGGTGATGTTATCGCCGTTCTCGACGTCGGGATTCCACCCCCAGTAGATGCCGTTGCGGCCGCGCATGCCGGAGTGGTAAGGCATGTCGATGATGGAACATGGTTGCTGGTGTCGCTGTGTCAGTTTCAGGTACATCTCTTTGGTTGGGAGAAGTGTAATAACTCACCCTGGACCAGAGCAATGGATTTGTGGGGGTCCTTGCAAGTGTCACCTGACAAAGTACACTGAACAGCAATAGCAATGGGAGATACATCTTTGCCGTTTCGTTGAGTGTCGCACACTCCGACGGACTGGAGGAAGTGGACAAAGTCTTGAGACTTTAATCGTTTCTGTAGCTCATCGTTATCGGTGTTGAGGGAAATATAGAATCAAGCATGACCTTCAAGAATTGTAGCGGTGGACGCTCAGAACGACTGAAGCAAAGAAGCTGAAAACCCCATATCTCCACTAGATCCGCTGATCCGGATGTTCACCGATGTGGTGGAGATGAAGACGTGCCGATCCGAGCCCGATTCTGGATATTGTCAGGCACTAGCACGTTAGGATCGCCGACTAGCTCAAATCCCAGCCACTAGCTCAACGGATTTGGTCATTTTTGCATCCGGCGAACCCACACACTTATTACCGAAAGACCAAAAAGAGGCTGAACTCTTGTCTCGGGGATGCGGTGTAATCCTCACGTCGGTTTAAGCATTCAAGCTCATGTTCGAGACGCCGCTCGAGTTACACCACCGGTAGGTAGCCCTTGCAGTGATCACAATGCGCGTCAAATTGCCGACAGCGTCGGAATGTCTTATCGCTGTTACAATGACTCGCACATATCCGCCGTTTCTGTTCCAGAACGATTTTGGTTGAAGAATGTTTATGTTGATTTCGACACCGTGACGGATGGAGATTTGATATGCCCAATCCGGCTGTGTGATTGTCTATCAGCTGAAGCGGCTGAACCGCGTTTGTTTACTTACCCCTGTTCAGGTACCGTACAAGCAAAGCCACAGTGTTATAGAGGTAGCCGAGGAAGATTGTGACAAGGAACGTGGGATGTGAGACATGCACTCAATCTCTGCAATGCGGAATTATCAGTCCGTTAACGGCTAGTCGCTATGTTCGACAGTGGTTGCAGAATGCAAGCATCGCTCTGTTGTGTCGGTGTCACGTTCTTGGTGAGAGGTCTTTGTGATGCATCATGCAGAGTTTCCATTGGTCTGGACCATTGTGCCTCTAGAAGCATCGAACATTGGATTGCTCTTCTAAAGGGGAAATTGGCGTTCCGGTTTTCATTTGTGTGAATTCTTTTCGGTGTCGTTGGCGACTCCAACTCTGAAACCACCAACTTGACGGTGCCCTGAGGGTCTCGATATAGCTGTGTTGCTAACGGATTAACACCGATCTCGAAAGATTTGAACTCAAAGGTCTGGCTTTATGCCCTCAACCCCTGCTATATGTTCATCATCAACGCTTTCGCCTTGTTCATCTAAATTTACCCAGCCAGTAGAGACCCTTGAGCAACACATTCTGCCATACCCATCACAATGAGCTGCTCTGACACAAACACATCCCTCGGTGGCAGCTACTGCTCAACCACCCGCGGCAGCGGCTCCAGCACCAATTTTGGCAACAGTAGCTCATCTCAGGGCGTCGTCACGGTCTCTCCTGGTGTCGGAAGTGGTGGGAACACAACTGTGGGCGGGTCGAGTACTAGCGGAGGTTCAGCTGGAGGTAGTACCGCGGGTGGAAGTTCTTGTGGTTCTAGTACTAGATAGAGGTAAGGTACCTAAGTTGTTACATGATGTATACGGCTTCATCGCGTAGATTGATGTTGGTTGCAAACCATGTAGACTAGAATCATGAAGGAACGTAGTGTGAGCGTGAGTTGTTCATTGAGTTGTTCGTGGTCGAGGCAGTTGAGACTAGAGGTGCGGTATGTTGGCGCCTAGTTAAGTGTTGGCATCAAGGCGTCAAGACAATTGCTTGTAACAGTCTGATCTTGGGTTTTCGGATGCATGTCCTTGACTTGCGATTCTTGTGGTGAACATCTGGTCGGTCCGTTTTGATGTTCTTGAAGAGCAAGATGTTGGTTTTAGCATCTGGACACTGTAAGTCTTTGAAGCATCGAGGATGACAGTGACCAATTTGTCCGCTAGAGGTGTGTTGAAAGCTTCAGGTGCGTCAGAAAGGCCATGTTGATAATGACCGAGTCATCTCTTCAATCATTAGTGCTGGCAAATCTCCCGTCACCAGACCGGAGAGCACATGCACCCAGACTTCGCGTGACAATAAGGGCTCCCTGTTTCGTGCCTCACACAGCTCCACCGTGATTCACCCTGAGCCGCAACTCATGCGTGAACAACTGGACACTTGTCGAGTGTGAGGTATAGAACCAACTCGTTCACGAGCATCCATACCTCGTCTGGTTCTCTCATCACCTCGAACAGCACAAATTTACAACCTACCCACTATCGTATCCATAACCCACAACCTGCAAACATGTCCAGCTACTTCTCCTGCTGCGGTACCCGCTCCTCTTCCTCCGGCTCTGGCTCCGGGACGGGTTCAACTTCCAATACCGGCTCCGGCTCTGGAACCAGCTCTGGAACCGGTGGTAACACTGGCGGCACAACCGGTACTACCGGCGGTGGTTACGGCTCCAGTAGCTCGACAACCACGGTCCAGCACCCTTCCCCGTCTACTACTGCGGTATCTTCCGGCACGGACAGGTCATAGAGTGTTAGTAGTGCGGGGGCCACTGGTGGGAGTTCCTAGGGGTGCACGAGTCCGCAGTGATGTTGTCGGTGCCGAAGTTTTCTTGTATGTTGAAGGAAAGATGGAAGGTGATGGTTATTTGTGGCCGGATGGCCAGAGAGAGAGATACGATGATGGAGAGAAAGGAAACTTAAGAAGAAGATTTGGTAAAAACTTGAAAGCTGGAGGTAAGTGTGGAAGGTCGCTCGAACGGATTGGAGACCAACAAACAAGAAACAAGAAGGAATAGCCGCAAACAAGACAGGAATATGAGGCTTGTTGATCCTCAAACACTTTGGCTTGTGTCATGTTAGCTATCTATGTTTTCCTGATACGTGATGCATGTACGGCCTAGGAAATTGACTCTGGTGCTTATGAGACTCCAGTAATTGCCGTTGCTTAGGACTTCAAAGCAGACACCTCACTCGAGTCACTCAGGCACATGGTTCGTGACAACGGAATGACCAACCTAGTTCGGTTAGTAGAAGTAGACAGGGTAGTGACGAATCAAGCGTATCGAAGACTGCTTTCTTCGCCGTAACGGCTTTCTTCATCCAACTCGCGTGCATGTTTCCATTTAGCGCCATGCCCTACTTAGACGAGGTGTTGGTGCATGCTTTGACATCATGTTGGGTGTATCCAGAAACTGGTGGATGATTGGACCGAGGCAAGGTAAAACGAGAGAAAGAAGTACCATGCGTTGGCTCTGGTTGTTGCTCAGAGCCGTGAGCGAAGAATGTATCAAGCGACGAGACGACGAGCGCGCGGTAAATTGGCGTCGAAGCCTTGATATCACCTTCCCACCAACAACCCAACTGCATCAAACGCCGACGTCGTTTGCCCCCGCTCGTTTATTGTTCATATCTGCGCGAGTAAGTGCCATTAGTTCTGATAATTTGAGATCTGATGGCACCTCGAGGGCGTCATGACGTGATGCCACTAGCAACCGGAGGTCCCCTGAAACTGCGAAACATGATTCCCATCGAGAGATTTTCACTGAAGGGATGGTCGAGGTCGAGGCCACTTGGCGCTAGCAAACCTGCTCCTGCCGCAACAACACCGAAAACATCAACAACTGATCTCTGATCCCATCCCGCCCATCCGTTCGTTGGTTCAACCCTCAACTCTTCCAACATTATGACATCCTCAACGCGCACTAGAAGCACGCAAAGAGGAAGTCCAACGTTACTCACTCGAGTATATAGCCTCCCTTCCCACCCTCCCAACTCCAATCGAACAGTCTTCACCATCCACTCATCACTTCCACTTTGACACCCCCACGCATCCAGACTACCATTGCATCTCCCATTACAACGTGCCCTACCAAAACCAATACCATCTCCAAGCATCCCCCCAAGCATTCCCGCAAGCAGCAATCCCAATACCTCTTTGAACGTTAATCAACAACAGCCACAATGCCCGCCACCACCCACCACAACAACGACCGCATCGTCGACTCCAACAATAACGTTGACGACACCACCCACGCCCCGAACGACGGCTCGCGCGGCTATCCCAAGCCCATTGGGCCTGTCAAGCCCCCGCCGAAGCCTACCCGTGAGCAAGAGCAGGAAGGTGGTTGCGAGACTTCTGATATTTCGTGCCCTGGAATGAAGAGGGAGTAGGACGGTCGGCGATATAGACCACGGAGATAATGGAGGGAACAATGAAAGATAAATGGGGAAGATGGAATGAATGAGAAGGATCAGTGTGGTATCAGGAGGGATTGTGTTTGTGGTATAAGAGGAAAAGAGACGGAAGATTTAGAAGACAAGCAAGAGCAAGAAAGTAACGGGAAGTGATGGTGTGAAATGGAACTGGTGGAAGTGGGAAGTGGGGGGTTGATGTTGGGACAAAAGGGTTTGACTCCGGCTGAGCAATTGACGCAAGATTGAGTTTAAAGAGAGAGAGAAATGAAAGACTTCCACTTGACTTCACTACTTCCCGTTGTACTGCAGCAGCGGCAAGTATGTCTCAGACACGCGTCCATTGTTCGCTTCTCCCAACGTCCCAACATCTCAAACATCTCAACGCTCAACGTCTAAACATCCCAACGCTCAACGTCTATGCAGCGCCAAGTGCCTGTCTTCCAGGTCTTGTCTCATTCCTCCCGAAGCTCCCTTGGAATGCTGCTTTGTTTTTGTTTTGTTTTTGTTTTGTTGTGCTTTGCTTGTTCTCGAGTCTCTCCCATGATCACTGTGTACGCTTCCATCCGTCGTCTCTTGATTTTGTGCATTTGGCTCGATCGCTCCTCGGCGGGGAAGTAGTAGTCGTAGCCACAGAGAAACAAAGCCGATTTCGGCCCTCGAAACACTTTCCTGGTTTCATCATCACAAGTTCACCAGGTCCCCCATTGTACTTGCTTCATGCGCGGGAAAATCGTAGGGTCATGACCTCGCGACGCGGAACAAAATACACTTGAACGTCATAGACCAAGCGGTTTACAGTCGCCGTCTCTCAAAGATGTTGATCCAATCTCGGTTGGAGTCGGTCAAATGTTGGAAGAATTTGTTGAGAGGTTGATTTTGACTTTCAGGTTCCTTTGTTCCGGGCAGAAGAGTATTCTGTGTAGATGTACTGCCTTGTTAGTCCCAAATCTTTCACTAACCGATGTAGACGCTGTTTTCATCTTGCAATATTAGTGCCTGCTAACAGACGAAGACCAGACTGCCGCTGCCAGTTCTCCTCTGCCCTACAGCGCGGGCGGGCAATGCAAGCACTGCGCCTCCCCCAGATCACCACTGCAGCTCTTGCACCTGCAGCCGCCTTCCACCATCCTCTCCCCCAATTTTCCACCAGGGCATCCGGATCTTCCCAAATCCTCTAACAGTGCCCACAACCGCTGTAAAGTACCGGTACATCCCGCTGCACCACTTCCTTTTTCAGCAGCCACACAGCGCAAGACGGTAACTCCCGCTCGATCCTTTCTGTGAGCGACCAACTGAACCGTACCTGTCGATCTGCAACAGCCGATCACCACCCACCTTCCACCAGAAAAAGAAAAAACAAGCCTTTTCCCTGTTGCTTACCTCAACTGCACCGATAATCATGCAGATCAAAAGCAATTCTGGGAGTTCCAGTCTAATTGTCATTTTACACTTCACTTCACTACACTACACTACTAACACTACACCTTTACGGACCGACCTTTCCGCTGCCTTTTTGGTACCTCTCACTTAAAGCGCCAGCCTTTAAAGTAGGTAGGGTGCCTTTGGAAAAACAATGGACTTGCTCTTTTTCCAAAGATTCTGAAAACTTTGTTCACTCCCTTTAAAAGAACCGACAATGCCTCGGCCCGCTCACTCGCGCATTGTTGTTATCTACCTGCCCATCTTGTTTGTAAGAGACTCTTGTCAAGGCAGTAAAAGCCGTTTTGTGAGCGTCGATATCAGACAATGCTATCGGTGACATTGCGTGGTCCCACTTGGCATTCTTAGCGAGGGGAGCCTCGGGAGATATGGGAGATTTGGGTGAGATTTTGGGGGGGAAATTGCACAGCAACAGCAGCAGTGTAGTAGTGAAGGCAAACATTCCCAAATTTGCCCTCATTTCATTCCGCACCCTTTGGTGCCCGGATGACCTCATGGCTACTCTCGTTTGTCAAAAAATGCACAACCACAAATCGAGTGCTGCAACCGAGAGAAGCAGCAGGCATCACCAACACGAGCCACCAAAAGCAAGAACATAAAAATAGACTTGGAGGAGGGGGAAGAAAGATTCAGATTCGGGGGAGTGGGGGTATATATCAACCCAGCAAGCAAGCCTGTTTTTTTTTCGTCAATCGCCAGTAGACCATGCGCGCGCGCGTAAATATATCCTGCTACAGTCCTCCTTTCTCATAAAACCTCCCCCTCCGCTTCTCCAAAAAAGCAATTCCTCCTTTCAAGCTTTGAAGAATCCCCTTTCCTCTCTCCGTCCGCCCGTCAGCCTCTTGGGTATCCCCATTATCCGCTCTTCTCTGGGTAATAAATCATATTCATTCCATACTCATCAACAACGTGTATCCAAGACAAAAACTTGCTCTCCCCGACAACTCAAAAACACCATCAAAAGAAGAAGAAAAATCGTTGGGTATCAAATCTCACGGCAGAAGCGCCAGAGTTTGCCGCCACGATGGACCGGCAATCGAAAAGGTGAAGAGGATTAATGGGCACAAGTGCCCCGAGAAAGTCCAGCCAGCAAAAAAAGAAAAACGTCAAGAAGAAGAAGAAGAAAAAGACCATTCCGCGCGCAAGTCCCTGTCTGTATGTTTGTGTCCATGTGTGTGTGTGTCCCCTTTCCCCGTCAATGTGAAGTGAAGTCAAATGGAGGGGCGCCGGCCCTAAACACCGGCAGCGTCGTAGTGAAAAATGCAATATGCATGAAACAAGAAGGGGTATCCAAGTAGTATTTGGTCGTTGCATGGGTTCGTACGTGTTCGTTAACCGCAAGCGGTGAAAAAAAAAAGTTTGTAAATATAAAAGGGGTTTTGTTTCGGGAGAAAGGGAGGACAACCGGGGGGACTTGACATAGGGAACTTGCGACAAAGGAAAATGTGTGGTCTGGTGGGTTTTCTTCTTCTTCTTCTTTTTTTCTTTTTTGTTTTTCTTTGTGCTGGAATGAACGAATGAAAGTATTAAAAATGTGCAAAAGCTTGTAGCCAGTAGAGTTGTAAGTGGGCTCTTCTCTGATCAGAGGAGCAGCCCTAACTCTAACGTGTGAAGGTGAAAATATGAACATTGGTGTGCTTGTGAAGACCAAAAAGTTGGTTTGTGTGGTGATGGACTCCGACGACGTGCGCCAGAGTCGGGAGATGATGCGGCGTTGCATGTTCCTCACGCCAGAAAGCATGCCAAAAACGATGGAAAAGAGCCGAGGTGAGGTTTCGCATCAAAGAGCTTGAGGGTGTTTGTGGCAGCGATGTGGTGTGGCAATGTGCTTCATCCGTCAGCAACAATGCGGCCGACGGAACTTGAAGAAGCTTCCTCCTCTCCTCCCCTAGTCAAGTGACCGCCATTTTAAAGCATCACGGCAGCAACCGCACCGGCCACCATGGCAACAGCAGCGTGCGATAGACCACCCATGCCACCGACAGCGCCGTTGGTCGATTGGGTAGGCGCCACGCTCGCGGTGGCGACTGGGGCATCAGAACTGGTGGTGATGGCGATGACGGGCGACAGCGTGGGCACCGAGAAGTGCGTGTTGGTAGTGGCAATGACGACGGTGCTGTTGCCGCGGATCGAGGTGATGGTGGTCACCTGGGGGTGCGTCAAGGTGACCGTCTTGGTAAGGGTGGCGGTGCTGGTCATGGTGGTGGTGGACAGGTCGGCCGAGACCATGAGTGGGAGGGCGGCGAGGACCGCGAGGATGGAGGTGGTGAACTGCATTTTGTCGGATTTTGGTTCCTGAAGATCAATTCCGTCTTTCTGCCTTTTTTTCCTTGCTCGTTGCAATTGATGCTGTCAAAGCTCGTCTTTTGATAGTTCCCTTTTGCGCGCGTGTCGGTATGTTTACAACGTAAGGTGTGTGTATGAAAGTATCGGTGAGATGTTGTTTGCGACGGGGTTGACGACTACGACACGATGATGATTCGTGACTCGTAAATGTGGTGGTGGTGGTGATGTTAAAGAATGACTGGCCTGAACACTCCAAATGTAGTCTTCAAATGGCGGAGAGATATTTTGATTTGCTCTTGAAGAAGTAGGACTTTGCCAACGAAGCCTGTGGGTGAGCAGATAAAGTACATGTAAGAAAGTGGAAAGAGGAAAAAGGGAAGATGGAGGGGGCGGGCAAGCATGGGTTCAAGAGGAGAAAAAGAAATTGTCTGGATCCATGCCGAGTCTGGGGTTCGGTCAACTAGGCGACGACCAGGTGCCGGTATGGGAATGGCGCGCGTTGTTGCGAAATTGCCCTTTGTTGACGCCAAGGTACCGGGCCCTTTTGGGCAGCCACAAAGGGAAGGTCATGACCATCAATGCAGGAACCGCTATGTCTGATTGGTCCGAGCCCAACAGACGGTCTGTTCTCGCCAGGTACCGAGTACCACCAAGACAGGCCCCCTCACGGGCCAAGACGTTGCAAAAGACACCTCGCGCCGGAGGTATCAGGCACCTCATTTCCAAGGGGGAAAGGATACAGGAAATTGCGTTGTTCGTTTGCCGCCTTTTCACGCTCTTGTTTCCCCAGAATTTTCTGATCTTGTTGGTTTTTCTGAGACGAACATGGTCCGTGGGCAAGGGCGGTTTCGGGCCACTTGCCCGGTTTCGGGCCTACACCACAATCTATTGAAACATACGATGCCGGCGGGATGCCACTATTTGCGCTTTGTGGTTTACGCGAAAGGAGGAATGCGGCAGATGTGGCCGTGCAATGGGCGGCATTGTTCAGTTTCTTCTCATTGTTGACATTCAGTTGTGGTTCCCATTTGCCAACTTGGGGCATTTCGGCGACCACAAACTTGATGTTTCCATGTTTGTGCTTAACGTTGATCCCACCTTACGACACCATGATCCAACGGCATCAAGGCCCAGCGAATAATCACCGACAGAACCGCAAAATCCACTGGTGACGACGTCGGTGGCGTGAGTAGGTGGGTGGTTTGGGGGGGGGGAATCTTTCCGCCTCCAGCACCCAGGCACGTGCCAGGGCACCACAAGTGTAATTTGCGTAATTTGGTCGGCGGCAGGGAGTTCCCGTCGGTGATTTGTTGCGTGGGTTCAGTTTTCTCTGGACGGGCGGCATGATGCGGCGTGGGAATCGGAATCGCTTCCAGGTTCGCTTCGCTTCGTTGCTGTCGGGCGTGTGTTGCCCGTCCGGGCGAATTCTCATTGGTTCAATGGAAAGGATGAGGTAAGAAAAAGTCGGGAAACTGACGGAGAGAGACGATGGTACCTGGCGCTAAACCGTTTCCAGCTTTCCTTTCGGGAGACAAACCCCATGCATGTCCCCCCCATTGCGCAATTCCACCTCTCAAATTGAGTTTGGACGGTGAAGAGCCGCTCTTGTCAAAAGGAAAGATCTCCTGCTCATCATCGTTACCTACTCACATCGCCGACCATCTTGCGACCGTTTGGGATGAACCCTTGCTTTCTTTCCATCTTCCCCGGAACTATCATCCACCACTGCACCACACATCTGATCATCCCTCAACGCATTCCCGACACATCCTCTGAAAATCCACCCTGTGAGATTGGTTCAGACAACCCTTGTTGACTGACAATTGTGTACATCCAGATGGGAAAAAAAAGCTTGTTTGGGCATCCGTCATGTTGATCACTCACACAGTCAGCCAGACCCCCATCCCGATTACATTGCGAACTCCATCTAGATCGTGGGGAGATATCTTGCGGTGAGCGGCAGATGTAAGAAAAGGGGAAATGAGTGAAAAAAAAAAAAAAAAAAAAAACAGTTGATCGGGTACGCTCGCCTCAATTGGCTTGCATCATGTTTGACGTGCCAACAGGAACCATGAGGCAATTACCTAAGGCTGGATGACAATCGTTGGTTACAAACCTAAGTCCGAAACCGTGGAGACATGCATACTCCTTTCTCCTTTCTTCCTTCGTGCCCTGTCTGTACAACACTCGAGTCCTGTGGTTTTTGTGATACAAAGCTGGGACCAGGCAGGGCATGTCCGTCGGCTGTAGCATCGCGACGGAGCTTCCAGTGAAAACATGATCCGACAGTCTTTCAGTCCCCATGCGGACGGACAGCTGCATGTTTAGACCATCATCATCAGCCACAAATCGTATGGAAGAAACTGAACCTACATGCAGCGTTCCGTAGGATGGAATCATCAACAAAAACGCTTACTGTTGGCCAGCAAGGCTTCGTTCTTTCTCGCGAAACAAAGCCACGACCACGATCCCGAAGCCCTTGTTGATTATAGCTACCCCCGGTTCATAGCTTGCAGTGGTCCTATCCGCAAAACGCCCGAAACCGCAACTCCATCGCGGTGAAGACAAATTTCGGGCCTGAAACAGAGACCGGAAAGAGCCGAACATGATAGGTACCTAGGTGAAACCAACGGTCGCTACGATTTGTCGACGAGAAGCGATCTGATTCGGTTCGCTACCTATGCGAGAAGCTTGGTAAGTGTAGTGTAAGAATCCCTAGGGTACCTGCCCCGTCCAAGGTGTCAGCGCTTAGTAGTTCTATATTGACCTCGCTAAGACCGAAAGGCGTGGTGATGAACGGATTATGCCGTTCTTGGGTGTGAGCAACCAAACGCCTTGTAACAAATCGTCAATGAATTGTTGATAGGTAAGGCAAAGATATGTAGCTTTACTGAATACTCCGTGGTATCATCCATTGCTGGGACCATGCCATCCCAACAAGCTGTATCATAAATTGGGCGGCAATCGATCTTCATCCTCTTCAGAACCCAATACACCGCAGCCAATGCTGTAAACCCATAACTCCATATCCCAATTATGTTGGATAACCTTTGTAGTAGAACCCAAACCCAAACTCCGCGGATATGTCTTCCTGACCTCCTAAGGTCCCCTTCTCCCGCTTCACGTCCAATTCCTTCTCTTCATCAGGTCGCCCGCCACCGAACCCCCACTTCAACACAACTGACAGCTCTCACCCTCGCCCCGCTCCCCTCCTCTTTCTCACTCCCATCCTCCCCACCACCATCTTCTTCTTCTACCCTAACAATATCATCCACCCCCCTCACCGTCCTCGTCCTCAACAACACCATCAGATCCCGTTCCCTCGTAAAGAAACACCCCACCTCCACCGCTTTCTGAATCGCCCTCCCCGTCGCCACCAAAACCACATCATCCAGCGCGTCTTCCACCGGCCCCAACCCATTCCCGCTTCCTCCCTCTTTACTGCCTCCACTAGTGGTATCCAGAGCAGCTATCCTCGCCGTTAGGGGTAAACCCTTGGTAGACTGTTGTCGCGACAGGGACGATCGCGACTCCAATCCTTTGCGCACGCGTTTGACGAGCGACATGAATGGGGCGTTGGATGTGACTTTTATAATGAGCGTGTGGGGAGCGCGCGGTGGAGGGCGGTAGCCGTCGATGTCGGTGGGTATTGTGGAGGAGCGGGAGGTATTGGAGGAGGAGAGGCGGTGGGAGAGGGGGGCGGGCAGAGGACGTTTTTGGATGCGGGAGCCTGAGGATCATAAGAGGATGAGTTAGTGCTCTGGTCTAGAGTCATTGAAGAGCCGCAGAGAAGGTAAGGAGATGGGGCAAAGGGACGAGGACACGCGTACCTTTGGGGAGAGGAGGCATCTTTTGGTCTGGCCGGTTAGGCAGCGGTTTGGGTGTTGTTGATGCCTCCATTGTAGCTGACTGGCCTGAAGAGACTGCGTGCGACACGAATCAAGAGTCGAAGAGTTGAGAACAGAAAGTTGCCTGGGGTTGTTGCGCCGACTATCTTTTTATGTTCGAATCGCTAATATTTCAACAAAAGTCCTGAAACTGATCCACGGTACGTAGTCTTTGAACTGATGAGTCTGCGAAATGGATGAATAGGCGTTGTCGTCAAGATTGATGGCAAACAAGATGGCCAAACGGGTTGTTGCGATGGACAAATGCCAAATCAAGAAACCGTCAAGATTCAAGAGAGTGGGGTCGCTTGCAACCCCAGATTCTCCTACCGCTTCACCGCCTACTGTATGCAGTTTAGCCTGCTTTTGCGGCCGCGAAGCTCCCCCACTTGGCTCCATGCACACCAAGTATCCGTCATCGTCTTCAACTTGTCCAGCAACGAAAACAACCGAATAGGCAGCATCTTATCATTCAAATATCCTTCTGGCCACGACACGCTGACCATCCGATTATACCAGCCAGATGATGGATGCCTGAATCAACAACACGAATTACCAATAATACCCTGCCCGACTATCACCAACCATGTCTGTCGAGATCTGGCCACCTATTGCGCCCGATCAGCTTAAAGCCGCCGTCGAGACATCCCAAGTAAGCATCCATCTTCTTGCGATACCATGGCTGTAGACATCTGTGAAGGCTGGGAGCTAATTGATTCGCCATTTGTGCGCCCGCCCCCTCGACAGAAGCGCGAACTCGACTGGCTTGTCCAAGATCTCCGCGAAACCCTCACCAACGTCAAACATGGTCTCGAAGACTGCTATGCCTTGCTTGCCCCCATAGACCCGGGCAGCACCTTGGTACTCAGCACACCACGGAACGAGATTGTCAAGGGACACATAACACGGGTCGGAACACGGATAGTCAAAGGAGTCAGTCACCATCACCAGCCTCTTCCCCTCCTCCCCAGCTTTCGACTAACAATATCATGACCAGACGATTCACCTCCGTCTACGCACCCTCCCCCAACAAACCCTCACCATTAACCCCGACCACCCAATCCATCTCGCGCCGCTCGTTACCTTACACACCCTCCTCACACACTCCCTCGACCTCCTAACCATGACACTCTCCTTCACGTACCCGACCGAGTCCGATTCCGCGTCCGCCAAATCACGATCACCATCATCATCCTCATCATCTCCCCAACTCTCTTCCGCCGCGTTTCTGTCCTCCCAACTCCGTCTTCTCTCGCAATCCATCTCCGAATCCATCGCCATCCTAAAAGGACCTCCGCTCGTAACAGCCGCCGACCCCTCCTGGACTACCAGATCCATCGCCTCTTCGCATTTCGATCCTCCCCTAACAGCCGCCACCGCCTCAAATCATGGTCTTGGAGCGACATCAATACCACCTATATCGTTCCATCTAAGTATCCAAGAAAGTAGCATCGTCCTTTGGTTACGAAGTCTCGAAGCGGCCGACGCCCCTGTAGGGTTCGGCACCAAGCTCGCGTTCGCAATCGGTACCGCACGGAGACTGGAGCATGACGAAGCAGATCGGGTGTTCGGCTTCTGTTGTGGTGGGGAGGGACATACGGGTCCTGGAGGAAGTCCGGGGAGTATGATGCCATCAAATAGCAGCAACAATAATACGACGAGGTCTACTACGCAGAATACAGCGGCGGGAACGGGAGCGACGGGGCAACCAGAAGTGGACGTATATGTGAGGGAAAAGGTTCGGGTGGAAAGTGCTGATCCGAGTTTGCTGTCTCTTGCAGCGAAACTGACGGCTTTGGGACACACGCTGGGTTTGGCGAGGAGGAATTTGGCGGCGGTCATGGGAGAGGAGCTGGAGGATTAGAAAGCCAGACGGCTGCTTCTGTCCGCGAGGGGGAGTAGTGAGACTTGTTTCGGGTCGGACGGGACGGGGGAGATGGAAAGTGTCTATGCAAGTCGTTGGTGTTGTTGTGCGCATTGGTTGGAGTTGGATAGGACATTTTATACCAAGGGGTTCATGTGTTGTTTTCGGCATTGTTGTTCGTAGTCACAGTCTATGGGGGTTTAGCAGGCGCTTCGTTTATCAATAGTATGGTAGCTTCTCGAGAATGGGTACAAATACGATTGTCATTTGTTTATCAATTGCAGACCTGATTGCAATATTCGCCTAGCTCGCTAACACTCCACACAACATAAAACGCAGCATTTACACATGATCCCGATTAACATCCAGTGATTGGTCCATCTCTTCATTATCTGCCCTCATCAAATTCCAAGCATATCTCCTCGAAATCTCTCTTGACCCAAATCCCCGGGCTCACGCAACAGGACTCCAAGGCATGGGCACCAAAATCCGGCTCTTCATGGTCTGAATCAGCGGCACAGTCTTATGCACCGTCTCCGCCCACCCTTTAATCGCCCAACTCTCCTCCCTCTGCCTTCTTCGTTCTTCGAGATCGGCAAACTGCCACAAGTGATGCACCGTATTCAGGTCCCCAATCTGCACGAACCAAGCGCCCACTCCTTCCATGACTTCCCTTCTAGCCTTTAGTCCTCTCCGCCAGTGCGTCTCCCACTCCAACAAATTACCCGGGTGGAGGGTGTAGGAGCGCAGCTCGAAAATACCGCCTAATTGGCGCGGGGGTGTGGTAGGCCAGAAAGAGAATTCTTGCATTAAAGAGGTGTGTCGCTTGGAAAGGAGGGGGGCGAGCCGTTTGGAGAAGGAAGAGTGGGCGTTGGAGGGGTGGGAGCTGAGTGAGGAGAGTGAGGAGTGCAGGCCTGTGTAGCGCTGGTATTCCCAGATGTGGACTTTTCACACAATTCCTAGTTAGTATAAACCATACTGGGGAAAGGGTAGTTAGGGAAAAAAAAAAAAAAAGGGTGAAAAGAAAGGACATACCAAACGTATCAACATCCCCCACCTCCCCCCGCCAACTCCCCACCAAATGCACTCGATTCTCCGGATCCTGCGCCCACTTCGGGTACCACTCGCCCACCAACCCCACGTACTCGTCCACGCACTCAGGCTTGACTTGGTCAAACGTGATGCTGTGCACGTACTTGCCGCGCGCTAGCACCTGGCTGAAACTCGCTTCAAGACGGGCATCCAGTTCCCTTCCTTCTTTGGTGCCGTAGATAAGATTCGTAAGGGGGCCAGCTTTGCGAGGGGGTTCGTGGGCGGCGGCTTCGGCGGCGGCGAGCTGGGCTGCTTCTGTTTGTTTTGTCACAGTGTCAGAAAGAGAAGAACAAGAAGAAGAGTTGGAGGGGGGGAATGAAACGAGGCATGGATGATTACGCACTGGCTTCCTGTTGTCGCTTTTGCTCTGCTAACTGTTCGCGGAATAACTTTTGTTTGGCGTTGAAGGCTTCGACTCCGTTGGGCTTGATGTCGGCTAGACAGGGGGTTTTGGAGAGGATCGTGGGAGTGGAGGAAAAGGGCCGGACGACGCCGCATGGAGGGCGCAGGGCGCGGAGGGCTTGTCGTGATAGCATCTTGTTTGGGTACTTGACTAAGGATGTTGTTTGTTGTCTGGAGAGAGTTGGAGTTCGACTGTCGTGGTTGTAAGTGGTGATGGTGGTGGTCGAATGCGACAAGTGACCGGCAGTCGGGTTCGGTAGACGGTTGGTTGTATTTGTTACGTGCAAGTATACCTGGGGTATGTATACTTGTAGATGTATTGCTCCGTGAAATGCGACTGTTGCGAAACAAGGGAAGGGGGCAACCGCGAAACTCGTGGAAATGGGTCGATAGGGTCAATTCGATGGCACGACCCAGCTGTGGTAGTGGTTTGATTCCGAGGTTGGACAACGTCTCGTTGACCAAAAGGAAAGTGGCAGATCGGGTTGTTGTTTGTTGTGTTTTCTTTTCGGTTCCTGGAGAGGGGGAAGCAGCTTTGCGAGACAGTAGTTAGCGTGCGGGGAAGCTTCCTTTCTCTCCTCGTCTTGCAAGCTAAAGACTGGTATTGTACAACAATGGAACGACGTAGATCAAAGTGTGATGACTGACAAGGTAGACAAAGTTTGGTCGGAAAGATGGTCCGAACAAAAGTAAAAAGACTGGAGGGAGGGAGGAGATCAAGAATTATTGGATGGGCGTAGGCTGTGCAACGATGGCTTCAGTTCCCTGGGTAGCAATGGGGTGTTGTTTCCCCGCAGATTGATTGTCTTGATGTGGTGTTGGTCTATGCTGGATGCTGTATGTAAACAAGAAAAGAAAGGGGGGAGTTGCATACCACCAAAAGGAGGAGGGAAGGGGAATATGAACAAGTCTGGATGGACAGACAATCACTTGTTTACGGGGACAAGAGTTCAGATAGCTTCACTTTCGGGTTCAATGATTCGTTCATCAACATTACCAACTGATACTCCGGTTGCCCTGTTTCCAAGTGTTTACATAAATCAGACGATCAACACCGACATCGATGCCCTGGAAGCGCCCTGAACCAGATGCTGAAGCGAGCACTGGCGAGACCAGGCAAAGAGGAGCTGCCCCTGTCCGGTTTGCTGTCCAGCAGGGTCCTCGAACTCCATTGCCGTTGACTTGTCCACCAATGGAATCTATCCAAATCAGGCAGCTCCAGACGGGACCCTCCCCGCAAACGGGAGTGCGGGGTATGATGTCACGAAATGGACTCTGGCATTTGTCACTGACGGAGAAAGCTTTGCACGTGCAGTCAAACGTGACATGGAGCACGTACCAACTTCTTGGTGAAAGCAAAAGAGACCAGCATTTCTCTGAGCAATTATCGACACCTGATATTTCAGGCACGACCCAACATTCAATCGGCCGCGGACGGCAAGCTCACGAAAAACGCTCGCCTGGAACAGAGCCGACCCTTCTTCCGTCACTCTTGAACAAACCCACTCCCGGACTTCAACCCAGTTAGCCCGCAAACTACCGTCAACATGTCTTGGTTCGGCGTCACCCCCCTCAAGAAGTTCCCCGCCCCCGTCTGTATGTTGCCGTCCCAGGAGTCCCTTTTGCCATCTCAAAGATTGTCTGCTAATGCCTCTGTAAACAGTGGGGCCGATGGCTCCCTTCTTCGCTGCCGGTATGCTCCCCGCCCGCCACCTTTAATATCTCCCGGTCCGATCGCCGAATGCACCGACGACATGTCCGACCATGACGACACATACACTGCGACGACAAGGATAGATCTTGGAAAGAAGCAAAGAACTGACACGGCGCAGGTCTGGTCATCGCCTACGGTATCAACTCTCTCCAGGGCGCTCTCATGCAGTGTACGTTACGAGCTTTCCTACATTTTTCCATCCGGTATCTCCGACTGACCGAATAAACAATAGCCGATGAGTGGAAGAACGACCCCCGCAACATCTACGCCAAGAACAAGGCCGCCACCCACTAAGCGATTCCTTTGAAAGAATGGAGGCGACGGTGTGTTGATGCAATAGACGACCCGAACAAGACAGCTTCTGGCAGACCCTAGACCTATCGAGAACCCCAATTACCCCCCAATGGACCGTTATTTCCATCATCCGCAGGAACTGGCGCCAGTGTATTATAGAGGGAGAAACATGAAGTGACGTGTGTGTCGGATGTTGAATGTTGTGGTTCAACGCAGCCGTGATATGCGCCCATTGACGATTCAAGTAACAACAACAAATAACGATGCGCGAAGAGGAGGAGGAGAAAGGAGTAAACATGGAGAGATGATGGAGGACAGGTGAACCCGACACATGGCACAGCAAGTGCGTGCAAGATTCGACAATGCGATGCCACCCATAGCTCAATCCATTGACCATCGGGGGGAAATACCACATGCCACACCACCAACAGTTTGCCAGCAGATGCGCTTCGGCGTGTCGCATTCGCATTCACATTATTTGCCCCATTGATATGGATGTGTTCTCACTGGCATAGAGCAACCACCCAATCACGGCCCAGGTTGAGAGATCGCTTTGGGTCTCAAGGATGCCTGGGAATAAACAGAGGTTACATCCTTTTGTTTTTGGGGAGTGGGGATCGTGCAGTTTGCGTTGTAACTTGAGTGTATTCAAGTCCAAGGTGAGTGAATCGTAGGGTGGGTGAGATCTGATTTATTGGCTTCAGTTGAAGCACGACTTCATATGTACATGAACTTCAGTCCTTAGCCAGATACCAAAATAGATGAGGAAAAAACAACGGCTTCGTTGTGTTCATATAATGGTCATATATGTGGTGTTGTTCTGTGATGCTGGTGGCATTTGTTGTCCTTATCTTGGCCCCTGATTTCTAATCTTACGAGGCTCCGGAGTCTGGACGGGGTCGCGTAGGTAGTAAGCTCACTCAGCCGAAAATCCGCCGTTTCAAGTCGCATCGACTCGGCCACGACTCATCCTCTTCACCTTTCTCACATGTTCCGCGTCCTCATCCGCACTCCCGCCAGATCATTTCGGATTCTGTGCATTCAACCAATTTCACGATCGATTTCGACCAGCAGCGTATCCCGATTTACTCCCAGCATTAAAATGGCCGACAGCGTGCAATCAACACCCGTCGAGTCATCGGCATCGACGCCGGCGCCCAGCGACACTGCCAATGCCAATGTGCCTGCCCAGCAAAACAACAAGAAGCAAAACAACAAGAAGCAGAACAAACCTCCCCATCCCAATGCCGTCAATGCGAAACCGAAGCCGGTCAAGAGGGAGGTTAGGATATTGATGCTTCATGGTACGTTGACGACATTTCCCGGTTGCACAGACAATTCATTCAATTGCCCCTCCATCGCGCCAGACCCCGCGCCCATCTCACCGAGTGAACTCACCTCACTCACCGTGCTCACCTTGACACGATTAATTCCTCACCAGCATCAGAACACCATCATTACATTCCAACCGAAATCGCTCACCCACCCCTCTCGTAACCTTACCGCGAAAATCCAGACTAACAAGACGCAGGCTACACCCAATCCGGCCCCCTCTTCCGCGCCAAAACCCGCGCTCTGGAAAAACTCCTCATCAAGGCCCTTGCCCCCTTAAACCTCGTACCAACCCTCATCTACCCCACCGCCCCCAACCGCCTTTCCGTCTCCGACATCCCGGGTTACGAACCGTCCACTTCCGACTCGGGCCCGGGCGGAGACAAGGAACTGTCAGATAGTTGGGCATGGTTCAGGCGGGAGGAAGCCACCTGGAACTACAAGTTGATCAACGAAGGGTTTGAGCGGTTGGCGGAGACCATGCGGGGTGTGAACTTGGAAGGGAGGGAGGTGGTGGATGGGCTTGTTAGTACTACTCCTCAAGTGGACGGGGAGGGTAAAGAGATAACAGAGGAAAGGAAAGAACTGAAAGGGGTGGTCAGGTCAGAAGTGATTGATGGTGTCATTGGGTTCAGTCAGGGCGCAGCGATGGCTGCCATGTTGACTGCTGCTATGGAACATCTGGCGCCAGGCCAGCCGCGGCCGGTCCTGACGCCCGACCATGAGGGGTGGGTGAAGCAGATCCGGGAGGCGAATAAAGGACAGCCGCTCAAGTTCTGCGTGAGCTACAGTGGTTTCTTTGCGCTGCCGCCCGAGTTGGGGTGGTTGTGGGAGCCCAAGGTCAAGACGCCGACGTTGCATGTTTTGGGTAGTTTGGATACGGTGGTGGAGGAGAGTAGGTCGCGGAGACTGATTGAGGCTTGTGAGGAGCCTGTGGTGGTGGTGCACCCGGGAGGACATTATGTGCCGGTCAGCAAGGAGTGGGTAGCGCCGTTGGTGGGGTTTATTAGGGGGTGTTTGGAGAAGCATCAGAAGACGGAGGAGGAGGGTGAGAAGAAAGTGGAGGAAAGCATTTGAGGTGTTGAGTGGGTATTACAGTTATGTTGAAATTACAGGCAGCAAAGGAATAGACGATAGACCACAAGAGAAAATCCTTGGTTTGTCCAGTTTTCACAGTACACTATCATCATTGAGTAAGTTGAGTTTTCTTTACCCGCTGCTTATCATACAAGCTCACCACTCTCACAGCCATCCATCCATCTGTCCATCCATCCGCCCCTGATGTACATGCCCATCAGGCAATATCTAGCGCAAATTGTGACTAGTCTCCACCACGCTCTTGGGCGGAATCTCACCCATATCCGCCGCCATATCCGGCTCCCACTCCTCCTCCTCTGCTCCATGTCCATGTGCCTTCCAATGATGTCCGCCCCGCGGGCCCTTGGGCAGTGGCTTTCTGCGATTCAACTCCAGTTCATCCTCATCCCCATAAATGTTTCTCTGTGCTGCCTTTCTGCCATATTCCAAAATGTCCTGGTCGTGATGACGGGGCTTGCCCTCGGTGTTTTCGTAGCCGTGCGCCCGCACCTGGTCGGGCGGCAACAGGTCCGGCCGCGAGTGGTCAAAGGTCTCGTCGATGAGTTCCTTGGGATCGAGACCCCAGCCTTTGACGATCTCTTCGTCGATGCGGCCTGGCGAGTGTTGGTAGATATGCGCGGTTTTGTCTTCGGGACCGCCGACGCCTTCGTAGACGTGGCCGTGGAGGAGACTTTTTATCATTGTCAATCAGCGGTTTTGTTCTCTTCTTTCTTTTTTCTTGTTTTAACTTTGCTCGCTTCGCTCGATATGGAACTGTTGTGGTGGTTCAGAATGAGTGAGAGAAAGAAGGAAAAAGGAAAAAAAAGGAGGAAAAAAAAAAAGACTTACTGCCCCTTATCATCCCGATCGCCGCCCTCGGGCTCCGGAATCTTCTTGTCCCATGACCGGTTGGTGCACAGGTCCTCGCCGTACCGGATCTCCGTGTCGGGAAACTTCTTGGTTGCCTCGAGGTCGTTGATGCCCGGGGCTTCGTCCTCGACACCGGCGGGTCGGTGGCCCGTCTTGGCGTACCACGAGTTGAGGTCGCGCTCGGCCTCTTCGGCGAGGGCGTTGAGGTCTTTCTGCTGCTGGGTTTTGTGGTGTTCGGTGGAAGACATTTTGGTGGGTGTTGTTCTGATGTCTGACTGAATGGGTGTTTGGTGTGGTGGTTTCTTTCGCTCGTTCGGTGTGTTCTGGTCCTTCAAGTGTTCGTCTCTTTTGTCTTCTATTTTCTTTCGGTTATGTTGTTAGTCTGTTGTGTCTGGCTACGAGAATGAGGAAGCAAGGCAGTACGGTCGAGCTTTGAGATATATTTATAGGAAACTCCTCACGTAGCCGGTCAGGTTCATGCTCATGTCAAAGCGTCGTCGTTAACGTCATTGCTTGTCGAGAGGAGCAACTTGATTGATCAATGGACACTTGACTTGACTTGACTGCCCCTCTCTTGTCAGTCAGATACGTCCCATTGTGGCCAGAATATTCTTTCTGGTTTGGGTAAGGAGTCGTGAGCTGATGCGACCTTTCTCTCTGGTCGTTGCTGTCCGAACTGGGGGAGCGTGTAAGTGGTTGCAGATGGAAGATGTAACCCCACCGAGTCTTAACGTCATGATGACCGTCCCGGAGCACAGCACCAGCGGTGAGAAGATGTACTTGACTGAGTTTGCATTGAATAACAGCATGGAGGCATTTGTAAGTGTTAATAAGTTAATCATGAGTTCTTGGGAACTGTATATGGTAGTTGACTGGGATATTTTGGGAGTGTGTCTCTTTCCTCTCTCCTTGTCGTCTGTTAGTGATAGTTAGTGCCAGCACAAGCGCAGCAGACCCCTCCCCACTTCAACTGCAACGCCGTTCAACTTCAATGATGTTAGTGACCTTTTCTCCCTCCATTAACATTTCACATCTCGGTCTCAACTTTATGCTCATTTATCTATGAAATGACGCATCAACATCCTGCCATTTTCCTTTCCGAAATCCGACCACGGTAGCATCGCAAAAACAACATCGACTGGACCTTCAACGACCGACAACCACATCAGCCATCAACCTTTCTTCTTTTCTGCCTCAGCTGTCAAGGCCAAGGCCACTGATCAGTACCAGAGTCCTCAATGGAGACACTGTTGGTCTGGACATGGCGCTGGGTAAGAGGAAGCACCCGATTCGCCTCTTCTGACTGGTCAGCCGGCGCATTACCCTCATAGAACACGATGGCGACATTCTTGTTGTCCAGGCCAGCTTCATGCTTGATCATAGTGACCAGCGCATCCTTCCACCCTTCTGTCTTCTATCTTTACACAACAATAACCCCCAATCCTCCTCCCCCTTCCCCAATAGCCATCGAACCGTCCATTACATCAACCCGATACCTGTACCTGTACCTGAACCTGTCCCTGTCACAGCGTCAACATGGAAGTTGAGTGTAACGAACCACTAGACTAGCATTTCAGTCCATCTCCTCGGCTAACGCACCTTGACCGATCTCCACTGTACGACCTTGCCCATAGTGTATATCACACGCATCATATCTAATTTCCGGCCGAGAGAACGACCACCAAACGGCCCGGACCACCACTCAACACGCTCCAAACATAGGTACCTGCCTACCTACGAAAAAGCGTCCAGAACAAACACTCACATAGGTACCTACACAACCAGGAGGGAAGAATCTGAAACACGGGCAAGCAAGCAAGCAGGTAAGCAAGCAAACTTGATGATTACCTGTGCGACTGAACTCACTCTGTGAGGAAAACATCTCCCGCAACCTCACCACGCATTGAGTGAAAGTCCAGCGATCGGTCAGTTAAACGCCAGACACGTAGGTATTTGTATGTTAAAAGACATCCTCTACGAGGTAGTACAAAGAAGCAAGCCCACCAGCAACTCAAGTAACCTCAGTTTTGCCTTCAGAAGCAGTCAATTGCGTCTAGATCCTAGCCTGAGGTATCCTGAGGTATCCAAGGTATTGCCGAGACCACAACAAAAAAAAAAGAGAAAGAAAAAAAAGAAAACAAAAAAAAAAGCCAAAGAGTAGGTAGAGCAAAGTACACGTGTAGAGTGAGTAATATCACAAGAACAAGAAGAAGTCCGTCTCAACCAAGCTTCGACATCATATCCTTTCCAGACAAATGAGGTACTACCCCAAAAAAAAAAAAAAAAAAAAACGAAGAAAAAATACCTCATGCTCTTTCTTCAGTGCAGATGTTGACTCCCATCCGACATCCACTTCCGACTTCCGACTTTCGTCGACCGTTCCTTTCCTTTCCTTTCCTTTCCGCTCCTTTCCCGCTCTTTATCAGCATCCATAGATATTCCATTGTTCCTTCCCTGTCCCAGTATGTCTGTCCATATGTCTGTCCGTCTGCACCTACCCTATGTCTGGAAAACGAAACCAAAAAAAAAAAAACAATCCAAAAGAAAAAAGAAAAAAAAAACCAAGAACTCACAAAGCCATAATCTCATGCCACCTTCCCCATCTATCTTCATACCTCTTACTGTTGCTGTTACTGCTGCTTCTGCTGCTGCTGTCTTCATCGACGTTGACATTGTCATGCAACCCATGGTCATGGTGAAAATCAGAAGAACCTAAACCGCCCGAACCGCTGCCGTGACCTCCTCCACCACCAGCAGAAGCTCCAGCAGCACCAGCACCAGCACTGGTACTTCCACTTCCACTTCTACTTCCACTAACACCGGCACTATTCAGATCCAGATCCAGGTCAAGGTCCAGATGTTGCTCCAAATCCAATGATGCATGTACCCTCTCGAACTGATGACCATGATGGAATCCATCGAACTCCAACCCTCCTTGTTCGTCTGTTGGCAGAGACAGAGGCAAAGGCAGAGGCAGATTCTCTGCATCGACCACAAAACCTCTGTTACCTCCATGGTGAACATCTTGTTGTTGTTGTTGTTGTTGTTGTTGTTGTTGTTGTTGTTGTTGTTGTTGTTGTTGTTGTTGTTGTTGTTGTTGTTGTTGTTGTTGAATCGTCACCAGGACAGAACGAGGTATCGGAACCGGAACCGGTAGAGGTAGTCCCCGACCAAAACCTGTATTGTTTAGTCCGTGAATATGAGGAGCGTATAAAGACCGACGACCACCATCAGCCGCAGAACTTAGAGGTAGAGGTAGAGGTACTGAATTCCTTACTGCCCCTGGCACCCCATACGGCGTTGGCACCACCACTTCCCTCCTCTCCATCTCCATCTCTCGCTCCCTATCACTCAGTAACCCTCTAATGTCCTCCGCCTCCTCCCACTTCCCCATGTCCCTCAGATAGGCCTCAATTTTGCGAGACGTTTGTACCCAGAATTGGTCCCTCCCTCTTGTTGTCGCTAACGATCGCAATCCCATGCCCATCCCCGCTGCAACGGCCATTGAACCTACGGGTCCTAGGGGTCCTACGGTCATTCCCAGGCCTAGACCTGTGCCTAAGCCTCGCCCCAAGCCCATGCCCATACCACTAATACCAGTACCCATCCCCATGCCGATGCCAAAGGGAAGTTGCTGTTGGCTGTTGTCAGATAACCCAACACCAGGAAGTCCGCCGCCGTTCATAACCAGGATCTTTCTCCGTAATGCAATAGCAGTAGAAACGTCCCCTTCGTGATCGGCAATGGAAGCGAGGAAGTGGTGCGCGGAGAAGAAGAGGTAGCGATCGAGGTATTCCCAGTTTTGCATGGGGATTGGAAATGGGGGTTGTCCTTGTCCCAGATGTCCTGGGGCGAGATCGCGCCATTCGTGCGGTGGTCTGGGTGCGGTGGTTACCATGTTGCTGATGCCGCTGCCACTGCCAACACTTCCCGCATCCGCTACCACTCCCATCATAGAGGTACCCCCGCGGTTCCCGTTTCGAACCCGATACTTCTCCTCCAACCGCTCCACCAACCCGCCCAACATTCCTCTTGCTCTTTGTCCTGCCCCTATTCCTGTCCCTCCTTGTCCAGCCCCAGGCCCAACAACTACCCCCGCATCAAAAAGCGGCAAGTACATCCTCCCCAATAACCCTTCCAACTCCAAGATCCGCTCCGTCGTCTTGCCCTCCCCCCACCTCTCCATCTCTCGCCTCACCAGCCCGCCAAAATCGCTAACCAGGTTCTTGACAATGGCATGTTCCGGGTCCATCAGGATCACATATCCCCTCTTGAGATGGATAGTCACATGGTCTGTCTCCCCCCGTAGCTGACGACACGTGTTAATCCACAGCTTCCAGGCGCGCGTGATAAAGAGGTGGAGCGATACGAAATCGGACGTGGTGACGAGGTGGTGCAGCGACGAAGAGATTTGGTGTAAGGGGTGCGAGGTGCAGCCTGTTTGGGCGTATTTGAGGGTGGTGAGGTGGTGGAGGAAGCGGGTGTAGATGGGGAGGATGTCGTGCGGGGGTTGATGACGATGGGGTGATTGTGATGATGATGACGGAGGTTGTTTGGTGCTGGGAGAGGAGGCGTTGTGGAGGATGAGGAGTTGGGGAACGGCGAGACAGCAGTCCCAGATGGCTTGTATGTCGCCTTCGTCGGCGGAGGTGATGGCTTCTTCGATTTGGAGGAAGGCGTGCCGTAGGAGGACACCGCCTTTGGTTGTTCCTTGGGGGTTGTTGCATCGAAGATGGCGGATCGCTAGAGCTATGTTTTGCAGGATCGAGTTTGACGACACGGTGGCGTGGTCCTCAGCGCTGATTTCGTCGCTGGCGATATGTAATCGCAGTCTTGGACCGTCCATCTTCCACGGAGTATCCCTTTCGGGGTCGGCCCAGCGCGCAATGTAAGAGGCGTAAGCTAACAAAGTCGACTCGACGAGGTAAGTTGGTTCACTCTGGAAGTAGAGGCGTATCATCTGGGCTGGTTGCGAGATGAAGTTTGACTGGCATCCTGGCTTCGACACATGTCCGTTGCTCCTATAGCTTCCTGAGCCCGAGGAGGTCACCCCTTTTCTTCGCATGGAACGAGACTTGGTCGGCTTCGTCGCGTTGGTGTTGCCGGACTTGTTGTACTTTGCCCATCGCCATTTGGCAAATTGGCCTTTGTACATTCTCGCCCTAGATTACAGGTAACAGTCAGTCAGCTATCTATCTCCCAACACTCCACGAGTTAGAAGCATACGTTGCCTTGAACCGATGAGTCGACAGCATGATTTCCACCACATCATTCAGTATAAAGTTCTTGTTCATATACAAATCGTAAATGATATCCTTCTTTGCCTCCCAATCAGCCGGGCAAGTCGGTACCAGTGGCCTCTCAGGCAAGGTATGGTTAGTAGGAGTCGCCCTGGTAACTGTCTGGTCCTGTTGTTGCTGTTTCGTCGACAGATACGCAACATGATGATGATTCTGGCTGTGATGGCTAGAGGTTGAAATTGGAGAGTGATGCGAATGCGAATGCGACGAGGAGTTGTCGTCTGATCCTGAAGAGCTATCAGAGTCAGATGAGTGACCGCTGACGGTTTCAGGACTGAGGGGTTGGTTGAAGTCGAAGAGTTCAGATTGAGTCGAAGACGAAGAGATGACTTGTGACGCGCTCATGATAGCATTTTCTGACGGCAATGGCAATACAAATATCTGCCAAGCGCCCGTGAGATCGCCCGTCTGAAGTTGACGAATCGGTTGATACTAGTCGTAGATTCGAAAGTGAGTTGTAAGTTCTCGGCAAAGTCTGTATGCGGTAAAGTCGGCAGTCAGGTTGTTGTACGGATGTGGTTGGATGGAGCTGAGAAGAGAATGGAGGAGTTGAAAGGAGGGATAACTGTCACCGGAGGAGTGAGTGGACAGAGCCCATTCAAGGATTCCGGCCTATGCCAGGAATAGCCATCCTTGACACTCCTGCATGCTCTTACTTGCCATGAGCGCCCTGCCCCGAACAGAGCCCCAGACCAAATGATGGTTACCCCTCTGACCCCCATGCCTGCCGCTTCCCTATCCGTCTTGAGCGTGTCCATGGTTTTGCCCGTCTTAGCCGTTGAGTTGCCTGGGTACAGTGCCAGTTTCCTCACTTCTCACCCTGTCCCGTCTACCAGATTTCCTGGGTCGTGCATGTTCAACCACTCGCTCACTTCCCCCCCAGTCTTCACATCCAGCCCCGCTCCTCCTTGCTTCTGGTTCGACCCTTCAATCATTTCCTTTGCTACTTGCGTCACTCCAAACTCGCTGTGCCACAGTCGTGCAATCCTCTAGTGTCTGGAGCCTGCGTTCCAGCATTCAGAACCTTCACACAAGTGACAGAAAGAGGGAGAGATGGCACTTCTTGAACAGGGCGTCTTCGCCCCACATTTTCCATGACTGTTCTGTTTTGAGAGGGGCGATGTGCACTGCACTCTCCTAACAAGGCTGGTTGTGGTCATAGACTAGCCGAATTTGCTCGTTGTGTGACACAGTAATCGGAAGAGTGGAGGCCGACAGCATTTGGGTGTCGGAACGGGGATTTGACAGCGTAGCTCGGCGTGTTGCTCATGGAGCCCTCGCAACCTTGCGATAACATGATCCACGACGATAGTAGGCGTACCTACCGATGCTACAACGCTAGCTCCGGGGTCAACGGCGAAAGGAAGCCTTAGAATGAGGAGAACGCCCAAAACCTCACGAGCAAAGCAAACATGAGCATCTCCAAGCCGTAGTACCCGTCGATAGCCCGTCTGTGAAGGTTCCTGTGGGATACCCCGGGGTCAGCTAAACGGAAGGTGCCCGCGCCCGTAAGGCACCCAAGAACCAGCAAGCAGCTCAACACCCGCCTGCTTTCGTACCGTTGGCTCTCAACTCAGCAGTTCGTGGCGGTCCATGTGTGTGGATGTGCCACCTGGGCATCGCCTACCGACTGTCGAGCTGTGATACTCATGCCGGTATTCTAGCCGTCTCTGTGGCGTGAGAGACCACAGTCACCACGCCCACATCCCATGTTGGTCTTCTATCACAACTGACAAGCCAACCCCTTAGCGTCGAAAGGGAACACGTTCTGTTGCGCCAGTTGGAAGCTTCATCAAGACACAAACTCCGGTCCCTTGGTTAGGATCGGATGGCGTACTGCAGAATGGATGTTCAGGTATGATGAGATTTCGTTCCACCCAGCTGTGGGGGAGTAAATCCCAGTCCCAGTCCAGTCATCGGTCTAGTGCACGCCACCACGACCACAACACTAGGCCACGAGGTGTCAAAGAAGTCGGTCGATGTTGATCAACAGAACCATTGCCGGGGCTTCCATGCCACCATCACTCCCTGGCGAGTGTAGCCTGTTGACTGTAGACGAGTGAGGGTAGATCTTGGAGACCAGTTAGTTACTCACACTCAAACTTCCGAGCACAAAGCGTGCTGGTACAGCAGTTTTCGTATGCACCGACTACCTCGTTCGTGGAACCGCGTTGCAACTTCGTGCAACTCGGCATGGGGAAGCATTGGCTGATGGCTGATGCAATCTGTGTATCGTCTAGCCGCACTGTGGTTTCCTGTTGTCTTGTGAGACATGATAGTGCACTTGGTGCAACGCTAGAGCGCAGAGAAATTGCGCCATCCGGGCGTTAGTCTTCAAGATCTAGCTTCTTTGGGAGTTGAAGTGTGTTCCCATGGTCGTAAAGGTCATGATGGTTGTGGGACAGAAGCTGGAAGCGAGAGGGCAATGAGTCGACCGGAAGTTTGGGAGAAAGATTGGTTGGAAAAGGAAAAGTGAACAAGTGATGTGATAATGATCAACGTGCAAGACGGTCAGTTCCACGGCCGAGTGGTTCTTGTTGCCCGGTTGCTCATGAGTGTCATTGTCGTATCTGAGGTAGTGCAGATCAGCTGTTCATGACATCTCGGCGCCCTATCATTAGTCTTGTCAATGTCAACGGGGTTGAGAGGGAACTCACTGGTGGACATCACATCACAATCTCCCGCCTGAGCGTAAAAGAAGTTTATACAAGTACCAAAACAGTGAAAGAATCTATGTGGGAAAGGTAGCAAAAGTACAGTTTAAAGACGACCTACAATGTCCGTGTCATAAAGCGACTCCAAAGATCGAATCCAGATGCCTTGATACTGTCCATCGTTCTAGCCAGATGTCTCTCCCTTCATTCCCTTCCTTGCCAAACCACTCCCCACAAGCTCACGCCTAGTAGTGAAACAAGGCAAGAGTGTTCGCAAACGTCGCCAAATTCTGGTTCCAACCCGCCAAATCCTTGCCGTCTCTCGTTATCATACTGACACTACCGACCGTGTTCAAGTTGTAGACCTGGACCCACGGGTCCGCAGCATCTCCACTAGACTCGCTGCTCTTGTTCCGATGGGATGGCGGTTTGCTGCTCATCACGAACTTTCCTGTTTTTCCGCTTCCAACTTCTCTGGGAGGAACGTTGGTGCTAAAGCCAGAGCCAAGGTTGAGGGGTCCAGCCCAGAAGATTCTTGCCTGGCAGTTTTCACCGGAGCGAAGAGTGCTGCAGTCGACGTTGTAGTTGTTGAAAAAGCTGTAGAGACCGGCGCCGAAGACAACCACGTTTTGTGAACCAAGGATGCGGAGACCCCATGCCATTTCACATTTTGGGTTGCCTCCCAGGGTGAGAGAACCATCGGAACTGATCGTCGTGTTGGCGCCGTATTGGACGCTTTGGCAGTCGGTATGGAAATCGGGATCTCCAAGAGTGGTGTCGATCCTGGTGAAAGGCAACGGAGCAGGGGGATTGGGCTGGTAGTAAGGCGTCTCAGTCTGTGCTTGACCCATGAAGACGTCGGTCGCATTGAGCAACTGGTACTGGTAGAGTGTGTGATGTTCACTGGCGGTGCCTACAAGCCAGACACGTTCGCCTTCAATCAAGACACCACGTCCAGCAAAGATGCTGATTTGGGTGTTGTTGAAGTCTTCGATGTCGTGGTCGGCAACCCAGAACCAGTTGTTCTCCATGTAGAGATTGCCAGCCCTCTTGGTGACGTGGAAGCTCAACCATGCTGCGATGCAATTCGCATCAGCGTGAACAACGGCGTCGGGAGTCTTGGGGCAGTCAGTCAGTTGCAGGTTAGATCCTGCAAAACCACCGATACGTGTGTGGACGTCCCACAGACCAGAAGGGGGCATTTCGGCGAGGGTAGAGCTTGAACCAGCGGGAGGATTGAGGTTGTATTGAATCAAGACGGCACCTGCCGTTCCTCCCTGGGTAGACACGATGATGTCGCTGACCTCCACGTAGCCGGCCTCTCCCATATTTCCAATCTGAAGGACAGGTTGCGGGTTGTTGATATCCGAAAACTTGGGACCTGCACCGAGGATGACCGCCGCCATAGCTTCTCCCACAACTCGAACGCCTCCCGAAATATGAACAGTGTCGGTGACCTTGTAGTATCCCGCATCGAGGTACGCCACCGATCCGAGTGTAAGACCAGCAGTTTGGAAGAGGTGGTTCAGGGCTGCAGTATCATCGGTGACTCCATCTCCAACAGCACCGTAGGATCGGGCGGAGAGAAAGGCCCAAGTCGGGTAAGTTTCATACTGAGGTTTGGAGCGCTCGTAAAATTTGCCGTCTTGCTTGAGGGTCGTGGGTTGACGGAAGTAAGCTCGATCGCGGTCCTCGTACTCGCGTGGTCCGTTGGGGGTGTATGTGTTACCCTGGAACATGTTAGTAATGTGTCTTGAAAGTGTTTCGAGGTAGCCGAATAACCTACCCTTGCGTAACCTGCGTCATGAACCAGTCCCGAAGGATTGCCCAGGAGAATAGGGCCTTCCGGGCCCTGAAGAACGATGGGAACATTGATGTAGTCCACATTCTCAATGACAAGAGAGCCTGTCGAGTTTATGCTGGTGGCCCCACGGAAGGTAGTCATGGCCGTCTGAACGTTGACGAACCTGCTGTCCAAAAGGGTGACGGAGCCAACGGCGTTGCTCGACATGTTAATGCCAACCTCGCAATCATAGATGTTGAGGGACTTGTACGTCCAACCCCAGTTCCACAGCTGCATGATGGCTGTCTTGGAGCCGTAGAAGGTGAGATTGCGCATCGTGTACTGCTGATTGCCGAACTGGGCGCCCTGCCTGCCGCCGTAGAAGACCAGGTCCGCCAGCATACCACCGCTCCCTTCTTCTATGAAGATGCCGGTGTGATCATCCTCGGGTCGGGAGGATAGCTTGAAGACGCAGTTCTGGATGGAAGTGGCTTGGGATGAGGGCCAATGGAGGCCAGCAACGGTACCCGGGACATCGGTGGTGTCAAAGATGAGGTTACGGATTTGACGAAAGAAGACATTGGTGGCTCTGAACTGAAGGGCTGTGCAGACGTTACTGTCAGTAGGGCAAACACGAGACAAATGGAACCTTTACCGCAGGGAGAGACTCACTGCCGCTGTTCAGGTACGGGTCCGAGTCGATCAAGCCAATGCCGCCGTAGGACTGGAAGTCGGGGCTGCCCTTGATGACAGGCATGGAGGTGGGATCGCCAATGATCTGGGTGTAGTAGTAGTTGATGATATTGGTGGTGACGAGGTAGGTACCAGCAGGGAAGTAGACGACAGCAGGAGTAGTGGTGGTTCCGTTGCAGAAGGGACCGCCACCGCAACGGTTGCCAGAGCTGATGGCGTTGTTGATGGCGATGGTGTCGTCAGTGACGCCGTCTCCCTTGGCGCCATAGTCCTTGACGTTGCGAAAGACCTGGTAGGATTTGTCGGGGTTGAAGGAGGCGACACCCTGGTGCTGAGTTTCCTCCATCCAGTATGCCGCACTGGCGACTGAAGCCAAAGCGGCGAGCACGGTAGCCTTGAGCCGCATCGTGACAGGATCTGATGGTTGTTAAGGATGCGGTGTTCGAGGCAATCTGTCGATAGCAAAGGAAGCCCAAGAGAAGAGCGAGTTCGTAAAGGGTAAAGATACGATACGTGACCGAGGCAGAGGAGGGTTCACTAGTAGAAGTAGTAGGGAAAGGAAACGATTAAGAGCTCAAAAGATTGTGGGGGTAGATCAGCGACCAAAGCACATGATATCCGGTTGATGGTGAAGGGCCTTTTTTTGGTTGAGGAGTGAAGAGATTTCAGGTTTGACCGGAGAAAAACTGAAGGTTTAGCAAAGCAAGTCAAGTGAAGGTGAAGAGACCTCGTCGAGTTCCAGTGGTTGGCCAATGGTTATCCAGTCACCAGATGCCACCGTCTCGTTGCTCCCTTCCATCTTCGATGCGATGTGGTCGGTGGGCTGTGTGCCTTCCTTCTTCAGTCTGGGCCCGTCGACTCACCAGGAGCAGCAGGGCACTTCACGTGACGATGCCATCTGAGGTTGAGTGTTCAATCCGCATCTCTCCATTGAAGGGTTGCGATCCCGACTTTTACTCATCATCCCTCTCTTGACCACCACCCCAACATCACGAGCATGGTATGGTGCCCCTTCCAACTGCCACCGCGCATTTCATTCACTGTAACTCCAACCCCCAGATAGTATACATTGACAGTCTAGTAATGCTGGCTTTGGTTAGGAAAGGCTATTGCCAGACTGTGATATGCCTCGTGATATGCCTCGTGATTTTTTGGGAGCACATCAGCCGGAGCTCATCAAGCGTTGTTGGACCCTTGAATTGATAAGGCGTAACAAAGACATAGGGATACATGTAAGAGAATACCAAACTCCGAAGGGTACCAAATAAGATGGCGAGGTGTCCGGGTTGGGTATACAACCGCTCGACGGGTTCGAGGCAATTCCGTCAGTCCCAGGCCTCTCGACGACCCGGTATCATGGACGACAATTAACTCGAAGTCCAGAAGCGTGATGGCCACCAACCAATGTCACCATCGCAAGGTTTGCACATGGTGTAATACCGTCAAATAGGGCATTCAGCATAGGGAATGCGTAAGCGCGGCTTGTCCCATGGTGATATCGACGAGCGGTGGTGACAAGGCGACGGATCCATTGACGTTGATTGTCTGTTGACTGCTTACGTAACGCTGATAAGGGCCCCTAACAGATAAGGTCACAATCCACAGTACAGAAATGTTAGACACAAGCGACCGCCCGTTGCCGGCCCGAACCAATCTCCGTGTTCGTCTCCCCCACCAATGATGTCGCACCCACTTTCAACGACATGCCATTATCTTCGACACTTGATCCAAGCATCAACCAAAGACATCGGCGCACCTTCATCCTGCTATGGCTCAAAACCGAATTCCAGATACACTGACGCTCCAGTGGCCGTCTCCAATGCCCTCTTTCATTTCCTTCCCAGCTCCCACAGTCGCGATTGCCGTCTGTTGCTCGACCAGTCAGCCCCGCCGGAATGCTCGCTTATCTTCTCTTCCTCCTCTGCTTTTTTCTCCTGTCGTGCGCAATATGCTGCCATGGTGGTTTCGGTTCCTGACTCTGTCTCGGTGACTAACCAGGGCCTAGCCAAGAGTGTCGAATTTCTTTGTTCAGTTCAGTCAACCTTCCCCGCCCCCTACGTTTGTCTAGACCCCCGTCTCGGAACAAAGACAGCACGCGCTGTTAAAGAGCACATCATAACATGCCCCCGACTGCCAACTTCCAATTCGATCCTGCTCGGCATCGTTTTACCAACGCCGCTCCCTTCATCCATTCGCACCATTATGGCTCGAAACACCGGCATTCCAAGCGCGGCTCGTCAGCCAAAGCCGACAAGGGCAGCCTCGCCCAACACCTCAGCTGTTGTCATTAGTGCGAGCCCCAGCAACATGTCCCCCAACACCCCTACCACCACATGGCTGAGGATATGGTCGCGTCGAAACACGAAAGAGGATGGCCATCTTGCTGATGGATGCGTCGTGATGTGACCTTAGTATTGGTCGCCCGATGAAGTCACAAAAGATCCACGGGTCCCGTTCCGTTTGCACTACTAGGACGACGAAGGCGCCGGCATACCACGCTCGTTTGCAATGACTACCCACGAGAGACGCACCCAGTTCTACTCAACCACGCCTCATCCCTGGAGCTCCTCAATTCATGGTATATATCTCAGCTACTTGCTCTTCGGAAAGGTTCTCTCGTGTCCTGCATCTCGAACCCTCACAGCTGGTTTCACTACTGCCAGTAGCTGCTACAAATTCCCGTCTTCATACACAAAATGCGTCTTGCCGCTTCTCTTCCTGTTACGGTTCTTCTTGCCGCCGCAAAGGTTACAATGGCTACTCCCAGCCCCAGCATCACTGCTGCTCCCACGGCCTCGAACGATCTCCTCAACATTGCCACATCCGAAAAGCCCTCGGTATTCACCACCATCGCGTGCAGCCCCAATGGAAACACTGAGGAGGCAGGTGAATATGTCGGACATAATTGCAAGGTTTATGAGTACAGGCTCAAGGAGCTGGAGAGCGGTGCTGGGTTTGCTGTGCCGTTTCTGGGCAGTCTCTGGGGAATGGCCGCAGCGGCTGTAATAGCCATGTTGTTTTGAGACATTTACCGGTATCACCAAACAAACCACCTGGATCTGCCGCTAGGAGCATGCATGAGGGAAAAGAGAGCCGAATCGGCTTGGATGAGGATCGTATGTTAAAGGAGGCTGAGGCGGAAGATCGGAAATACCACCATTTAAACTACTTAATGCAGCCAAGTGACTCCACACCTTAGTGTACCTGCCTGGCGATCCCGTTATCCGAGTCTAGCGTATCAAGCTGCAATACGTGTCAGCCTAGACCTTTTGCCAACCCCGGAGTCCACTGAGAATGAGGCTTAGCTACCCCAGACCCCTGGAAAAGCTCTCGGCCTTCCTTACCGCCGGAGTTTTTTCCATCGCGTGTTTTTCTTGTTGTGATAGCTTCTTTATCTCATGACGCTTGATGAAGGGTCCTTTTACCAACATAAAATGTTCACATTTCTTCTTTCACATCTTTGACGCACCGATCAATATTGCAATTTCTCATTAATCAGTAAACCGTGCAACCAACTATTCTCCCGCACAACGACAGCCAGTGCGGACATCCGGCCACCAAATCTACATCTACTACTGCCACAGACAACAATCATCAACATGCGTCTCTCACGTCTTATCACCCTCGGCTTCTTGGGTCTCACAACCGCATCCGTCATCAAACCTCAAGCCCGCTACCCTTCAGTGATTGTCCCATATAACACCACAACCAGTTCCGCCTCATCACTCCAGACCAGCACACCACCGCCTGATTCACCCGTGAAAAGCCATCTATCACCACCTTCTTTTTCTGTCACGAATTCAGTCGATGCCGACGTTGAAATGACTGATTTCGACGAAGACGACCAAAACGAGAACACCCAGCATCACGGCGGTCACGGAGGCCATGGTGGACATGGAAGAGGGCACAGTAGAGGTACTAGCGGCCACACGGGTACAAGTGGTGGCGTTGATGGGAGTCATGGGGGAAGTAATCAGGCCGGGGGAGGCGGTGCTGCTGTGGGTGCCGGTGGATCTGCTAATGGGAAGAAGAGTGATGGTGCTAGGTTGCGGGTTGAGGTGCTTGGAGTTGCTGGGATGGTGATGATGGGGCTGGGGGTTGTAATGGGTTGATGGATTCAAAAGTGTACGGTTGCCGGCGGGGTTGAACTGTTGAGGCTGAGATCCATTGTTGTGGTCGTTGTCTCCGCTCACAATGACCTTATCCCCCGTGACGCACCGGCGCGTCTTCCCTTCCTCACGGCTACGACATTCACGCCTCATCTTCATCGATATAAACTCATGGTTACACCAGTACTCATCGTGTAATTCCCTGCCCAACATTAGCACTAGCGGCAGGTCACCCACAACCAGCAAAGTCGAGAAGATGGGTCCTACAATTGTCTTCACGATCGCCCTCCTGGGCTCGTCCGCCACCAAAACAGCACCTTAGCACAACCATCTTCAAACGCCGTCGTTGCAATCCCACAGCTAAGAGTACGAAATTCACCCGCGCCGCCATTCATCTGTTGGGACAAAACCCTACCTATCTCGTGTGTGTTTTCAAGACTCCGTTGGCGTGTGCCACAAGTTGAAACGTTGAGGTCCATGATGTGGTCAGGGCATAAGAGGGAACAGCCTCGGGTCTGGCGATCCGTTGGAATGACACATCCAAACTCAAGTCAAAATCAACACATCCCTCATCCCTAAAAGGTTCCTAAGTGGTATAGTAACGGAGGCCCCCCCTCATACCTCTCACGAACCCCAACAAAATCACTCGGCCAACCCCTTCTAACTCAGGAAACCATCTTGCTCAAAAGCAGCTTTAAATCAAGACCCACGAGTACCTACTTTGTCCGAACCAACACCACCAAAAATGCGTCTCCCAACTTCACCTCTCCTTCTCCCCATCTCCTTCTTGCTGCTCCTTTTGCGAGGTACCAGCGCTGTTCTCTCCTCTTCTCTCAGCTCCGAAAGCACCGCCACAACCACCGCCATTACCATCCCCGAGGGTCCTGGCGCAAACCCAACCGCAGTCAACCCCACCAACGTCAATCCTTTTTTGTCTACACCAACCAACGTAACCTTCGACGACATCATCGAACATCGCCGCGGCCGTAACCATACGCATAACAACCACACCAGCGATGGGACTAGCGGTAGTGTTCCCCCGGGTACAGCCTTGGTCGCTATGCTTGGTACGTTTGGGATGGCGATGCTCGTGAGACTGGGAATTGCTTCAGCAGTAGCATTCGTGTTGTCGGTAGTGGAGGTGATGATTGAGTGGGTAGGGGTGGTGGTTTCCTTGGTGACTAGTTGGTGGATGGGAGTACCTTGGTGAAGTAGATGGTGATGGGTAAGGTAAAGGAGGGTTAGGTGATGGGACTTGAGAGGAAGTAAAGTGGAGATGAAAAAAGTTGTGGTTGGAAGTGAGGGGATGGAAGATGTATGGCAAGAGGAAAAAACTGAATGATCATCACGTAATGGTACTGGCTTTGAAATGTTCACAAGTGACGTGGTAGGTACCTGAGCGGCAACATGAAAAATGGAGTGAGATATGGTAGCCTGCACATGCACCAAACCTCTACCCTCCTAGGGGGTATATAGCCCAGGTTATTGGCCATCCTTTCCGTGGCCCGCTAGTGCATCTGGGAGTAATGCGAGAGAGCTCTTCGTGAGCTGTTACCAAGTAAACTGGAAGCTGTCGGTTCAAGTTCGGTGCGGGCCACTATTTTTTTTGGACATTCTCCTTTTTACTTTGATCGTACTCGTTCAGGCAGGCTCCAACGTGGCATAGGTCAGTCATACTGAACGTGTCATCTTTTTGCATTGCCTCCTTCGTTTGGCTTCAACGAAAGCTTGACTCATCCACGGCCATAGATGTACGTACCCAACGCTCCTTCCATCTCAATACTCCAACCACCCTTTGCCCCTCTCATGTCCAGGGGCACTTTGACGTACCACGCACTGCCCGGCTCCTTCTTCGTATTGTCTCGCCCCGCCTCTGGCCTCTCACTAAGAATCTGAGGTATGCAATTCCCTACCGACGCGAACTTTCAACGCGCCGTTCTGTTTTCATTCCTCTATCCCAAGTACCTACTTCTAACTCCATCTAACAACATATTCATTAGGACTTACTTCACCGTGCCCAGCCATGGAGGTATCTGATGCTGCTCAGACTCGGAGCCCCTACCACGAGAACCGCGCGCCCGAAACTAGCGGAAGCGAGAGTTCGAGGGACAAGACACCCAGTCAAAATACAACAGAAAGGATGGCGAACATTGCAAAGAAACGGCGACTTGACGAGGCAGGTGAAGCGCAAGTCATACTCGGGTTGACAGAAGCCGACGTTGATGGTAGAGCGAGAACGGAGGCGACAGAATACGGTGCTGTTTCCGGTCATGCAATGGCGCCCTCCAAACCATCGCCAATGAGCCATCCAAATGCGCAAGAGAAGCCCACACACATCCTACAATCCATAGAAGTCGATGTCATTGAGCAACAGGATGTGGTGGGATTGCCCACCATAGAAGACGAAGTACCATTTGCAAACATGGAAGACTTCGAGGCAACCAATGTCACAACCAGGAAGCGCTCACCCAGGTCTCCCTCACCAATCGAAGATCCAAGGCTTCCTCAATGGAAGGCTGAAACTCGGTCATTCAAGGGAAATATGTTCTGTCACCATCAATCCCCTGGAACAGCCATCGAGACAGCCAAAGCCGCCCACAATGGGGATCTTTTCGTGGATGGAGCTCCACAGTTCACCATCTTCTGTGACGGATCCAGCGAGAACACTCGCTTTGCACAGTTTCGCGGGGATAAGGGAGGATACGGTGTGGTCTTTCGGGACCCCTACGAAACCGTTGGTCATAATGGTGTAGACCTTGCTCCCAACCGCCTCAAACCCGAATTCTTCGGCAAAGAGAAAGAGAAAGACTGGGATGTGGAAGACTTTGTGATCTTGAACTGGTTAAACCGCAAGGTCTATAGTGCCGATCATGCGGAAATCAGCGCTCTTTCACAGGGACTAGATGAGGTCACCAAAACGTGCCGACCGTTTTGGTCCCGCCTCATCCACGCTCAAGATTTTCTCGGATCCGGCCAGCTGTCAAAGCCGCATCAACAAGGGAATACTTGTTGGCGATGACTTTGTGTCAGGCGGCAAGAACCTTATGTCAGATGACAGCAATGCCACGTCGGGAAAAAAACGCCAGAGAACTGAGGTCACTTTTTATGACAAGCACACAAACCCCTTTGTACGCGCAATTGTCTGGCAGTCGCATTATCTCTTCGAACGTGGCTGCACGATAGAAATCCACTGGATGCCTCGCAACTGCACTTTTGCCGCGTTTCTCGCAGATCATGTCGCCGGTTTGTGGCGGCTAGAAAACGCCGAGTTCAGCCAGTCGAATCTCGCACGCGAAGAAAGGGACGGGATCATGGACAAGCTGAGCGAGGAGGTCAACGAGATAGTGCGTGAAAGATCTACGCCTCCACCTAATTCTCGACCTTCCAAAAAGAGGAAGGTGAAAAGACCACCATCGAAGAATAAGCGCCTCACCAAAAACATGAAGCGCGCGCAGAAAAAGCCCAAGGACAGCAAGAAGTCTCGCTCGGCTAACAACCTCAACGCCCGGTCATTTCCTTTTCGCCCCTCACCGTCACCATACGGTCAACCTTCTTCTTCTCAGTGGGTCCCAAGTAACCCATTTCCGCCTGCCCCGACTCCCTCTGTCAGTGAGCCGTTCTTGCGCAAAGACCATTACCCCTCAGCAGAGCATCGCGTGCCCACGTTGGATACGTTTCCAACATGGCTCTTTCGAGATCCTACACCGCCTCGTATGGTACGTGCTCCGACGCCTGGGCGCTATTGGGAGATAGAGGACGAGAATGAGATTGAGGTTGGCATTGTTCGGAACGAGGAGGACAGGCTGAGGGAGATGGATAGTGAGGACGAGAAGAAAGAGGAAGAGCAGGATAATTGTAGTGGAAAGGATGACGAGAAGGAGAGCAAAGAGTAGTTGCTATATCGTCGTCTGTTGCTGCTTCTGTTGCTCCTTTGAGCTATGAAGCGGCTATGTTTCAAGATTTAGGCAAAACGGTGGAGTACAGGCGTTTTCTTTCTTTGTCTCGATGGGTATACATACAATCAGCTCGTTTATGCAAGAGTTAGTGGTTGAGTCCGCGGTTGAGGCGGTGCCAGCGCTCCTGTGAGTCGGTAGACAGTTCGATGACGACTGATTCCGGGCGATGTTGCTCCACGAGCTGAAGGGCGATAAGAGTAGACTGCGTCAAGGCACCCGATTATGCCTGAGGTCGAGGAGTACATCACTGTGTAGGACCATGACTTGAGACCCAAACCCGACTTCGACTCAAGCCCGAAAGGCACGGAAGCAGCAGTGAAACCGGTAGCTGCTCCCTCCTGGCTGTTGACGTTGCTAGCCCAGGGATTGCGAAGCACAACCCTATAGCCACCACTAGAGGCTTCGGACTCCCGATCTCTCTCACACATGCGTGATCCATTGCAGAAGAAGATGATCTGCGGCACACCATTGATCCCAAGAGGAGAGGTACACGCCCTTTCGGCACTGATTTTGGATTGGTCAGGGAAATCCATGGTCATCGTGCCGGGGAATTGTCGGGTGTTCTTTTTCTATAGCGCAATGCGCTCGTCGTCGTTCAAAAGCGTAAGAGAGGGCTGGGATCCTGCGCGCTCGTGGAGCTGGGCGGGATAGCGCGGAGATCTTTCTTCCTCATCGCCAGTGTCGTCGGTTAACTCGGTATCAGACAAGAGGCGAAGATGGAACGACCTGATGCGATCTTGACTTGCCAGGATGCTGTTGTTAAGAGTCAAAAGACCTTTTGTTGAAAACGCCAAGTGTCTAATGGAGACAAATGCACGCCCATGCCCACAGGCAGATCCGTACCATGTTTTGCTGGAGGAATCAGGAAATTCAGCAGCTTTCACGAAATTTGACGAGTGAAGTAAGAGGTTGAATGGTTGATGTAGTGAGGTGAGAAGAGAGAGCGGAGAAAGAACTGCATCAATTGACGGGTGCCACACAACTCCAACAATGATCGCGTATAAACAGGCCAAGCAAGCGACTAGCTTTACCGCAACATCTATCACCCCGCCAAAGCCCTACACACTAGCGGTTGCCGACTTTGTGCCGCTAGCTGAATTCATCGTGCGGTCCAAGAGACCGGTCATCTTTGTGTGTTTCCGGCCGTGGTTTCCATTCGCAACCGTGCAATTTCTGCGCGTTCGAGTTTGCGACGGGGAGATAAGGTGATATGGGTGTTGCTCGGTTACAGAAGGAAGACAGGAAGATCGAAGATCAACAGGCACAGAAGGCAATGGGGGTGAATAAGGCGAAGCAATCGAAAAGCGTCTACTATATATAGACTGCTCTCCTAGGAGACATAACGCGTGTGTTGCTGCGATTAAAGGGTGATGATGCGCAACCGGGAGATTGTCTTGTTGTGTGAGCAAATAGACGACCAGAAATGGGATGACGTCCAAAATGGAGACTAGCAAATGCCACATGATCTCAAGTCAAGGAAAGCAGCAGTGACAATGCACGGCTAGCCAATGAAGTCCGTCAAAAGTAGGTTTGCTAGGTAGAGGTACCTTATCTTATCACTTACATTGCCCCTCGCTTTGCCTCGCACTGCCGCCATGTCAACATCACAACTCCGAACATCAAAGTCATTTCAGTTTTTCTCCGCTCTTACTTCTTTCCTTGCTAATCTCATCCGGTACCTAGTAAACAAACACGAGCCAGTGTCTACTAGTGGATCTATGCTACCGCTCATTCATTATCCGTCAGCATTAGATATCACTTAATGCAAATACTTTGAGGACGCAAAGGTTAAACGAATTGTTATTACCTATCTTCCAAGGCATCACCATTTTTGACATATGCCTGGTCATTGAGAACTGAAGTGAATCAAGGCGCTGCCTGTCGCTTCTGCCTGCTGTCCTTTCCCGGACCGCTACCCTAATGGTCGCTTAGCCTGCCACCTCCCACCTTGCCGCTCCTCATCCCAACTCTCGCCGGCAACAGGTTTGGAGGTACCAAAGACCTTTCTTCTGTGCATGTTCCCGTGGTCCGTTGGTGTAACGGTCAACACTACTTAGCTGATGTCTTGTCGTATTGAGATACTTCCGGCTGTCCAGCATAGAAGTTACCGGTTCAAATCCGGTACGGGCCACTCTTTTTTCCTCTTTTTTTTTTTCTTATTCGTTTTTCCCGTTCGTCAAACACAGTATGGCTCGGGAGTAGGTTAGCAGATATCGAAGCAACGCCTACGCTGTCTGCTGCTTCTACCTAACCCTCCTTATCCCCACTACCACCGGCCAAGGTTGTAAGTCTAGGGCACATAAGGTTCCTTTCCAGCACATTTTTCCGTGGTCCGTTGGTGTAACGGTCAACACTACCTATCCTGGCGTGTATCCGTGTTGGACGCGGTGTCACGGTGGGGCGGAAGTTACCGGTTCGAATCCGGTACGGGCCACACTTTTTTTGCCCCTTTTTTTTTACTAAACGTCTTCATGATTTTACTTTTCTTAGTCATAGTAGGTAGATATGTAGCCAGTGTCCAGTTAGTCTCGACTTTTCATTCAATACCTCTTCAAAGCCTGGCTAGCTGTCTTCTCTCTTCGAAATGTGAATTTCCTCTAGACGTACGCTACTCAATATCTTAAGTGTTTCTCAGAGGTGCCAGGGCCAAAGAAAGTGGAGAGCGGTGCGTTCCACGACGGATAAAGTTACTCGTAAATCTATCAAATTAACCTGCCTGATAACATGCTGCTCTTTCTTACACACAATATTTGATCATTTCTTCTACCGGTTTTCCCTTAAGGCGTTTTGCTACTAGTTACACTAATTGTACCCTCTGTAGATCATACCATTGATGACGGCAACGTTCATACTTTGTATGCGCGTATCAGTTCGTTGGTGGTTTCGTTCAGCTTATCCATAATTCCATCCCTGACATCTAGTGAAAGATTGCCCTGCGACCATTTGGTCTCCTCCGGTTCCCCCCACTCTTTCCATGAGGTGGCTGCAGCATCGGCGATAGATGGACCGAGGGCACTGCAGCGAGGATTCCAAGCAAGCTCCAGCTCGCATCCACGGTCCCGAAGGTAGTGCGATTGCCAAATTATAGTTTGGACTAGGGGGTTGAAAAACTTGTTCCAGAGTGTTAACTTGGTACCTCTTCGACAAGCAAGAACGCCTCGCTTGATCCTATTTATAACGCATGTTGAATCCGAGAAAATGGTCACAACCGACGTCGGTGGGTGATGTTCGTCATACAACCGAATGGCTGTCTCAAGACACTGGGAAACTGCAGCAAGTTCGACCTGGGGAATGGAAAATGCCTTTTTGACCCCAAAGCAAAGAATAGTGAAGTCCACAAGTCGAGAAGGGCCGTCGTAGATTTCCCCTTCCTCCTCGAGTACATAGTCGTTGTCAATACCCTGCTGGTATGCATTGACACTCGGATGCTCAAGGAATCGAATAGGGTTTTCATCTCGAGAGACAAACTGAACGGTGTCCTCGAATGGGTTTCTGAAGGCAACCCTATAACCTCCAGTAGTCCAACCGTGTTCCGGCCTTGAACTCGAGCTTCCGTTCTTAATTGATCCGTCCCCAAAGAATTTCAACTGCGGCACGCCACTGATGAACAAGGAGGTCTGGGATGCCATATGCGCTGTACGGGCAGCTGTTGCCTTGTCTTGGTTAATCGTTATGAATCCCGCAAATGAACGCCTTTCGTCCTTCCAAAGAGCAATCCTCGGGTCTGGGGAAGGCGTGGGAGACCTTGGCGACCTTGCCCTTGGGACCGGAAGCTGCTGGGCATTGGTACCATCGATATCGGAAGCTGCTTTGCCGATAGTGTTTTGGTCGGTGAACTCAAAAGCCTTCGTGCCAGGATTCTCGGGAGTAGATAAGAGCGCTTCTGAGGCCAGTTCTACAGGCTCCACGGAAGCCATGATCGTCTCTTGAACGGTTGGGTCATGAGCACGAGGGTCGTAAGACAGGCCATCCCCCACATTGTCTGAGGTAATTGCACTGGCAGTAGCCTCTGTTTCATCACGAAGAGCTAACTCCTCACTTGTCTCGATCTCAACCATCAACTCCAACTGGGCGCGTTTGCTGGTACCAGTGTTCGAAGAAGAGCTGCTCGATTTGTCGTAGTCTTTGGGAGCTGAAACGGCAACCTCCAAGCGGTTCATGGCCGCCTGATCTTCGACCCTTGACTTTTCATTCTGCTCTCCCACCTCTCGAAGCCACAAGTGGGTTTGAGGCAGATTCTCATCATTATCCATTCGAGAGGTACCGGATGATGGGTTGTAACTGTTATGCCCGGTAACGACAGGCTCCGACTGGTTGATGACGTTGGTCGCTCGAAGTTCTGGGTCCTCATCCTCTTTCGCCTTCACTTCATCATTTTGGTCGATACGTGCTCGTTTGCTTAAGCCGTGTTCCGGCGAAGAGCTCCTTGACGGAGCCGCTCGCTTGATACCTGCCATCGGGATTCGGGATCCGGGAGTGGCGAAGACGAAGAGTCTTGAGAAAGAGGAAGCCTGATGTTTGAGACATATATCGTTAGCATTCAGGATTCACGTGGCCAAACGATGACTGGGGCTGTAGGATAGATGAGTGGCCTTCATGTCCCTCTGCTTGGCGCTGTTATCCTGGAGTATCTGCATGGTGACCTGGACAGGATGAACGGTGTCCGTGCGCGAAGAGATGGGATCGAGAATGAAAACAATTGATGGGAAGCGAAAGGGTCGAGGGGGTAGGCAACGTGAAAAAAAAAAAAAAAAAAAAAAAAAAAAAAAAAAAAAAAAAGAAGAAGGTGAAGCGAAGGAACGGGTTATCAAGCCTCAGTGTCTTGATCGCCATCCGCCGTGGCGCATGACATACCCGGGAGGAAGAATCGCAATTCACGTCCGCCCTGCGTCTATTCTCCCCACTACCTACAGAACAATCAACCGTGTGTGGTTGAATAGCCCAGTGCAGTGTAATGCTCGAGGATTTTGGCTAAGCAAAACGAAAGGGAGAACGACAGGAGACGAAATCGTGGATGCTCGAAGCGAATGGTGAGAAGCTTGGCAATATCGTGTGGTGATCTGGTTGTCGCGAGGAGTGCTGAGTGTGGAAGTTAGTCAGAGGTTTGTCTGCGGGGCACGAAAATACGAAAGTTGACGGGTGAAGGCAGCGAGGGGTGGAGGGACCACGACGGAGGGAGAAGGATAAGGCTGAAAAAGTGGAAGGGCTCCAGCAAAGGCTCGCCACCGGCACAGTGATGCCCGTGCCCCGGCCTTGGCACAGCCGCACTCGACCTGGCAGGGAAAAGGTGGTATCATGGAAGGAAAGGTTTTATATCTGTCACAGGTCGAATGGCCATAGCGGACTGAAGTTTGGGACATTCGGGCAGGGCCGCCAGATATACTTGTCTTCTGATATCCTTCACCTCCTAGATTACTCTTCTCTCTCCGATCAAGATATTGTTGATTCTCTCTTCAGCCATCACATGCTGACAAGAGTCCATTCCTCGGAGATCAGATTGATCTTCCTCACATGCATTCTCCACCCCCAACTTTTCTTCTCCATCCTCTTCCCAAAGCGACTCCTCCGGCTGCTCTTCTGGTTCCCAGTTGATGACATCGTCAGTCCACTGATGCAGCTTCTCCAAGATCCCATCTCTCTCTTCAGCAGGCAGGTTTACCTGGCAGAACAAGCTTTCCTCCCAGAACTTCCACGAAGAGGCTGCCGCATCAGCCAAGGCTGGTCCCAAAGCGCAGCAACGAGGGTGCCAACGGATGTCAAGCGTACAACCGTGGTCGTACAGGTAGTGAAACTGCCACACAATGGCTCGCTCTAGAGGGTTGGTGGACCAGCGAAAGAGACTTTCTTCGTCACTGTCCAGCGGAAGGATTCCATACTCGAGCCGCTCAACGGCTTGTGCAGAGTCTGTGACACTTATCTTCATAGAATCCGGCTGGTGCTGGTCTTGTAGCTTTATACCTACCTCCAAAGACTGCGAGATTGCGGCTAGCTCGACATGGGGAACAGAAAGTGTCCTGGTGGCGAATTCGAGGATGGTAAAGTCAGTCACTTGAGCGAAATCACCTCGATTCTCATCTTCTTGTGGCTCAGAACTAAAGGCCTGCTGATGCTCTCGAATGGTTGGCTCCTCGAAAAAGCGCGCTGGATTTGTTTGCGAAACAAAAGGGGTTGTGCCGAGGAATGGATCACGGAAAGCTACTCTATAACCTCCCTTCTTCCACCCTTGTCCCCTTATGTTCTTGATGGAACCGTCACAAAACAAAGAGAGTTGGGAAACTCCCTCAATCTCAAGCGGTCCATGTGATGCACTCAAGGCCACCGGGGCGGCTACCTCTGGATACTCTTGAAAGATAACGCCTGCGAAGACTCGATTGTGACGAACCGTTACAAGCACAAGAGTATATCGCTGGGATGATTAATAGACAACAATAATAGTAGCCAAAAGGTACTGATCGATTATAAAAGCTATTACTTACTAGAGAGCTATAATAACGAAGGCCGGGAGGCTGTCTTATATACTAGCTCTCAGCCGGTCCCGTAGTTCCAATATTTCGGGACTCCGGACTTACCCCGTAGTCCCGTTATTCTAAAACCCCGGGACCCTCCTAATTAGTTAATCTATCTAAATTTATTAGTTGGATTGTAATACAATACCTTTCTTCTATAGCTTTATCCTCAATACTATAATATAACTTTATAATACTAATTTATTCGTATCTAGTATTTAAGTACCAACGAATTATATTAATAATTATTTTAATACCTACCGTACCCTCCGTTTCCCTTTCCTTCTAATTTATCCTTCTTATTAACTATATTACCCTAAATTTTTGTAAATAAACCTTTCTCTCTCTCTTTCCTTTATTATCAATATCGCCTATTATACCTATATTACGTATTACTTCGAATTACACTACTTAAAAAAAAGTATCTACTAATACATTAGTTTACTATATTAAATAATTTAATAGAGCTCCTACAATACTATACTCCAATTATTATTATTATAATCAATCCTACGTCGTAGATCCTTCGAAATCTTTATTATTTAGTAAATATATTCGTTGTAAAGTAGCGTACAACGTATTAACCGACCCAGATTTACAATATAAGTCTTATTTTTTAATAGTTACTATAAATAGTAGTAATTAATATAATACTAGTAAATAAAAAGATAGAAGAAATAAAGAGGCTAAAAGACGAGGAGGAGTAATTAATAGAGGAAATTATGATCCTTCAAAATTATTTACTTTATACCCGGGAATAGAAGTACTATTTACTTCGTTATTAAAAGAAATATTTTAATTAGGGGGTAACGGATTTGGAAAAAGAAATATTTAGAAGAATTTCTATTAGGGAGTCCTTTTCCATCGTTAGGCCTATTAAGGAGCCCGACTAATTAAAAGAATTAAATATAATAAATCCGGGGTCCCTAGAGTATTTAACGGCTTCGGCCGATTAAAAAACCGTCAGTAGAAGTTCGTAATTTTATTTTTAAAATTAAGAAGGTTTTCAATTAATTCCTATATATTACTTTCGTAGCCGTAGCTTTACTATTTAATTAAATACTTTATATTACTCTTACTATTAACCTTAAAGTCTAATATAGCTTCTATAATAAATTTATTACTATTATTCTATATTTATATATTTTTATTAATTCTAATATTCTTAAATACTAATTCTAGTAGTAAAATATAAAATATAGGCTATTATCGTATTCCCTTAGGAAGTTCAAACCTATAACTACTAGTACTAACTTTTTCTAAAATTTTAAAGGGTCTTAATTTCTTATAGTTAAACTTATTATTTAATTATTTGGTTTTAATATTTCAATAAAGAAGATAAACTTTATCTCTCTTCCTAAAAATCGGTGCTAATAACTTTGTACGGTCGTAATACCGGCTTATATAGTCCCTAACGAAAACTAATTCGTCCTTAAAAGTCTAATATATTTCGGTTAAACGCTTAATTCGAATATAAATTCGCAGTACGACCGATTTTAAATCCCAACTTCATTTAGAATTTATTTCGTAACTATAATTCGTAAAAAAGGGTATAACTCTTATTATTTCTATCTTCGAACTATTATAAAATATTTACGCCGTTAATAGTAGTTTAACCTAATTATTTTATTCGTAATTAATATACACCTTAAAATATACCTCTAGGACCTAATTTATTCATTCTATTTGCCCGTCCGTCCTTATATAATACACAGTAAATATTTTATATTTAATTCCTAATTTATTTATAAATATTTATTAGTATCTTAATAAAAAGAATTTATCTTTATTAATAATTAACTCTTTCAGCTATTTATAATTAAAAGTAATATACCTTATAAATATATATTCTAACTATTTTATATTAGTATTTTCTTTAAATAGGAGGAAATATAAGAACTTTATAAATCGGTCGACAACGATTAATATACTATTATACTCGATTCTTGTAATTAAATTGCGTAATATAAGTAATTTTATAATAAAGTTTATAATTATTAATTATTAGGGTACTTCTAATACTAAGAATAATTCGAATAAACCGTACGGTTTATATTAATTAATTTTAATTTTATAATAGGTTTTATATTCCTATAGTACCTCTATAATAACGTCTTTTATTTTTAAGAACCCGAATAATTACTATATTCTAGCGAAGGTACGAATAATTCCTACGTACCCTCTTTATTCGAATAATTTATAGATATTTCGTACTAATTCTTTTTATAAAGGGGGAAGTACTTATAATTTACCTTTATATAGTTAGGGTATTATAGAGGTAGATAAATATAATTTAATTTATTTATTATCGACTTTATATTATACTTCGGTAATTTATTAAATCTAATTATCTAAATCTATTTTAATTATATTATAAATATTAATTTCGTTATTTATAATTTGTTCTTATAAGGGTTAATACTATAATAACCTATTTACGTTAATTTAAAATAGAGTAGGGGAAGTAGTAAATTTATTTTTTATTTTGAGGTCCTCCCTTTTATTAAACATATTAGCTTTCGCATTTTTAAATCCCTTATAATAATAAATATTAAATTAAATTATAATAGGAATTCTAATTAATAGGTTTATTATTAATTAAACTCCTTTATAGCTATAAAATATATTAAATTCTTATAGTCTAAATAGACCTCAATTTCGTACTTCATACTATTAAACTATAATTTCTATTTCTTAAAAGCCTAAATAATAAATATAAATTCTTTATTATAAATTAAATAATTAAGTCTGAATCTTCGGAATACTTTAGAATAGAACGCAACGGGATATAATCTTCCTTATTCGTTGTATTAACCGAATTATCCTCCTATAGCCTAATCGGACGCGTCGGTTTCAATTTCGAATTCCTTATTTAGGTTTAGGAATATAAGGATAGGATCGTTTAAAATTATTTATTTTAAGATTTTAAAGGCTTTATTATACTCCTAGGACTATATAAATTCAATATCATTCTTATTTAAATCGTTGAGTAGCTTAATTATACTTCCAAATCCCTTAATAAAATACTTATAAAAATTAACGAAGCCTAAGAATCCTCAAACCCTAGTTATTAAGGTAAGTACTAACTATTCAATAACGTCCTTAACCTTTATAGGGTCTATACGAATTTGGCTGGGTAAAATACAGTATCTTAAGAAATTAATTTATTAAATATAAAATTTACTCTTCTTAGGGTTAATAAATAGTCTAACTTTTTCTGAGGCGGCGAGGACTTTATATATGTATTTCTAATATTATTCTTTATTTTTAAAGAATATAATAATATTATCAATATATACTATTACGAATTCGTTTATAAATTATTTAAATATAGTATTAATTTATAATTAGAAGGAGATAAGTATATTTATTAACCCTTAGGATATAATATAATATTCGTAATATCCTAGGGGCGTCCTAAACGTAATCTTCCACTCTTTTCCTTTCTTTATATAAATTTAGGAGAAGGCTAATATTAAATCGAATTTTAAAAAGATAGTAGCCTTTCCTAACCGGTCTTATATTTCTTAAATTAACAGTAATAAATATCGATTTTTAATAGTATCGTTATTAAAATACCGATAGTCGATAATAAAGCGTAGCTTTCTATTTTTCTTTAGTATAAAGAATATAGGAGAGCTATAGGGAGATTGGAATTCTCAAATATATCCTAATTTTAATTTCTTATCGATATACTCTTTAAACGCCTTTATTTATATAGCGTTTAGCTAATAGATTTTCTAATACTTAGGTTTAGCGCCTTCCTTTAAGGGTATTTCGTAGTCCTATAGACTATATATTAATAAAGAATATTCTAACGAGCCCCGGAAGATTTTGTATTTTCAATATTATATAAGGATATTCTTAAGTTTATTATCCTTACTAAAGGGTAATTCGGAGGGTAGTACCTCTTCTTCAATATTATTTATAAATATAATTATTCTTAATAATTCTAATAGTAGTATAATCTCGTATAATAAAGAATACTAACCCTTTCTATTAATAATTAAGACTTCTTAATTTAGAGCCCTAAAGATTTATCGCTTCCTAATATAATTACTACTCTAATCGATATTTAAATTATATTTCTTTAACTATAATTTTCCTAGTATAGCATTATATTTCCTAATTAGTATAATATTAAAAACGATTTCTTATTCGTCGCTATTAATTATAACCCTAAGTAGTACTATTTCTTATAGTACTTATCCCTATTTATAGCTAAGGCTTTTCCCCTCAAATATATATACTTAATAGGGTTTCTTTTTATAAATTTAAGGGATTTTCCAATTATTTATAATTATTAGTATAATAAAATTAATCGATAATCCTAAATCGATTATTACTATCGCCGTTCCTTTAAACGGTTATATTTAATCTATTTAAATTTAGTAAATCGGATTGTTATTTTAATTTACTTCGAAGATTTATAGCGGGCTAACTACTCGCGGTTTTTCCGCAAGGAATTATTACTATTTCCCTATCTTTTACATCCTCTACAAGCATAGTATCTCTTCGAAGGTTTAGAGCCGACGACCGTTTTATTAGCGCTAGAAAATACTATTACAATTTCCTCCTTCCTATAGGTTGGGGTATATAGATAATAATACCCTTTCTCCTTTAGGGCCTATCTAAAATACTATTATCGGGCTTTATTAATTATATAAATAGTATAATTAATTTAATAATAGTCTTAATATTAGGTATATAGGGATTCTATATATCCTTAAGGGTATTTTTCCTTTAATATAAATTTTATAAAGCGTCCGCCCTCCTTCCGGTCTTAGGTACAAATATCCTATAAATTTATAGAATTTTTATAATATATTCCTTTAATAGGAACGGGAATATTATTTTCCTAAACGTATTAGGG